TTCTTTCATTGCTAATATACTTGTTTAAGGCAGCTTCCTTAATAAACAGCTGATTTCTGATGGTGTTTACCCTGGGTTTTGAAGTGCATGGATATACAGTCTGATGACGTGTTTGGAAGGTTAGGGACATGCTAATCGTCACTAACCATAGTTGAATTTCATCACATACTGTTTGTCTTGCAGAACTCACTACCCAAATCCAATAATGATTGTTTGACTTGACATTGACTATTTCAATGATTAATAAGGTCTATTGCTTTTGTCAGCCTGCTATGACATTATTAATAATCTATGATATCATACCATACTGTGCCATACCATACCATGCCATATCTTAATGTGCCCTATTTTACTGTACCATACCATGACAAAGCCTGGCCATAGCATACCATATTATACCATAATATACCACCATATAATGTTATGCCATATCATGTTATATCATACCATGCCACCATGTCATATACCATACCATGCTATATCATAACATATTATACCATAATATACTACCATACCATTTTATATCATACCATATCATGCTGTATCATATCATACCATGCCATAGTATACCACCATTTCGTACCATACCATATCATGTTATATCATATCATACCATGCCATAATATACCATCACACCATATCTTACCATACTGTACATCATACCATATCATGATATATTACATACCTAGCGAAGCATTTGTATTGAAGTCAATGGAGCTGAAGGTCGGCTATATATTCCTGAATAGCCGCCAAACTTTTTACCATGACAATCTTATGACATCATGTTTCATTTCTTCCAAATTCCACTTGCATACAGACGTGTGTTGTCTCGCAAGCTTGGGCTATATTGATGTCAGACCTCAGGCAGGCATATATTCAATGGTAGGGACATAATGATTAAATAATGCCATACAAAGCCTTGTTAAACTATATCACACCATGTTTATTTCATATCATATCATACTGCATACATACTATATCATGCCATAAAATGCCATATCATATCATACCATGCTATAAGCACACCATACCCATATCATACTGTGTCATACTATACCATACCATATTAATATAACTGATATATCATTCAATACCATATGTTACATTCCATGCCATTCGATGCCATACTATTTTTGCTTCCAGAACACATTAATAATTAAAGAACAAATCATATATGTTCTTTGTTTATGAGAGTTGAATGGAGAATAACCTAAATTTAGTTTATTTATCAGAATGGATAGGAGTGCTAATAGGTATTGTTTAAAGTGTTAGCATCACATCTAAATATTATTGATCATTGGAGTGTTGTTTGGCTCTGTGTACAGGATCTCATTGGTGGCCCTTGCCAAAGATAGATTTACAATATAATTAATACCAATGACTTATGAAAATATTTTTTAAGAATTTGATATACGTTTCTGGTGAACTGTGCCATCTTTTGATCCATCAGAGAAACTACAATATATCGCCAAGATTTATCGGAAAAATCTATTATCAGATATTAAAACTAAAATATGATAAGACATCTCAGAGTTTATATTTGTCTAGTTTATTCTCATCTATTTTTGACGTTGAATATTTTCAGAGCTTGATTTACTATGTACTTGCCCTATCTTATGCAATTGGACCACTAATTTAGTAACTACCCTTTAATAAAACATAACTTAGGAATTAAAGTGTTAAAAGATATACTGAGGGAAAAATGAGAATTAACAGAGAATAAAAAAACACAGATCTTATTTAAATGGAGTGATGATCTAAAAAAATCTGTTGAAAAAATGAAAGTTTTCAAGAGAAATAGCGTGAAATAGGCATGCCGTGATGTATCACTCGCAGGTTGTGCTTTGAGTAGAAAATAATCCAGCATTCTTACATACACGATTACAAATTGATGCGCTGTTTGAGGTCTTTAAGAGAACAACTGAACCTTTCAACAAAAAGAAAGCCAGATTTTTTCTGGAATTAGGATTTTTGTCACATCCACTGTTGTCGATGTCGATATGGACTGTGAATATGAAAGCCATAATTCAATACCAAACAGATGCAATGAAATTTGACAGTGAATTTAACTTATCTCAATATGTTGTCTAGTAATTTTATGTGAAGTCTTTAGAAATTGACGCACGCTCAAACAGAACATGGATTATTGTCCCTTTAGCTACGAATTGTTGACAGAAATTGGAATTTGTCTAGATAGATCCAGATAGACCCATATTATTATGATATAAACCCATATTATATGATTGGATAAACTCTAGTTGCTGGAGACGGTTACCCTGGAGACACCTGTTGATTCAATATAGACACATATAAGCACTGATATTAATGCAATAATTCTTTAAGGATTAATTTATGAAGATGCAATTTTAGTAAATAGAAAACAGTCTCGCAATACAGTCATGTCAGAGGAGAAGGAATGAATAGATGGTGAAGGATCACTTAATGTTAATTAATCACATTTTTGGCATTAAACTTTATTAAAGTAATGTGATGAAATACATCATTTGTCTAAGGAAGACTTACCCTGAGATTACATTTAGTGTACTAGACTCTAACTAGGATGGAACATTTAACAGATTGTCATTCAACCAATAAGATCTAGTAATATACAATGCTGAATGCTCATATGTTTACTTTTAATAAGAACGTCTTTGATGACAAGCTCTGGTTGCACTTCTGGAGGATTATCAATTATTTAAAGAGAGTCTGTTGATCACTCGTTCAAAGGTTATAAAATATCTGCATGAATGCATAAAAAACTTTTAAAAATTTAGATAAAATAACATAGCTTGACAAAAGTACAACAGATCATTTATTGTAGTAATCTAGTAATTTAGTAATTTAGTAAATGGAGTAATATTTTCAATGGCTTCATGGTTCGAGACAAGCGCTGAAATATGGAATTATATAAAGGATATGATGCTCTTAACAACATGCTTTTGTAAACCAAGTACATTGGTCAAAAGTATGTCATTCAACAAGGTGGAAAAAACACGGCATACGATTAAAGTAAGAAAATAATTGTTATAATTTGTACCATGTTTTATTATATCTGTTACTCTTAGAAATATGAAAAATAATATCATTTAGGAGAGAATTCTTGCACTTTTGTGTATGCAATGTAAAAGTGCCAGTAGTACAAAGGTGCCAGCAATTCAAAAGTGTCAATTTGTATTGTAAATGACACCTGGATTTTCTATCACCATTTCCAGACCATGGTGATTTGAGACTTCATAATTTCCAATAATGTCTAGATACACATCCCTTAAGTTTTGTATATTTTACATTTTGTATACTCTCATCCACCGATGTATAGCCTCTTGAAAATTCTCTTCTTTTTAACATGCTGAAATCCTCACTTCAGCAAATCCAGGTGTCATTTATTTATGGTGAGCACTGTATGTACTGTATATGCAATTCAAAAGTGCCAGTAGTACAAAGGTGCCAACAATTCAAAGGTACCAATTTATATTGTTGTTCAAAGATTATGCAATGAGTGCACCAGTTTTGAATTAGTAAGCTTCCAATGCCAAATTAGTACACAGTATACAATTGTTGACCTCTCTAGAGGTCAACCGGCAAAATTGTATACTGTAAACCGAGAAACTACTGTTGACAGAGACCAACAGTAGTTTCAAGGTTTACAGTCGAGTATAGTAAGTATGATATCCCAAGATGCACAGGTGAGGTACAAGCAAAAATGTTGACCGCTAATTGACCAATCAGATGCGAGTATTTACACTGAGGTACTAACAATAGAACCTGTGTAAGTGTTCCACATGTGAGGTGTTCCACCTACAGAAGTTCGTTTACATGGAGTCAATGGGCTGCAGGACTTTTTAAACCTGTTCTGATGTCTAGGTCACATTTGCCCCAATTCATCGATTGCAATATTTTGTTCAAAACTGATTTCAACTTGCTTCAAATTGACCAAACTGTTTTTAAAATCATGTACACCTCAAATTTTAGATTTGACCTTAAATTTTGAGCAAAGTACTCAATCGGCCGGGATCCGCCCGATGAGTTCGAGCAAATGTGACCTAGGCATTACAGAGCTGTTCTTAGCATATACTGTAGATTAAATATTTCATACATGAGCAAGTGCAAGTCCTAAAGTATGCATTAATCCTAGAATAAAACATAAAATTGTAATAAATACAGAAAATTGGGTCAGTCAACAACTCCATAAAAATCATACTTTCCTTATATACTGGAATAAAAAGGTTGTTTTACCTTTGCATGTTTCGTCTTCACTGAATTTGAATAGAGGGAGACAAGAGCAAAGGTGAAAACCCTTGGCTGTAAAATTTTTGAACTAGTAGTCCTGTTTAAAGCCATGGGCTTTTATTTCTCTTGAAAATCTAAACTGAGTAGTTTTACAAACATATTTACTATGCTTCTAACCAAAACATTTTACAAACTTTTGTTTTTAATGTCACTACCACAAGTAGTGACATATAATGCAGTTATGAACTCCAATCTTTTGTGAGCGGTATTTGGAATCCAGCAGTCAGCGTTCGGAGTTGGATGTGTGTAACAAATGACAGGTGGTGACATTTTGCATGTTAACGCCTTGTATCTGTATTATAGCAATGATATTTATTCAACATTTTTAAAGGTGCATAATACAATAAAACAAATAATAAAATTGGATCTTGAGGATCTTAAAAAAGTTATTCTAAAAACTTAACCAGTTCGCATATGTACCACGTATGGTAGAAATAGATGATTAATAGTGCATTCAAATGTACATTTTTATGTCACCACCACAATTAGTGACATATTGTTATGATCTTAAACTTTTTTTGTGGATAGTGTTTGGCATTTGGCAGTTGTTGTTTGGTAATCAGTGGTTGGTGTTTGGTTTTTGGCATTTGGCATCTGTAACAAATGGCAGGTGGTAACAGTTTGCATGTTAATGCCTTGGTTATGTTGCCTTTCTTGTTGGCAATTCTACTTCCCCTTTAATAATCATCACAACTTGTTTCTTTTTGTTTCAGAATGCAGCCAGTCCACCAGGTTCTCCAAGAACCCCAGTCAAAGACAGACTCGGTAAGTAGTAACTGTTTAATATTCATCTCGTGTCCCAAAGCTTGATTAATGGGTCAACATAATCATTAATAACAATGTTAGTTGCACTGTGATTTTGATATGGGATGACCATTAATCTTGGCTCGGATACAGCATTTCCAGGTTGGGACTTGATAGCCTCAGCAATATGTGAGGCTAGGGGCGGGGATTGGGGGGTGGGCGGGGGGGGCCTTGATAAAGTAACCTCTATTTTATTTACCATTTTTAATGTCTTCTATTATTTTTTGAAAAAATAAAAATCTTGATATATGCATTATGATGTTTTTATTGTAGCATTTTATGCTAAACTTTATTTTAGATTCTCGAGTGTTCTACTTGCTTGGTTCAGTTGTATTTCTTAGGTCTTGAAAATTGTAAACTTACCACTATCTACGCTCCACTCTCAACTGTGTATGTCATGTATAGTATTAGCATAGGCGTAGCCAGGGGTTGCGATGGGTGCATCCCCCCCCCCATAACCATAAATGCTTTTTATTTGAAGCTTCTAGCTCAATTTTGAAGGAAGTTGCATCCAGTTTTGTAATATTCAAAATAAATCTTTTTTTGGCTTGTTTATGCCACAATCGCACCCTGACTATGCCCCTGATTAGTATAGTTAGTATATGGGACATCTATAATAGGTATCCTGCAATATATCCTAGTACCCTAATATAATAAGTATTTACTAATGATATCATCATGTCATAGTGACTTTGGCCTCAGTTTCACTGTCTATCATATTTTAATAAAGACCCTCATTTTTAAAAAAATAAAATAAAAATACACACAGGGGTAATTCAAATGATGACTTTTATGTTTGAAAGTAATTTATAATTTTTAAGAAGAATTGTAGATATTGAATTATATCAAAATTACAGAAAATGTTAAAACAGCAAATAAAGACAAATATTTTAGATAGATTTATTGCTTATTTTGGACTGGGGGAGGGGTGATCAAACTTCTTCCTGGTTATTATTGGCATGTAATACAACTGTTAAGATGTATGTTCCAACAGATTATTTCATTTAAGCAAAAGTTCATCATTGAGGTGATGTTAGAACAACTTAAATCTTGTTAATCATGATGAATGCAAAGAAAAGGAGGAAGTTAGTTTCATTTGTTGAGTATAAAGTATGAAATCCATTCTTCATTAGTATATTTGAGAAAAAATTACTTTGTTCTTTATCTCCAATATACCTCCATTCCCTTGAGCAGGTAGTTGTATATGTGGTTACGGGATGGGGGGGGTTGTTGCACAAGCTTGATGCAAGATTATACACATTTTATGAAATCCTTTAAAATCTACAATTGCGAAATGCGAAATTATGAAACATTGTTATTATAGATTTGGCACACATGTTAGCTTACATGTAATATTGCTTGCAATGGTGTTAGGTGACATAATAAAACATTCAGATCATAAGCTGGAGGTCATCTTGACATTGCATCTTGTCTTGTTTAGAACCTGATCCCAATATTGATAAATCAATACCATAGACTGTGTTTTTATTAGATCCTTGGTCATGAATGAACAGGATTTTATGTAAAAGTACATTTAGTACCTTCAATGATTTGATTATAATATATATAGTCTAAATGATTAGGTGTTGTTCTAAGGGGTCTTTCACCTAATTCTCAAAGTGAGGCTATATAAGCAGAAATGACCTTGATGTAAGCCAAGATATAATGACTTGATTGTGGAAAATAAGGACTTGGATCTGAACGTATGATATTATCTGATGTCATCTCAGGGTAAAACGTATACCATGGCCAGGGTGAGTGATGGCACAGGTAGACCAAACTATCTGAAGCAAGGTAAGCTGTATGAGTTGTGACATTGATAAATGCCTACCTAAAGGTTCTATATGCAGTGGTATCTGTGTATGATATTGATTGTTTTTTGCATATATTTAAGTAATGAGGGCTTGGTCAAAATACAGGTCAGTGATTGGTCAGTATCTGGTATATATCCTTTAGAAGGTCAAATGGTATGATTGATTTTATAATGAGTTATACTGCGATTATGTATAGTGTTCAGTTAGGTTATATGTAAGGTTATTGAAAATTAAAGGTACTGTTAACGTGCTCCATAGCCATAGGCTCATATTCAACCAGGTCCTATAAAACAACCAGGTCCTATTTTTATGATGCCATTAAAATGCTTTTTGATGATATCATTAAACCTCCGCAGCACAAGGATACAAAACTGATTTCAAAGGTTGTTTTTTTGGTTTTGTGGTTTTGAAATATAATGTATACTGTTACTCTGACATGTTTAACATCGTTTTGAACTTTCATAACCCATAATCAAATTGTCAATTGTAATTTAAATTCATGATGATAGAGTCCCAGGTTATAATGGTATAAAAGCCCAGGGATAAAAGCAGTCTGATCACTAGTTTACAGAACCAGGGACCAATTTTGATCCTTGTAAATAGCATCAAGTCCTTAAATATGTGTATCACCCCATCTCACCAATATGTATGTATACTTCTATATTATCAGGAAATGGATAACTTTCTTGGGGAGGGGGTAAAAGCCTTTGTGCAAGACTACCAAGACTAACTTTTATTCAATTTATGCAACTATTTTTTTTTAGCGTACAGCAAATCAAATTCTCAACAACTTTTGAGTTAGAATCAAACAGTAAGAATTTATTTAAACCTGCCTCTTTAATGTAAGTTCAACGCACTCCTAAAGCTTTTATCTCGACCTCTTATTGAGATGGTAGAATTCCACTATCATCCCAATACGCTCTACGAGCAACATTCTTTATATAAGATTTCAGCAAAATTTATTTCAATTAAAATAATAATTAAATGTATAAACCAATGCAAGGGTAACATAACAAATCTGTATAAATGTCAATTAGAATAGTATCAGTTAATGTAAAGGGTCTACAGGACAAGGTCAAACGTAAAAAAATATTTACATATATACAAGAAGATAATTTTGACATCGCATTCTTACAAGAAACGCACTGCGGAAAAGGGCAAGACAAGAACTGGAAGCAACAATGGGGAGGAGAAGCCTACTTCACAACTACAGCTACAAATTCAGTTGGAGTAGCAACATTAATAAACAAAAAATGTATTCCTAATCCTAAAATCATAAACTGTGATATCGACAAAGACGGGAGATTCATCATCATGGACTGCCTCTTAAAAGGCAAACTCATTACACTGGTAAATGTTTACGGCCACAACCATGACGACAGCAATCTATTTCAAAATATTAAAGAAAAACTAAGAGACAAAAATGAAAACTCAATCATTATTGGAGGAGATTTCAATGTCCCATTAGATATATCAAAGGACAAAGAAGGTGGAAGACAAGCTTCACATATCAAAACAAGGGCGCTTATTACAAATATGATAGAGGAACACGACCTATGCGATGTATGGCGACAAAAACATCCACATAGTAGAAAATACACTTGGAACAATCACGACAACACAATTAAATGTAGACTAGACTATTTTCTAGTAACTAGAGACATCTACCAGCAAACAAAGAATACAGAGATTCTAAGTGAAACGATGGTGAAAAGGAAAATTGCTGACCATAGACCAGTAAAACTTGAACTCAAATTATTAAACCAGAGGAGGGGAATGTAAAGCAGAACAATGAAAACCTCAACCCAAATAGTTTATGGGAATTAATCAAATTTAACATTAAAATGGAGACAAGACGCTACGCAACAGAGAAAAAGAGGAAGAAAAAACAAGAACTTGATATTAAAATTGGCCAAGTAATTATGATTGAACATCAGGAAAACAATAAATCACTCGCCGATCCAGAAAGACAGAAGTTAACAGACAGAGCTGAAAAAATAAGGAACGAAATAGACTTAATGCAAGAAGAGAAGGCTAAAAGCGCTATCTTTAGAAGTAAATGTCAATGGGTAGATGAAGGAGAAAAGCCAACAAGATACTTCCTAAATCTTGAAAAACACAATTACATAAACAAAACCATGACAACCATTGAAGATGAAGAAGGCGTCCTAATAACAGACCAGAAACAAATAAGTGAAGAACAAGCAAAGTTTTACAGTGAATTATATAAAACAAGAATTGTAGAAACAACTAAATTTGATAAAGACTTTTTCCCAAAAGGAGAAAACCTGGAACTAAACAAAGATGAAAAACAAAATTGTGAAGGGCATATAACAGCAGATGAATGCAGAAAACAAATTTCAAACCTCAAGAACAACAAAACCCCAGGAAGCGATGGACTCTCCAGTGAATTTTATAAAACATTTGTAGATGACATCATAGACCCAATGTGTGCAAGCTTCAACTACTCAAAAAATAACAAAGACATGACGATAGAACAAAAAAGAGGAATAATTACTCTAATACCCAAAAAAGGTAAAGATCCAAACAAAATAAAGAACTGGAGACCCATAACCCTACTTAACAACGACTACAAAATAATGACAAAGGCCATAGCAGAACGCATTAAAAAAGTTCTTTACAAACTTATCAACGTAGACCAGACAGGATTTATATCAAACAGATACATAGGTGAGAACATAAGACTATCACTAGATGTAATGGAACACTTGACTCAACAAGGAAAGAATGGCATTATGGCAACTATCGACTTCCAAAAGGCATTCGACTCATTGGAGTGGAAATTCATCTATAAAACCTTGAAGTATTTTAATTTTGGCACAGACTTAATAGCCTGGGTTGAAACTTTCTACAATGGAATAAACAGCACTATAATAAACAATGGCTTCACATCAAGGTACTTCAACCTTGAAAGAGGTGTACGACAAGGCTGCCCATTGAGTCCTTACATATTCATCCTATGTGCAGAAGTTCTTAGCAATGCTACACGGAAGACAGACAAAATAAAAGGTATCAATCTAACAGAAAAAGAAGAACTCAGAATCTCGCAATATGCAGATGATACCTGCTTGTTCCTTAAAGACGCCTCATATTTAGAAAATGCACTAGATCTTTTTAATAAATTTGAGATGATATCAGGACTTAAAATCAATAAAGAAAAGACAACAGTAGTAACCATTGGAAAAGACAACCAGATGAACAAACAAAAGACACAGAGAATATGCACAAATATTGGAGTGAATCTAGAAGAAAAGGAGATTAACCTCCTAGGCTTAACAATACCGATAGATGGAAGAAACATAGAAGAAATCAACTATAGCAAACCAATCAGGACTATACTAAGATTAGCACAAATATGGAAGCAAAGAAATCTATCCCTGATGGGTAAAATCGTGGTTATAAAGTCACTACTTTTATCACAGTTAACATATCCAATGTCAGTGTTAAAAGCACCAACAGCTGAAATGACCAAAGAACTAGAAAGAATACTATTTGATTTTATATGGGACGGAAAACCGGACAAAATAGCAAGAAAAACATTAAGAGGGGGAATACCTTATGGAGGTCTTGAAATGACGCATATTCCATCACTTGCTAATAAATTAAAACTCAAATGGATTAAAAAATTAACGGACGACAACATAAAAAGTAAGTGGAAAATACTCTGGCAACAGCAGTTTGAAGATATCAGAGAACATGCATGGGAATACAACCTCAGAGAAATCAATCCGATGATTGCCAGCAACATCAAACTTACAGCAGCAAGGGACGTATACAATGCATGGTGTGCAATACATTATAAGGAGTACAAGGACATCCATACACCCGAAAACCAGATAATTTGGAACAATAGACATGTACAAAATAGAAGAGAGACCTTATATATAGAGGGGTGGAAATCCAAAGGGATAATATATATCAAACAGTTGTATGAGGACAATCAATTAATCCCGTACCAAGCACTGAAAAGGAAATTTGATTTAATAAACACAACATTCATTCAATGGTACCACATCATACACAGCATACCAGCTGAATGGAGAAACCAAATAAAAACACCGAGAAGGACCGAGACAGAAACTGATGTGAAAGAAAAATCCATTTCTATAAAGGAACTACAAACAATGACGAATAAGGATACATATAACATACTAATAAAAAGCCACACTGAAGAACCAATAAAACAACAACAACTATGGGAAAAGGCGATAGACAACACAAATATAAACTGGAAAAGCAACTACTGTAGAATATACATAACAACAAAGGAAACAAAACTGAGATATTTCCAATATAGAATATTACTTCGAACAATATTTTTCAACAAAATGCTACACAATATGAAAATCAAAACAAGCCCACAATGTGAATTGTGTAAAGAAGACAAACAGGATACCATCGAACATGGACTATACGAATGTATAGCTGTCAAACCATTCATAGAGATGGTCACCCAACTGTGTCAAATACAAAACCTGACAAGAGCAAAATACTTCCTAGGAGAGAACACCAGTTTGGGAGAAAACCTGACGCTACTCTTGGTTAAACACTACATCTATCTCAACAAATTAGACAATAAACCACCAAATATGACAGGCCTCAAGAAATATGTTGAAGCCCAGGAAATCATAAGCAGAAGCAATGCAGAGAAGAATAACAAGTTAGAAGCCCATGACAAAGCATGGAAAACTGCTCAAAAGATATTCAAGCAGTAAATAAAAACATTGTAGATCCCTTTACAACATATAGTAAACAGCATCAAAATAGGATAGGAAAGCACACCCCTTGCATTGGTTTTACATACACTTTATTCTTACTCATTCTTTTATCAATCAACAATCAACAACAATCATGACAATTGCAATTTTATTCAACATTCATTTAGTCAACATACATTTACAACATAACTATAAGTGTATTTTTTTGTCTACGTAAATTTTATTTATATTATTAATTGCATTACATTTACATGTACATATTTATATTTACATTTACATGTACACAAATAAGAATGAAGGAATAAAAAAAAAAAAAAAAAAAAAAAAAAAAAGACTACCAAGACCAATTCAACACTTAAACGGTTAGATATATATTCAGTCATGATAAACCATGACATCTCATTTCTCCTCAGCTTTGATATGTGTCTGGTGACACAGAAAGATGTAATGACCTATGGGTATCAGAATGCTTATATTCTACTCGCAAATTGCTGGTATGATTGTACCCTGACTCATCAGTCCCTTCAGTTATGCTTGGAAGAGCATCTGTATTGGTAAAGACAAGGTGCTATGGTTATTCTAGTCTTGGTTCAAGACCCCGGACCCCTTCCCCCTTAACTTCTTCAACAACAGGATCTTCATGATTAGTTGGTTTGCTCATTTCATTTTACATTGTGAAGCTCAGTCATTTTGATCTGCAAATTCCCTGACTTTGGACATAACTACATCTTAAAGCCTGGACATGAAAATTAACTTCATTTCCTGTTGCTCTTATCTTTCCCAAATGCAATGCATCTGATTAATGTTTCTAGATATATGTTATGAATTTCTTGACTGATTTATTTTACAGAAAATCTAATAAGATCATGATTCAGTTAATATTACGCCATTAATTTCTCACTTTGATGCTAGACAGGGGAAACCTCATCTTTTTATTAAATGGGTTGATATCAATATCTTAAAATCATCATTCTAAGTTTGGATTCTGAATGTTTGCCTGGTGTTCTATCTTTAGTTTGTTGACAATTCATTCCTAAGCCCATCAGATTTCTGACCATAATCAGTTCAAAGAGATATTTGATTTTGAATATTTTTTCATATTTTGTATGCTAGCCGATCATCCATTCTCTCATCTACTCGCTAAAGATCGTTAGGATTTTCATATTGTTTATTTCATGTGTTTTGTCTTCTTTCCTTGGCATTTGTAAGTGACATTTATGAGATTCTAGAGTGATTAAAATAAAAGTGGCACATACCATATGTGACAGTTATTTACCTGTATTCACCTGTATGTATCCTTCCTACTCTTTGCAAGACTGATTGAGTTTCCTCACACTCTACCTTATGGATAAGTCTGTGATCTCAACCTATCAGAGACTGTCATTCTTCAACGTTATGTTACTATTGATATGAATATAGTAGCATGGCTCTGTTACATTTTGATTCTTTGAATGCCAAACTGTGAAATTATCAGTCCTAGTAAGAGGGGAGCATACCAATGAATAAGCACAGGGTAGTGTATACCTGGACGACACAGCGACAGGTTAATTCATTGCAACAATTTACTTAATGGGTGATCAACTGTTATCTGTCCCTTAATCAGTGTTTTCACTAGTATTTTTAAAGATGGATGTTCTCATTATGTTCCTGAAGTACCTCTTTGCGTGGGCCAGGTTTTACATAAAATCTTCGGTCATTCTCTGTTTCTATCCCTCTCCATGTGTTATAGTGTGTAACACATGCAGTAGGGATTGTTTCAATATTTCCCTAAAATACCAGGTATATTGCATGTTTCAACCATAAAAACAATTGAGGGAGGGGAGCTAGAGAATCTCCGATGATCGGAAATGTTGAATGTGGTCACTTGGGTCTCCTTGTTAGAGAGGTTAGACACGTGAAGCAAAATAGGTGGCCAAATTGAACCCATTTTATTTATCGAAGGTGACTAAATATATGTTTGTGATACGTATTGCTGCATGATGGCCAGTTATTCAGGGCCTTTGGAAACCAGCCAATGAAAATTTTGAATGATAGTGTCATCTTAGGATAACTCTCTCAGATCAAAATGTCTACCCTTCATAATAGCATAATTTCATTAACACTCTTCGAAATTAGATAAATTTTAACCTTGGCTATATCTGAATATAATATGTTATCCAAACATCACAACTTTCTATCTGTATATTTCCAACATTCATTTTGCATGCAAACTCTCATAAAAGATAAAAAGTTTACATTTGCGATCATTGTGATTAAAACTGAAAATCATCTGTAATTTTTGAGAGGGCAGTGTGGCCGGTCAATGGTCATTCAGGGTGAAAATGCCTCCCAGCTGCTTTACATGTACATGAAAAACCAGTGTACATGGGATACCCTTGGAAAGACCTTCAAAGGGCAGAGTATTGCATAGGCTAGCGCAAATACACATGCAGGTATACAGGGAAATATATATATATAGGAAAGCAAAGGTTCAGAGAACCAGGTGTTTATTGGTAAGTGATAACTAGGTATACAAAAACTGGATATAAAAACTGTTGAAAATTCCATTCATTGATCTTCAGTGAAGTTGCTTTCCTGTTTTTAACTTTGTTTGATAAAAGGTAGTATAAGGTTGAAAGGAGGTAAGTAATAAATCAGGGGTGGACCATTTGATATTGGGAGAGAGGAACTAAGAGCTCTTCCTTCCCCCTCAATAAGAATATTTGTTCTCTCACCAAAGCCTGAAATATATAAATATATACATGTGAGCCTTTCCAAGCAAAAGTGATATATGCACGCAAGGCTTTTCAAGCAAAAGTATTCTTGCCTTTGATATTTAGTCCATATTTTTGGCAAAAGATCAAAGGTTGGTCCCCAGTCCTTTTGTTATTGTCGGTTTTGTTACTTAACTATTTTCCCATAAAACTGTCTATGTCACTTACACTTTTAAAGTCATGACAACTAAACTTATATAAGGTCAACAGGACCCGTTATAAAACAGAAGCTTTAAACACTCAAATGTGGTTAAAGAAGCTTAATGCACTCAAATGAATAGTTAAAGATGGTTAGCACAAGAGGCAACATTTGAAAACTCAAACAAATCAGAACCTCAATAAGCCATATCAACAGGGAAAACCAGAAATTGAAAGTCACACTTTGTTGTTAAACATTACAGAACATGGACTATTTCATCATCATTTACCATGACTGCACCCATTGGCTGTGCTAATTTATTGTCTCTAGTCCATGATTTGGCAAATTGAATTTTCTTATGCGATTTTGCTTAAGTGTTAACATTGGGAAAGATAATTGAATTCCAAGAATGATTGTCGGCACATCCCTGGATGAAATAATTCATACTTGAACTGATATCATTCATCTCAAGCTATTTAAAATTACCCTCTATCGATCTGTTTTTTCCTGTTGTACGCATTGAAAGAGGAGATTGAAGGGGAGGCAGTAATTGTATGTATCATTCATGCAAGAAGGTTTTACATCCCCAGTCAATCTGTAAACTTGATTGAAGAGGTTATAATCGATATAGTCTCACTTCAAGACCCTGTTTATACTTACTTTAAACCCATGTTGTAACTCCCCCCCCCCACTTCCTATATACCTCTTCTTTTTGAGGTGGGGGTATATTTTTGTACTACTAGTACTGAAAGTCTTGTAATTTGATGGTTTTGTGATGTCACTACCATAAGCAGTGACATATTGTTAGTCTCCAAATTTTTGTGGATGGTGTTCAGCAGTCAGCGTTTGCAGTCAGCATCTGTAACAAATGGCAGGTGGTGACATTGTGCATTTTAATGCTTGGTTTTCCCCTTGTTGACTATAAGTTGCTTGATCATGAACATTTGGCTTTGGAAGATACCGGATTAATCTTATATTTCCATCATGTCACAGGCTATTACATAATGAATGAGTAATTGCCTTGTGATCCCATCTAGCATAGCAAAACAAATTGGATAAAATGATATGTCGTATTAGTGCCAAATCTTAGGTTTTAAATAGTAAAAGATAACTGTAGAGTGTGGTCTTGCATCGGGCCCCTGCAATCTACAAGGGGCTTGATACAAGACTACCTCAATTACCCAAATGCGAGTAGGTAGTTACCAGTTTCACCACCAGGTGGCTGATTCGGGTCAATTAACATGGCAGGTATATAAGAAAGTTCCCTTAAACTTGAATATTATCAATTTAAGTGGCTCAATGTTCATATAACCCTTATGTGTCTAATACTTATACTAATGAAAATATGTCCAGTAAAGCAAAATATTATCTGTCCACTAAAAGAAAACATATTTCATTTTTTGTGATTTTATAGCATGGGGTCTATGGGGAATCTCCCCGAGCTAGAAGTCACATATTCGAAGAAAAGTAATTTTTCAAAGTTGATAAACACTTTTTAAAACCACATTTCTAGATGTAATTTTACATGTAGATTTCAAATATGATATTACTTTGACTGAATTTTGAATTTTTAATGACGTAAATCAAGATTATTTCTACTCGCATCTGGGTTATTGAAAAATGAAATTAACAGTACATATATGAGACAAATATGCTGTACATGTATATATGTATACAATACTGTATATAGGTTCGTATAATAGAATCATGCTGATTAGATGTTTAATAGAACCATATTGTTGATCATTCATCATTGCAATCATCAGAAAATAAAAACACTGTCGACCTTCATAACTTAAGACACAATAACCACATATCATTGTGGCATGCATACCACACATTACAATCTGCATTGTGTGATATATCCTTTTAAAGGGTAGTGTAGATATATGCTAGAAAGTAACTAATCTTAAGCTTGAATCATTGCATGTTGATTAACATCATACTTTGCTCTTTAGCCCAAACAGTGCACAATAGGAGGCGCCACAGCGTACAAGGGCCAGCGATGCCGATGCCAATGGCACAGTTATTGTCGACTGATGGCAAACGTAAGACCTCAATCGACTCAGCACTTTGTTATACTTAATTAAGTCTCCTTTTTATTTTTATTTTTGTGTAGCACCAGTTACACGTGTTGGTTTTGTTTTATTTTGTCTGAACATCTTTGTATGATACCTGATGCAACATAAGTTTTCATTTTGTGCGGAAAACATCCGTGATCAAAATATCCTCCACCTTATCTATATCCCAGTCAAGGGGATGAGACAGGGGTACTAGTCTAGCACCAAGCCCTTGTCACCCCGCTATCCATTCCAACTGTGTGAGAAGGTGTGTAGTCAAGTACAGGAGAGGGGGTCATGATCACAGGGGCTTGGAGCTAGACTACAGGGGGACTGATATGTAGACTGTATTCATCAGGTCATTATACATTTCACATCTTAAATAACCATACTCTTGGGATGGGAGGAGAAAGGGGTCATCTCAAAATTTAGAACAAATAAGTTAAAAAACAGCCTCTTACCACATACTGTGGTGACATTTAGAATTCAATGCATATGAGATGTCCCCTTATAGGTACATTGGAAAGTAGACTTAGAGGAGTGACTGGCAAATGACTAAGTTATATTTTAGGTGACTTTTGTTTTTCATGGCAATCGATTTTTTGTTTCAGCCCAAAAGAATTCATTGGTTGTAAACCCAATAATAGAAATGAAGATTGTAGAATTTATCATTGCAATTTTAACACTACTGCTAACAGCTTCTATTTATTTATCTGGCACGGAGACACAAATATGATTTTTAGTTCCTTGTCATAGTTGCCATAGTGATCCACAGTACCATGGTGATGATAGCCTATGTCATTATTATTCTGTTGCTATAGTGACAGTTCCACCAAATATAGCACACAAAATGAACATTTAGTGAGATTTGAAAATGGCTTTGCTGAAAAAAATCAACCATACTTTTGTTTCTGAAACGGATTCATTCAATTGTTTACAAGGCTATTTTCAAACTCTGCTTTTAGAAGTAGAGCAAATTGTTTCCTATAGATAGCATATTTTTTTATAAATTGGGTCCAGGATAATGGGGTAAAACCATCCTAATAACTTTTCCTGTTCTAAATTATTTTATAATGATCAACATAATTGCTAACTTTTATAAGTATATTTTAATGATGAGCAATTGCTGTTAAACAAACTTGGTCCAGGGTCTTGGAAAAAGGGAAATGAGAATAGATGAAATGAAATTTGGTGAAAATAATTGTTAAGTACATGAATATAATAAGTACATGAATGTTGTAATCTTTAGTGATGGTACTGTAAACAGAAAATATCAAAATCATAAGGGAGTGTGTAAAAATATCAATAGTTGTGGAAAAAGGGTTAATTTTTTGTTGGAGGAGGGAGTATATGACGATTTCATCGGAGTATAATGTTTTATTGTAAAATAAAAGATCGAATCAAGATTCCAAATTATGTTATTTTTTTGGAGAGGGTGCTGGGTTAAACCATTATGAAATTAACCTTGGTTTTTCCACAGTTATCAATATTTGGACACATTTCAGATGAAATCGTTTTTTTCAAATTGATGACCTTTCTAGGGTGGGTCACTTTCAAACATTTATATGTGATATTTTGTATTCTTATGATGAGTACATGTATATGTAATGCGTTTGTTCATAAACATGTGGCCATTGTTAACTAATTGCATGTTTCTTTCCTAGGTATTATACATATTTATGTACATATAGTGTCATCTTTAGTGAATAATGTATTGTATGAAGAAGTAAATTGATGTTTTGTGTTTCCTGTCTTCAGCCATATTTGATTGGTTGAATGAATCTCATTGAGCACATATAGTAGCCCGGACAGAATTGTTCAATGGTCACTTTTTCTTAAATAACTTTTTAATTTTCAGTATTATCATAGTCTAATCACATATTTGAAAACTATAGTAAAATTCTGACATACAAAAATAATATTTTAGGAACATCTCTTAATTTATTGATATTATAGGCGTTCATAGTATGACTGACGCAAATACATAATTCATCATTTTGCCTCATATTTGTTCAAAATGGCGGCATATTTTGTGAATTTGAATGTTCAGTTGAAAGTTAATATTTAAAAATTGTCATAGGACTATAGGGCCATGCGGCCACCGTTACAATTCTGATGTAATGCAGCAGCAACTGACCATTCATCAAATACAATAAATTAACTCCCTTTGAGGCTATATGAATTATGAAATCAACTCTATTGAAATGTTCGGGGTTGTGTTCAAGAGGATTTGAAAAGGTGGCGCCCCAATGTGCGGGGTGTGATGAGAGTAAGTCCTCAATCTTTTCAAGAGCTCCAAACAGCCATCTCAGAGGCCATTGAAAAGCTGAAGAACAATTCACATGCATGCCAAGGATGGGTTAAGAGGCGTGTGACTGGGAAAGACATTACAAACTGTGGCAGTATGACCCTAAAGTTGCACAGGTTAAACGAACTACATGTAGGGTTGCTAATCCACTACGAGTAACAATGGAATGGCCAAAAATCTTTAAGCCTGCGACCTTACCAATATACTGTACATACAATGTACAAACCTTTTTAAGTACTGGTATACATACAAGTCAATTTAAAACAAAGGGTTATAAATGCAGTCATTACCTTATACCAAGGCAGCAGTCTACATGATTTCGTAGGCCTATATTTCTTAGATATTAATTTTCAATTGAACATTCAAACCACAAAACCTGATGCCGCCATTTTTGAACAAGTATGAGACAAAATGGTGAATTATGTATTCGCGTCACTCATACTATGAACGCCTATAATATCATTAAATTAAGAGATGTTTCATAAATATTTTTTTGTATGTCAGAATTTTACTCTAGTTTTCAAATCTGTAATCAGATTTTGATAATACTGTAAATTAAAAAAGTAATTAAAGAAAGAGTGACCATTGAACAATTCTGTCCGGGCTACTATGTATTTCATTACTTTTATGGAGGAAAATGAATGATTGCTGAATTCTTTTTTTGATGGTATTGAGTTGTCAATAGTTTCAACAATTGACAACTTTCAAGCCATTCAGATTTCAAGTATGAAGATTCAGGTATAACAAATAAGATGAATGACATCATTTATAGTGCACATACATTTGTATTTAATATCAATGTGTTTATATTAATATTTCACTCTATTTCTATTCCTCTAGTCGACCATCGTCATAGTTTATCTGTTTCTCCAACTACTTCGCCAATTCAGCTGAAGCGATGTTTGGAAGGTGACCAAGTCTTAACTGTTTAAAACCTGTCCATAATGTGCATCATGCTTATTTTATTAAACCAAGTGAAATTTGTAAGAAATATATGTTAAGCATATAGTTTCTGAATCCCATCCTCTGAACGCAGGACTCCAGACATCATTTGCTAGATGCTCCTTCCTTCTTCTTGAAAGTACGAGGTACGAGTTCTGGAGGCTTTAGTTTGGATGATGCTGAAACCCAAAGTGTTTCGATTTCAAATTGGAATAAGAATTTGTCGTGCACAAAACTGCAAATTCTCTCATATAAATTAAAAAATAGAAACAAAAGGGATGGGAGGGGTGGATTGACCAAAGCATTGCAAACTTCAGTTACACTAAAATTAACGAAAGAAATATTTCTGAAATGAGCATGATGAGTGGTCTATTGAGACAGGTTGCGTAATAAGGGGTGGAGGTGTTAATCTATTTATTAGGGAATGTGGATTAACAATGGATTATGGTTTAATGATGGAAAAGGATTAACAGTGGAAGAAGGATTAACAATAGAATGTGGCAATCAGATTGATTACAAAGATAGGTTACATGTGGAATATATTCGACAAATACCACTAGCAAAAAGTGTAACAATCGTGTTAACCAGCCTTTCATTATTGCATGGGCTTATCTTAATTAGATCAAAATGTTATGGTAAAAAATAATTCTATCTGGAAACATGGAGGCCAATGGAGGCTTGGATACTAACATAAAAGTTAAATAATAAATATATAATGCTCGACTATAACACATCATATCAGAACTAAACTATAATATTTAGTATTGTTAAAAAAGAAACTATAGGAATTACTAATGAAACTCTTGAGGAAATTTAACATGGCATCAGGGTTGAAGATTTTCTATTTCAGGCTATTCCTTCTTGAAAAAATATTGTTTTCACTGAAACTTTTTGTACTTTGAATATTTATTTACCATATTAATGAATCAGTGTTTTGATGGCACTTAATTGTTCTTTTTGCATGATTGTTTATATCTTTTTTGGTTTTTAATGATTGATGCATGATTTTCTTATTTTGTCTCACAGTTTATATTTTCTGATGTATAATTTTTATGCTTTTTTGCTATTACATAATAATACAAGTGCACTTACTAGAAAAAATAGTAGAGTTACTGAAAAGTGAAATAACTTGATATCCAATTTTCATTTTTAATTGATATACTAATTGATTGATTTACTAGAATTACTAGATTTAGGTATTTACTAATAGATTATAAAATTTGGACAAAAATTTGTTGATTTCGTTGTTGTTGATTTCGCTGATTGTAAATTGATTTGATATTTGTGTTTACAGATGAACGTCGACGTCGCCATAGCGACTTTCAGTCGACCCTGGAAACGTCACCAACACCTACAATTAGTTTGGGACTTGCCCATCTAGGTACACGCAGAGTACACGTTTGCCCTCATAGCAATTTCATGATGGTCTTTGTTTCTCTGTATGATTCCAAAGGAAATTCAGAAATTACATCCTCTGATCAGCATCAGCATTAGATTGATTAGACCATGTATATAATACCGATCTACCTTAAGAATTCATACATGAACCTTTCTCCATGTGATGTAGCTGTCAAATCAGCCGTGTGTGTTCACCGTTCACCACAATGTGGCTAATTTTGGGCATTAATTTTTTGATTAAATTTTTAAAATTAAGTGTGAATGGAGCTGATATCTTCCTGTAAAATTGTTTGTTTTGGCTACCATATATCTATGCCATGCCCCACCGTCTGCCCCAAAGTATTTACACCTTGGTGATCGGTGAGCCCACACAGCCTAAATGTGACATCTTCATAAAGTTTAACCTCAAGAGGTTCAAAAGTTTAACTTCAAGAGGTTCATAAGTTTAACCTCAATAGGTTCATAAGTTTAACCTCAAGAGGTTCATAAGTTTAACCTCAATAGGTTCATAAGTTTAACCTCAAGAGCTTCATCTTTTATATAGAGAGAAGTTCATCTTTGAATTCTGGGCTTTCCCCTTCCACCTTCTATCCTCCAAACAAGGGACAGTACAACAGCACCTTAGCCGGGGGGGGGGGGGTTCGAGGGGTTCAGGCGGCTTTGCTGGCTACAAGCCCAAGAAGATCAGAACTTTATGACTTGACTATAATTTTCTCAGTTTTACGCATTTTTTCGTGGGAACTGTTTTGATTCAAAACCATCATGATAAAGTATATTAGGGTTTGTCACATGAAATATGTTTTGTCACGCGAGATAGAATTACCTGTCATACAAAAATTCTTGAGCTTGAACTTTTGAAATCCATTAATTCTCAAAATTTCTCTTGAAAAACATTGGAGTTATACACCATTTTCACTTTTTATCACTTATCACAAAAAATCCAATTGTAACATCATAAAATGTTACTGCTTTCTCATGTGACAGAAAATATGTACATATTCCATGTGATTTAATACATAGCTTGATGGAAACTAACAGCTTGAGCATGTATATAATATTTTGTTTTATTTTCTCTAACATGCATTGAGGTAGAGTTGCTCATGATATACAGAGACTGCATATTACAGTTCAGCAAATGATGGGGTTCACTGCCTTTTTCATATAGGTTAATGAAAACACAGAATGAAATCCTGTTCTTAGGGCTGGTGTGAAAAAGTCAGTCCACCCCAGTAGGGATTGAAGCCCCGACCCCTCGTTTTGCAGACAATGGAATAGGTCAAGTGAATAGCCCAAATCTGGGTACTTAAAGGCTTTTAGTAGGGAGAGGCCTTGAATGTTGCCATGGATATGGAAAGATCGTCCCATTTGGTTTGTCTGTGGATGTCTATCCTACCTAATAAGGCATGATGGTATTTTAATTTTGGTAACCTGCATTTGCCATATTTTTTTTCACGCTTGCATTTTATGTTTAGAGCATTGTGAAGTCAACCTTTAATATAGATACAGTAAAGTTTCCTAAAGTGAATATGGTTCATCCTCCAAATGCAGGGGTCCAAACATTAACCACTCTGAAGAAGGGAACGGGGGAGATACTGTTGGGGACCCTGCATTTGGAGTATGATATGGCATGAGCTTTCAACTAAATAATTGAAAGCCCATGGATATGGTTAGGACCAGATAAATATGTCCACCTCACAAGGTATTCCAGCCTCAATATAAAAGTATAATATTCAATTAACTAACGGCTGACAGTTTGACCTACTTTTTTGGCCAACTCATTTAAAGGAGTGGAATAATGGCAGGTGCTATTCATATCAAACATAGTTGGCCATAAAATAGCAGGTTAATCCACCAACTGGCAGTTGAATTCGCGAATCATACCAAAGTAACATTGTCAGCTTGTATTAGTGTTTTAACCATCAATATTTTTGTCAGGAAAGTAATTTAAAGAAGGTTTGGATTACTTTTCTCCTCTTTGTTAAGTTTAAAGGACATTTCATTTGGCACATCTCATTTTGGTTTGGGTTTGGAATTTGCCCCTTACTGGTGATCCAATTGAATAATGCATTCGTTTAGGGAAATAACAGCTTATAAATGTACAAACAGTGAAGGAATGTAGGAATATAGTAATATAAGAAGTAATGCCCTTAGATTTAGGTACTGTTAACATTTTAATCAACAAACTAATAACACAGGTGCTTTTATGTCCAAACAAATTGTATACTTGTCTGAAACCATTATTATTATTAGATCACATTTTTTTCATGCCACACACTGAGAGTGATCACATTTTTGCACCATTTGATTATTTTTGACACACCACACCATATAGTATATGACTGCATCTTAGGTCTTATTGATATGCATTTTTAGAATTTGTAATAAACTATATTGAATACAGGCCTTATAGCTATTTCTATTATTTCATTGTATTTCATTAAAATATGAATTCCCAAAATGATGTCACAATTGTCATAGTTACCATAGTAACACATCTATGTAGAACCTGAAATTTTGAAGATGTGAATCATGGTGTCATAAATACTATGGATTTCTTTGGAAAATGTTGCAATACAAGCTCAATGAGTGAAGAAGAGATAGCAAGAATTCGGGAGAGTTTGGACAGTTTGCAATCTGTTCTCTTGCATGCAGATTCGAATCGTAAGAAATTATATTGTGATTTATTTTTTCTTAGAAAATGTGTTTTTACATTTTCAGAATGAAAGACTACATAAATTGTTTATGTGTTTTATTTTAGGTGACTTTTATCCACATCCCATTTCTTAATTGAAAATCTCAAGAATATAGGTAGAGAGGAAATACAAATTTTTCTGGAAATCCACCCACTCCAACTCCACCAATGTTTTATTTATGTATTTGTTTATGTATTTCAGCTATGCCATACAGGCGTTGGAGTGATCACCGTGCTCCAATGACCAAGTCACAATCCCTAGGAGACGCACATGGCAGCTATATCATATTCAAGTCTGGGTCACCTAGTGGTTCCACTAGCAGGGTGAGTCAACCCCCCCTCCCTGAGATTGGATTATGTTATTGTCTTTACTGAAGCTGGATTATTGGTTATTAAGGTCTCTGTGGGATCAAATTTATATCAAAATTGTTTGAAAATGAGAATTATTTATCCCTGTTGAATTACAGGTACAAATACATTGTTTAATATGAAAGAAATAGTAATACGATTTGAAAGGAATAAACACTAAAAATATTATACTTTAGAAAAAACATGCCACCATTCATAAAAAATGAAAGATCTCAAAAATCTCTTCACAGCATTTTTTCATGAACATTCACATTCAGTTGTGTTCAGCATTCATTGCCATCTCAATATCAATGTTTTAAGTACATTGTTTCCTGAAATAAGTTCACTTGAGGACAATACGATTGGATGTAGAGAACTCATTAATAACTCTGTATATGATAAATACAGCCATCTATTACACTTGTATTGATGCAGCTTCGCATTAGCTAGCTTTGCCAGCCTTTGAAGTTTTCAACTGAAGAGAACAATATAATCCACCCCTTTCAGTGAGGTATTAGAGGCTTCCAAATCGGGAATGAGTTTCCATAATTGACCAAATTGTGTTTGGACTATACAAATTCAGGCCAACACAAGAAAGATGCACCATATAGCAAAACCTGGAATCTCTTGGAGGACAAATGAGAAACAAATAATGTGAATTGTCCAAAAATATTGGTGAATTGCATGATATGATATAATTCTCAGTATAGTACATCTTGCAGTAAGTGTACATTAGATCTCATTTCGTTAAGGTTATTCCAATCAAAAGTGATATTCATCATAACATTTCCGATTTGAATAAATAAATTGCAACAGCCTGTTTTACACTGATGAGAGTGAATCATACAGTAGTGAACATCAGCTGATTCCCAGGTAACCATATAACGGGAACAATTTTAAAATCAATAGGAAAACATTCATTGTAGCCTTTGTGGTTATTGGATGGTACTGAATGTGTTTGTGTGTAGTAAAACTTCGCATCCATGTCTCGCTAATTTGAATGTTTCCCTAATTTGAATGTTTCCCTAATTTGAATGTCTCTCTAATCTGAATGTCTCCCTAATTTGAATGTTTCCCTAATTTGAATGTTTCCCTAATTTGAATGTTTCCCTAATTTGAATGTTTCCCTAATTTGAATGTTTCTCTAATCTGAATGTTTCCCTAATTTGAATGTTTCCCTAATTTGAATGTTTGCCTTATTTGAATGTTTCTCTAATCTGAATGTTTCCCTTATTTGAATGTTTCCCTAATTTGAATGTTTCCCTAATTTGAATGTTTCTCCAATCTGAATACCTCTCTACTGTGAACACTTCTCTATTTCATTGACTCCCATATTAAAAAGTTAATATGGGAACACCTGCTAATCTATAAAGGTGTCTAATTATTAGTACTGGTTTTAAGCTCATTCTTGTCGTGGAAATAAAGCTAAACTAATAAACCCATTGAGAAAAAAAACTTTTCTGTAGATCGTATCTTTTGAACAAGGTGTTTGACATTCTGGCATTTCTATATGCTTTAGAGTATGGATCTCATATTGTTTATGCCTTGTTGATTCCACCATTTTTTTTATACATTTCTCATTTTAAACATGCTCACAATGATATTTGATACACAGGTTCCTATTGTTTGTCATGCATCAACATTTTTATATTGATTGATTGCTATACCAGGATTTTCCTCACTTATGCATGATCTCATATATTTATTCCCCACTACTTGGTATTTCAATGGTAGTTTATTTAATCATATAAGGACCTTGGGATTTGGGAAATCAGAATAATATCCCCGATTTGTTTTAAACAGCTCATCAATAATATACATGCAGTAGTTGGTCGTTTTAGAAAATACTTTGTTTTATTTTGTTTCTAAGGGGTCTTCACATGATTGTACACAATTCATCCTACCATTCATCAACCTTTCTGTACTGTGTGTTAATAGCCTCGTTTATTGTTGGAATACAACAAATAGATCTTGGCTTCAAGGGAGATTGATATAAAAATGTATCTAATATATGCTATTCTAGTATATTCATATACTAGGTGTTTGGTCAGAGTGAGATAATTTTCAGGATATATCGTGATTTCTCAGATCAAAACTAGTAGTCTAATCTTGAGTATGTTCTATATAGCAGATAAACTGCTCTATTGAAAGATATTTGAATCCTTGAAGGAATATTGAAGGAATTTGCCTAAATGTTTAAGTACAGTAAATCCTGTCTTAGTGAACACCTCTCTCCGGTGAACACCTCTCTAATGAACACCTGTTTTTAGTCGACACCTTTCTTCCGCTCATACCCTACTGACTTCTGAATAAATTACCCTCTCTGTAGTGAACACCTACCAACACTGAACATGAACTCATCCCTTGTGAACAACTGTCTCCAGTGAACACCCTTCCTCCGCACATTCTCCACTGACACCTACCAACACTGAACATTTTTCTTGGCAATAAAATGTTCATTATACACAGGTATTACTGTTTACAGAAATAAACCACTTACAGCATGATGCGCAATATTGCAACATACATATCACATACCAAAAATACATGTTATAATATAGGAAAATTGAATTCAATCGTTACCAAACAGTGATTCACCGTGTCTTTGCCTGTTGTTTCAATCAATATATAGACAGAAGAAATCACATGATTTTATCTTTAGATTTCTATATGGTTTATTTCGTCCCGTTCCAAGTCATTGACTTAACGAAATGTAGAAAAGTTTACATCTTAAATGTTTACTTGTATCTTCATATGAAAGCTTACTTGTCCATTCACATGATTACTTGCCTCTTGACAAGATTACTTGTTCATTCACATGATTACTTGCCTCTTCTCAAGACTATTTGTCCATTCACATGATTACTTGCCTCTTCTCAAGATTACTTGTTCATTCACATGATTAATTGCCTCTTCTCAAGATTACTTGTCCATTCACATGATTACTTGCCTCTTGACAAGATTACTTGTCTATTCACATGATTACTTTCCTCTTCTCAAGATTACTTGTCTATTCACATGACTACTTGCCTCTTCTCAAGATTACTTGTCCATTCACATGATTACTTGCCTCTTCTCAAGATTACTTGTCCATTCACATGATTACTTGCCTCTTCTCAAGATTACTTGTCCATTCACATGATTACTTGCCTCTTCTCAAGATTACTTGTCCATTCACATGATTACTTGCCTCTTCTCAAGATTACTTGTCCATTCACATGATTACCTTTCTGTTCACATGGATATGGATACTTGCCTTTTTACAAGATCACTTGTCTCTCACAGACTCATTGGTTTTAGTGTTTATTTCAAGATCATTTATACTGAAAATTGATGGGTGATTCATTAAAGTTTATCAAGGTTTTTCATTTAGGTATTTCATCAAGGCACATAGTCTTTCATCATATTCTTTTACATGAGAACTATTCAAACACTGATTGGAACTTTCACACCAACCAAAAATTTCATAAGTGCTTTTATGTCATATATATTGTTTGTATATATGTTTACATTTTTTTTATATTTTTGTTGTTATTTTTTCAGCTGCCAAGCAGTACTGCTGAACTTGAGGCTATGGAAATAGAAGATTTAGGTAAGGTCACAATCATATTAATCCTGATAAATAAATTATTTAACTTCATTAATATACTATAGCACATTGGGGTTCTCCATATTTAAAAAAAAGATTGGCCAGGAAAAGTAATCAACATATGTGAGTCGTGTTAAAACGGTTCATCTAAAATAATAATTTTTGGAGTTGAAACTTGTCTGAGAGAGGTGTTATCATGTTTGGCTAATACATAATAGAGTACACATGGAAACATGTATTTTGATACACCATTTGAAAAAAGTTTGTATGTAAGAAATGTATTCCAAACCATATATATTTTCTAATTTATTTCAAATTGTTCAAAAATGTAGATTTAAATATGTTCTCAATAGTTTTAAAACATTTTAAAAGTGTAATGCATTTGTAATGTGTTTATGTTGTTGTGATATCAGTTGTGAAACAAATCCTTGGACTCGTTAAAAATATTTTTTGAATATTTGAATGCATGTCATTGTTATACTCTCTTGCAGAACAAAATAGAGATTGCGCATTTTCTAAATTCATGAAGGCCCACAAATGTTATGACCTTATCCCAACTAGCTCTAAGTTGATCGTGTTTGACACGACGTTAAATGTGAGTAACCCCCCTCCCATAAGCTGGGATCACATGGTTGTTGTGTGTGATGTTTTTAAGCCATCTTAAAAATAACATTGTGGTTTTGGTTGATTTCCCCAACAGTTGACAAAACCAATGGATATTCTTGGCATATTTTCCAGTGAATTTTCACATAAAGTTGGCCACTCTGACCACACAATGTTAGTTTTAAATATGAGCACTCTTACCCTGGTCTAGGGACCCCCTCCCTTGGTCTGGGGATGCCCCACCCTTTGGTCTAGGGACCCCCTCCTTTAGTCAACACTCCCCTCCTGGAATATATACAGTTAGATAGGGTGGCTCAGATTTGTTCTAAAGCAAAACATTTCTGATGTTTAATGTGTGCACAAGACGACATAAAATAACCCCTGAAAGTAGATCTGTTGATCAACTTACTGTTTGAGATTTAGATGATGCATAAAGTCATGTCATTACAACCTCATACATTTACCAACATGGCAAATTTGATAGCTCCCTTTCAGTTTTGATCTGCATATAAGTACAAAAAATTACTATCTGCAAAGTACATCCTCTGAATGACTAAAAATGTCTTTTTAAAACATTAATAATAAACGATTGTTGAATCAAGAAATTTTCGGTTGTCTTTTGCACACTTCCCAGTATGCACCCTTTCTAATACCCGAGACCCACTTGCTTAAAATCTCATGTTTGTCATGAATGCTACTCGATTTTAAAAACCATTTGAATACCAAGAGTGACAAAAATTTATTGAAGAAATTTTCACAAAAAAAAAACATTCATAAATTGTACCCACTTTACGCAAATTATCATTTAAAATCAAAACTTATTCCAAAATTAACATCATTGTCTACAGTACTATGTATTGAGATAAAAAATACCAAAAACCTTGAACTGAAAAAATGGTCTGAGTATTCAAAAGGTTAATTATGAATTTCTGATATATTATGAATGTGAATTTTATGTCTGTTCACTTCTTGATTTTCCAATTTCTCTCTCTTTCTTGTTTTCTACAAGTAAAAGCATGACCAACATGGGATTTTTAGGTACGAGCTATCTCTGTTTCTGTTTTCTAGCCCGGTGACACATATTTCATTTTGCAGATGTAGACGAAGATTTAATATTCTGCAAGTTCATGAAGGCGCACAAATGCTATGATTTAATACCAACTAGCTCAAAACTTGTCACCTTTGACATCCGGTTGAATGTGAGTAACGCATGTAAAATGCGTCACATGTCTATAGGCTTCAATGTGGCTCGACTCGTCGCCGTTAATTTCTATTGCATCGCTGTTTCTATTTGTCCTGTGATTCATGCTGACGCTTGCTAGAAATTTATTTCTCATATTTTATTGTCTTTTAGAAAAACTTGTCTGTAATTGCAAAACTTCAATCATTTCTCACCTTTCCTTAGCTTAGTTCCTATTCTTTTAATATGTGACTTTAATATTTTAATACCCATATTTGCTAGTATTTGGTTATACCAGTGCTTTTAATGCATTTGACCATTTAACTCAAACACTTAACTTAAATGTATTTAACTGTAGACCCCTTGAGTGACGAAAATATTTATCCCTAGAATGTTTACCTCTTGCATGCTGAGGTCACCATAACTTATATTGTTTTGTTTCTCTAAATTAAGATGAATTCCCCAATCTATATTTAGAATGGTTTAGACAGGGTGAGTCCTAAAGATTTCACACAGGTTGCGTCATAAGGATTTTAGACAGGGTGCGTCATGAGGATTTTAGACAGGGTGCGTCTTAAGGATTTCAGATAGGGTGCATCATCAAAATATTTAGACATGGCGGTCAGAGATGAAGTATGGACCATTTGCAATGTTACTTTCTCATAGTTGCTGAAAAAGAAACTGGTCAGAGCCACTGGACCAGTGCTTATTTCACACTCTGATTTCAGACATACAGATCAAATTTGAATATCAGACTAATTGTCACGTTACCCTGAAAAAATAACCTGGGTAAGATCAAAATAATCGGCTCAGAGCCTCTTAGCTTGCAGATATATGTCACCCTAGGGCCTTAACCTATCCATTCCACATATAGACTTCACTGCTAGGTCCATCTCAAATAACTGTTAATATTAATATATTTTCCCTGCTTGTATGCTTGTCTTTTACTCATTTATTATATGTCAGCACTGTATTTGACTTCACTGTAAATTGTATTATTCAATGTATATATTTTGTAGTTTTTAAAAAACAAATGAATGTATGTCATAGTGTAATAATATATTTTGAAAGTTTTTACATATAAGTTTATTGTACAATCATTTAATCTATTGCATAATTGTTAGACATATTGTATAATTGTTCAACTTATTATACAATCATTTAACATATTGTATAATTATTCAGTCTATTATACATTTATTCAACCTATTATACATTTATTTAACCTATTGTACATTTATCCAACCTATTGTACATTTCTATTCAAACTATTGTACATTTATTCAACCTATTGTACATTTCTATTCACAGGTAAAGAAAGCCTTCTTCGCATTAGTATACAATGGTGTAAGAGCTGCACCTCTATGGGACTCTAACAAACAGGACTTTGTAGGTAAGAATGAATAAAGCCGCAACAAGTAAGACAATGAATTAATTGTGGATCATTTACCATGCTGCGGCTATTACATAATTTGATTGTAACAATTCATTGTGATACTTATAACAAGCATTGTGCATGTCTGAACCTTACCAGAAATTGGGGTCCTAGTTTGGGTTGAAATGACTGAATTTAAAGATAGAATTAGAAAAAGAGATGGCGGGAAAAAATAATTAATTGTGGGTCATTTAGGATTGTTCAAATTGATAAAATCTGGATTTCGTATTTCTTTAAATAAGGCATGAAGTTATGGATTTTTTGGAAAGAAGACATGACAAGGTATTATACTAGATGTAAAGATACTGAAAATGACAACATGTGTCTTAACTTTAACACAGGTGTAGACATGAGGTAGGCGAGTGTGTTAAGATTTTACAGAAAAGAATTTATTCAGATATGTTTTCACTAAAACTCTGAAAATGAAGTCGAATGGCAGTAACGTATCTCTTTTGTTTCAAAAAACTGAATTTTCTCTTTTAGGTATGCTTACTATAACAGATTTTATCAGTATTCTACAGAAGTACTATAAATCACCACTAGTGCAAATGGACGAACTCGAAGAACACAAAATAGAAACATGGCGAGGTAAGCGTAGTTTGATTTTGTCTTTTTAACCTATTATTTCCATGAGTTCTATTCAAATTTTTGATTTCACGCATGAGTGAATAGGACTTATCATAATCCAAGTGTTTGTCTTATTTCGAGTCTTGACCATATATGGAGATTTTTGTTCGATTTTATTTGTGAGAATTTCCCTCTGCACGTAACGAGGTTATTATTAATGTAGAATATAGTTCTGTTTGATGTATAGCTTCCTTCGTAAAAAAAGTTGAACTAATCTTCAAATGACTATCAGAGTAACTGAATTACCATTCATCTGGCTCAAGTATTTTTTGCCCAATAAATTACAGGGTCATTGTAATGTATGTGTACATGTGTATGATTTGCGTCATGTTTTGATGCATTTCTCAATAAATACATGTACTTCGATAAGCATTTCCAATTGTTCTATACAATTTAGAAAAAGAGATGGTATAGAAAAATGTGTTAAATTAATATAAGGTCATTTGGCTGCTTTGCATAATATAATATAAAGCATATATATAGCAAGGCAGTTTTGTAAAAAAAATCGATGTTTTCGGGCTATTACTTGTATAAAGACTGTGAAGAATTAACCGTCAACATAATTTGCTTCAATTCAATGTGTCTTTCTTCTTGGTTGGTTTATTGGGCAAAGAATGCAAACAGTACCTTCAACTACAACTCCAATCAGAAATGATCACTGTATTTACTGATGATTACCTGCTGAGCCTCCATTTTCAGATCATGTGATCACCCTGAGGCTAGCAGGTAAGCTGCGCCATCTATATTTACAGCTCTGCATAATGTATGCTCTCACAAACTGAAAATATTCCAATGTTGTGCTATGCGAGCAAACTTGATTTGTAAATAATAATTTGCCTGCAAACAATATTGAATATTTTTACCATTATGCCTTAGATATTAAACCTTTTGTGATGTTTTCCTAATCATTGGTAGATCTAGAGGCTGGATTTGGCTGTGTAGATAATATCTATCAGTTTCTTTTATTCTTTTCGTATTCTTTCTCTTTTGTCATGTTATCCTTAAGTTTGTTTGGTAGCCAATTTATGCATATGCCAAGCTTTAATATATACTGTAATGATACATATCCTTTAATATAAAAATATGACAATAATGATAAGCAGGTAAAGGTATTTAATAGAGAACCAGATGCTAATTTACCATTGACAGAAATTATTGAAATAACAAAATTGATATAAAAATGCAAATGCCTATTTCCCATGTATGCTTCATGTGCATGAGCCTATTGTAATCATTAGCTTAAATTGTTTATGATTTTGTTTAATGGTAATTCTGCTGCTTACATATATCTCACTAATTTGTGATAATTTAGTTAATACTCATGTTTTCTGTTAATATTTCTTGCTTATTAAATAAATTCATTGGTATGTTTAATGCTTATTTGGTACATATTAAGTGCATATTTGGTACATATTAGGTGCTTATTTGTTTGGGATATATTTGATGCTTTTAAGGTGTAACCCTTCTGATAACCATTGCTTTGTAAAACCAGTAAAACTAGAAGGTCCCATAAGGCAAATCGGTCCCATTTCTATACCTCACATTGAGTTCTGTGTTAAATTTGCCCTTTTTGGTTTTGGTGAACACCAGACCCCTTGAACACTTTTTGTTAGGTGCCGAAAGTGTTGACCATAGAGGGGTTTTACTGAATTAGATAGAACTTAGATTAGCAGTTTCATTCTATTTTAGACACCCACTTCCCTGTCCTGGGTGTATTAGATACGTTAGAGTTCTAATTTGAAGTCTGGGAGTTAGTTTTACTCCATATGGTTGTCAGAGGGTTAATTAAAGTGCAGGTTAGATTGTGACGTTCACTACATTAGATAAGCCACGTCTGCATTTCAGTTTTTTTTTATTTGACAAAGAGCGAGGGCTTTCACCAGGTGATATAAATCATACTTCATGTTTGATAATTTAACGCATGTTCATTTTTTTGTGTTTTGTGTGCACATGCTTTTTAATGCATGTCACGCGTATACATCAGTTCTAGCCTTTTTGATTACATAGAATAAATATCGGTCTCTGCCATTTTTGCTTCAATTCCTAAAGAAAGAAAATCTCACAAATAAAGACTTAAATGATATGTACTCATATTTAACACTTTACCTTTCAGAGGTGCTAAAAGATGATTATAAGCCTTTAGTCAGTATAGACCCCGATTCGAGTTTATTCGATGCCATACGGACACTGATCCACAATAGAGTCCACCGATTGCCAGTAATCGACTACAAGACGGGTAATGCCATCTATGTTTTGACGCACAAACGAATACTTCGATTCCTGTATCTGTATGTAAGTTGATACTTTTTATTTTTCATGTCACCACCAACAGTGTTTATTATAGTCTCTATAGTAACTTTTTTTGTGGATGATGTTCAGCAGTTGGTGTTTGGTGTTCGGCATCTGTAACAAATGGCATGTGGTGAAATAAATGCCTTTTTAATTTCTTTAAATGACAATTACCCTGCCCTATTGCATTTGATAACATCTTTGATTCAATCCACTTCCGTCATGCTCTGAAAATAATAATATAATGATCGATTGAACTGTACCAGGATTCAGACCTCGGCATTTTAATGAATTATTAAAATGTATTTATAACACCAAGACAGTCACATATGTAAAATCAATTGCGGGTAATTGTTTAATGTGGTCAATGAACAGGCATAGGGCTGAATATTTTCGTAAAGTAAGTGACAAATATATTCTTATTTATCAGATTTTTTTTTATTCATTTTCTTTTGCAAAATTCATTTTTCTAACAAAACTGGCTCTCATTTTGCAGATAGCTGACCTTCCCACACCAACCTTCATGTCGAAGACCTTAGAAGAACTAGATATAGGTACCTACAAAGATATCGCAACTGTAAGTCTATCTCCACTTTATCTAGTTAGCATCAATGCTCTTGTCCTATTCATTCACAATAACTCAGATGCGAGTAGGTAGTTACCAGTTTCACCACCAGGTTGCTCATTTGGGTCAGATAGCATGGCGGATATAGTAGAAAGTTCCCTTTAACTTAAATATTCATCAGTTTTAATGGTTCAATTTTCATATCACCCTTATGTATCTAATAGTTATACAAATTAAAATATGTCAAGTAAAAGAAAGTGTTATCTATCCAATACAAGGAAAGATATTTCACTTTTTGTGATTTTATAACATGGGGTCCATGGAGAATCTCCCTGAACTAGCAGCCACATTTTCACACAAAAAAATTGACAAACAATTTTAGAAACCATATATCTAGATGACCTTTTACATGTAGATTTAAAATATGACATCACTTTGACTGAATTTTGAATATTTGATGACGTAAATGAAGATTATTTCTACTCGCATCTAGTCTATTCATTTATATGTTCGCCTTGATGCAAGATTGCAAGCTTGACGCCTTAGAACTTTCTAAACCTTACCTCTGTAATATCATGTACATTTTTAATCATCGATTTTTAAATTCCAGGTGAACCCTGATACACCAGTTATCAAGGCGCTCAACATCTTTGTGGAGCGAAAAGTCTCCGCACTCCCAGTTGTTGACAGCAAAGGAACAGTTGTGAACATTTACGCTAAATTCGACGTCATTGTAAGTTTATAAGTTTACTGTTTGTCGTCATAGGATCATGTGTTTAAAAAGAGATTAAAAACATAGTTCAACTATTGTTATCATATAACATGATATTATATTAGAAACAAAACAGAAAACCCTTGCCACTATTCTTATGTAAGACATTTATGCCGATTTTGATATTAATTTTTTTCCTAAATTAAAATGCATTTAAAGTGTATGTTGATGTTTTCTTAACAACTATATGTTTTCATCAAGCAGAATTTTAAAATGAACAGCTCTATTGTTATTTTGACATTACGAGTCCGGGATTTTGATACATTTGTTCATTTGACCTTCAGAACCTTGCAGCTGAAAAGACGTATAACAATCTAGATATAACCATAGAACAGGCGCTGCAGCATAGGACTGATTACTTTGAAGGAGTGGCCAAGTGCCTACAAACAGACACTCTTTCTGCTATTATGGAAAAAATAGTGAAAGCTGAAGTGCATAGACTAGTTATAGTGGATGATAAGGATAAGGTCTTAGGAGTTGTTTCACTGTCCGATATTCTTAGCTATCTAGTACTTTCACCAGCTGGTATGTACATTTTCTTTTGTATAATGTCACCACCAGAAGTATAATCTCCAACTTTTATGTGGTTGGTGTTCAGTGTTCGGCATGTATAACAGTGTTCAGTGGTCAGCATCTGTAACAAATGGCAGGTTGTGACATTATCCTTGTTAATACCTTGTATATTTATTAAACCATCATCCAATCATTGGGTATTGCGTCAAGTAGGTCAAATTTCATTGTTTGCTCATTGCTGTAAAACAAATGGCCAAACAAGGTCAGGAGAATTTGTGTTATTTCAAATTTATACTTGCATAAATTATCAATGGATATACCCAATATCCCTAAGCCTCAAGGTACATGTAGGTGAGATATCGTAAATTCCCAAAATCCAAAATTTGAACATTCATTCAATTTGAACATTCATTCAATTCAATTTGAAACATTCATTCGATTTGAACATTCATTTATGACCAGTAAACCTGCTGATTTAAAGAAGGTTACATGTGTCAATCACTATTACTGACTTCTGTACTAAAAAATGTTTTTGTTGTTTATTTCCAGGAGAATTGCCGCCCAAGTTTTCATGATGATAACGTGAAACAGTTGATTCAACCCAGGGATTATTTATTGATACTTTATACATGATGTTACACATTAAGGATACATGATGTTACACATTTAGGATACATGGGTGTTACACATTTAGGATACATTGATGTTCACATTTAGGATACAGGATGTTACATATTAAGGATACCCAATGTTAAACATTTAGGATACATGGGTGTTACATATTTAGGATACATGGATGTTACACATTTAGGATACAGAATGTATTGGAATGCACAGTGTTACATAACTATATGATGTACAGTATGAGAGAAGAAAGGATGTCACACATTTAGGAATGCAGAATGCCACATATTATTAAGGAATATATTAAAGAAAAATATATAGATATGTAAAACTAAAGGCAATAAATAAGTGTCCCGTATATTCAACTACAGTCATTCTATTTAAACTAATTAAAGATTATTTGAATTAAAGGTTCTGAAGTGGGTACATTGAATGTAATGCTATGAGACAATATCAGATAAATTGAATATTTAAGGTGCTTTAAGCTAGAAGAGTAAAATATTTCATCCCTCAAACTTTGTTAACATTATACAGTATGATAAAACATGTCAAAGCAATTTAAGAATAATATCATGTAAATGTTTTCAATTCAGCTAAAATACAATTAACTGGACAGAGGAATTCCAGCAAAATAAAAATTGAGGTAAATGTGTATTAGATTGTACCTGTAGTCATGGAATTTTCAAGAACAGTATGAGAAATTAGCAAGGAATAAAGTGAACATGCATTTCGTTTACTTGATCTGTCAAACTGGACCACTGGAATATTCTGGAACATTCTGGAATATTCTGGAACATTCTGGAATGTACAACGAGCTTACATATTGTGCCTTGGAGAGAAAGATAAATACTGGATTGAACGTTCAAATTTCTAATAGAAAATATTTTTTGGTGCTGGCATGCTTTTGCGACTGACTTCTAACCTTTAGCACAAAACGTTATCATGTTTTATATCTTATAAACAGATTAGAATGAGCATGATTCAGATATAAATGAGCAGGGTAATCTCGAGCTGGATTATAATGTGCCAGATTTCATCTCTTATCTTTAGCATGACTACAGTGAAACATGTAAAGTGGAACACTTGTAGAGGTGGAATATCTCTATTAGTGAAACATTTCTCATAGTCCCAAGACCAACTGACTTATTGTTAAATGAACCTCTATAAGTGGAACATCTCTCAAGTGGAACACTGTTTAGAGTTGCTGTGGGTGTTCCACTTGGACATGTTTTACTGTATTACTAGTGGGAGAGGGCACAAGTTGAGAGTGGGCACAAGTTAACTGATAAAAGCGTGATGATACTGACTTGTTTTTTGCCTTAAAGATGGTTACATGAATGGCTGTTTGCCTGTAACCTTAAGGAAGTATATGAATGAACAAAACCTTATGCAGGAACACATCAAGTGACAGAGCATTGAAATATACATTGATAGACTGTCAGAATATGCTCGCTGTAGTGCAAACTTATAGAAAAAGAAACAGTCTGCCTTGGCAAGCCTCCATACATTTACAGGGCCAGTTTCCTCGATACGAGGCTGTGTATTAAACTGTATGTAAGTTGCAGTATTGTAAATTCTGTAAGTTTGATTTGGCCGAACTGCAGATCATCAATTTAAATCATTCTCATTGAATTAAATGCCGCCAAATTCAACCAATTTACAGTAATTGAGAGGAGGAGAGATTTAATTGGTTGATTGTTTGTACTGGATGCAACCAGGCGCCAGTAAGCCAATCAGTGCAATAAAATGCTATCATACTGAAACATTAATGTCTCTTACAGAAATAAATTCTTATTTTGAGATATCCTTGTAATGTTCAATCAGGCCTGAAGTCAGCTTTTGCTAATGGGGTTTACTTCAAAAAATTTAGGGGGATTTATATTTGCCAACTTTGGCCCAAAATCGCTTGAAAAGAGCTCAGAATGGTAAAAATTGCATGATTTTGAAAGAATTTTTGACGGAGGGGATTAACTCGAACTCCCCAACCTCCCCCCCCCTGGCTACAGACCTGTCAATTGTTCATATGGTTTCACAGTTGTCATATCAATTGTTATCCTAACTGTAGTTTTGCTTGTGTTATGGGCACCATTTTGATGTATTCTGTATATGTACCAGGCCCGTAGCCAGCATTCGCCAAGGGGGTTCACTTTTTGAAAATTCCAGGGGGGTTCACTTGTGACAATTTTGGTCCAAAAATTGCCCAAATCACTTAAAAAATGCTCAGAATGGTGAAAAACTGCATGATTATGAAAGATATTTGGCCAGGCGGGGTCTTGTATAGAATCCATTTTAACCATTGGGCGTCACATGTAAGAGAACCATTTACGTGTTGAGTTAGACCACAGAATTCCTGCAACCATCTTAAGCTATTAGACAATTGGGAGCTGACATTGCCTCCTACCTTCCTTGAAAATCAATGTGCCATGAGAAAGATGATTCATAAAAATAAAGGTTTCGATAAAAATACAGTATCGCAATGCTTGCATAATAGATGTCTCCACATGTTTTGTGGCTGTACCTGCATACCAGAAAATGAATTTCTGCTGTTGTCTTATGTTAGTATGTTTTAGCGCAAGTTTGTGACATTTTTCCTAATTATGTTAACATCAAATAACAAAACTTACCACATTTCATATCATTTTAGCATAATTTTTTGTCACGTTTTTGCAATTTTGCGAAATGATAAAAAATGTGGCAGGTTTGTTTTAATGAGTACTATATGAAAGAGACTGTATAGTACATTGCAATATTATGCCATATGATATATAACTGTGCATTAATTTTCAAAAGAAATTGTACATGTATTGTACTGTACATGACTATCAATTTGTAAAATTGTACACTCCCTTTATAAGTCAGTGTATCTAGTGTAAATTGTAAATAGTGTAAAGTAGTGTAAAGTGTAAAGGTTTATGGAATGAGGATTTTATTTTTAACTAGTATTGCATTGGAACGTTCAGGTTGGATGCTCAATGTCTCTCATTGAACCCTTTTTAGAGATCACGTCAAAGGTTTTGCGCTGAATTCTACGTATCGTTATCACCATATTTAACGCCCACCCCCTAATGAGCACCCATCCCGCTTCACAAAGGTCAAGAAATATATAGGGAAATGTCTAAGATAGAATTTCTAAAGTATTCAAGTGGGCGATAATAGAGTACTTACACTCAAATTGGATAAAAATGGCAGGTTTTGAAATTTCCATTTTACCTAAAAATAAAAACAAAAGCGATTTTGCGTAGAAATTAGTACGAAGCCTTTGATGTGATGCCCTAGTTCGGAGTGAGAGCAAAATGTGTGCCATGTTGCATAGTTTGATAAAGGCCTTATGTGACTATTGTGGCCTCTGCAATTTTATCTTTGAGCTTTTGTGACACATCAGGCGTCTGCTATGTAACTGTATAAATTTATTTTTCATGATTTAAGAGCTGCAAATTCATATGTGTGTTTCTATGTTAATATTCAAATCGATTCAGCAATTCAAACCTATGTTGCTAAGGAACGTATGATGTCGCAATACATACATAACGGGTCCTAGAGTACCAGGGCCTTTAAATGTAGAATGTGCGTCTGTGTTTGAGGGTCTAAACACCAACAAAACCACATTCTAGGTCTACTGTTAGACAGTAGAAATTAAAATATGCTTATAAACGTGTATATATAGATAGGTCATCAAGTGTAAAACATTCAGGGATGATAGAATCATCGCTAAAATAAGTAAACATTAACCTACATTAAGCACCAACTGTTATGTGTACAGCCTATACACATTTGCTATATGGCGGCCATGGCAGGTGTAGATTCACAAATCACTCTAGAAGTTACATCGTACCGCTTATCCTTATATTTTATGCTGCATATTTCTCTCGATTTTGGGAAGCTATGGCTGCCGTATGGTTGCCATAAATCAAATGTGATTGAGCCACAAAGTAGGCTATGCATATAGGTAAAGATGAAAAATGGTTATCATATTTTAGCACAGAAATTGTTGCATAGATACATGATGCTAATTTGATTAAAAATATGCATATGAGTTATCAATCGAAACCTGTTCTTGTGTAAGTCTCATTTAAGACGGTAATGGTGAAAATATCAATATCCTTCAAATAAGTTAGTTAATGTCATCGACATTTTTCACTAAATGGCTTGACCCCCCCACTCATCTCCTTCCAAGTGAGATGTGTGCAGGGGAGGGGTTGGCAAGGGCTTGAATCAAGATTAATTTTATCAAAACAAAATGTCTTACGTGAGTGTACATGTATATCCCAAAAGGACAAGGTATTGATGTAAGGAAATGACCCTTTTTGGTTGATTGGTGAAGTTTTAATTGCAGCATTTGACTGATATTGATACATTGACCTTACCCCCTCAAGATATGGAATAACACTGGGTAGTAGCAATCAACACATTATTAAGATGAAGGATTCCTTTCTGGTTGTTAAGTTGTATAAACGTTTCATTGTGGTCATGGTAACCATGCTAAAATATCATTCAGGTCATGCAAATTTCACAGCCTTTCTCTCAAGACTTTGTATGAAATGTTCAGTTTTCTTACATTTTTATACAATTTAGAGTGTTCTCTAGAGGACAGTTTTTTTATTTACATTTCCTTGCTTATTCCACTCTTTGTTGTATTTCAAAACAAGATAAGTGATGAAATTAAATGCTTGTCTTTTACATTGAATATCATGATATTTCTTATAAATATGCATGGTTAGATTGATGATATTTATTTTGAAATTGTTTTTTGTTTATGTTTGTTAATTTTTTTTGTCAGTATTGCTTTTTTTACCAAAAATGGTCAATTTTCAATGGATTTCACTTTTTTAACTTTTTTTGAATTGGCCGATTCATATTTTAAACTTAATTCACAAAATAAAATCAAGTCATATTAAAATGTCAAAATGTCTCCACCTCGAAAAATGTGAGTTTGCAACCAGCCAATTAAAAAAAGTGTTGGCGCCTTGACATTAAAAATAACTGTCAAAGTAACCATGCCAACCCCTACACAGCTTCATATAGTATGCAATTTCATGTATGTACACTGTATTCCTCGCTTATTTCACTATTTTCCAATGTATGAACAAGATATAGTGTGAAGTACCATGATCACGTATTGTGTATAAATAATTTAGTTTGATAGACGAATTGTATAAATATTGTATAATTCTCAACAGATTGAGCTTTTATAATGAAAGCCAAATATGAAGCTGTAAGAAATTATGCTTTCGAAAAATGAAGGCAATAAAAATCAATTGGATTTTTACAAAACCAAATTTCATTGTCTTGTTTCTTTGTTTCATGGAGCTGGAGTTCATGACTTTCATAAGCACATAAGTATGAATTCCATGAATCCATCTCAATCACTAAACCATGCAAAATAATTCCGCTTACAGTGCAATGACAGACTATGACAACATGTTGAACTTGTAAATGTTTAAATATTTTAATTTGCTAAACAATTAAGTAGGCAACACAAAACACAACTTTATTTTTCAGGAATTACTGCATTTTATTATTTGCCATTGCATTACACTTAATAAATAGTCTGTACATAAATTTTACACTGCCTACATATTTTTACACTGGCAACATACTTTTTACACTAGCAACAAGATAACACTTGGATCCTCTACAACAATAATTTCGGAAAATTATTTACAAAATTAAAATGATTGCTTTTGATGGATTTATATAATTCTACATAAAATGTGTTATCAGAAGGAAACCTTTATACAGGTAAATACTCTAAATCAACAACAACTAAATAAATAAACAATGTAATAACGTCAAAAGATGTCACCACCTGGTTGTTATTCCAAAATAGTTACAAGAAGTTACAGATCCCAAATGGTGGTCACAATAATGATGGCCATAACAATATGTCACAATTTCTTGGTGGTCACAAAAAAAGTTTCAAACAATCCCAAAATGAAAGTAATGTACAATTTATACATTAAGATAAATCAATTGATTTTATACACATACCTATACATACATTGTGATAAATTACAAGTACAACATAAAATTCTCACCCGTTACTTTGACAATCAAATCCTTTAAATGGCTACTAGTATTATCATAATGCACTTTATTGACTGATTTCTGAATCAGAATCCAAGATTTGTCAGAGTAATGATTTTTTGTGGACTTAACATGCCCAAACATATTCCAAAAATCATAACATATTTTCTTTTCTTTGTGATTACTAATTTGAATAAATAAAAAAGGTTCATCTTACCCAAAGTCAAAATTGCTGCCTTAAATGCCCAAAAAATAATCAGTTCCAGATTTCTATAGCAAAGAATATCCCTACAAATTTCAAATCAATCTGTCAAGAAGTGTCTTGAAATACACACACAATAAAATTGACACTTCAAAATAATATTCATCCTAGTTGAAAAGGTAGTCAATTTATATATTGCACATCAAACATCAATATAAATATCATATTCACAAATGAAAACTGTGATTGGCAGATGAATTTTATTGGCCTGTAATTCCAGCTTTTGAGGCAATACTTACAAAAAATGATAATACATGATGGACAAACTGATATACATATTTTTATATCTATGAATGTGCAAACCTCACTAGACAAATCACTTTATCATGTGAATGCCTCTCAGTTCTAATCCACCATCGACCGCCATGTTTGTGATCTGAACTTCGAATCAATAAACTTAAAGCAGCTGGTCCCGTTAGCATTCTGTTCCTTCCACTGTAAAGGCCCGGTCACACCGCCTAAACGTTGCTGGAGCGTTCCTTGAACGTTGAAAAAAATCATCAACACTCGTAAAAGTTCACCACCGTTTAACAAAAGTTGGCATCCGTTAAAGCAACGCTGTAAACGCTCGGCCAACGCGGATGTTTCTCGAGTGGCCATCCTAACGCTCCAAAAGTTTTGAGCTGCTCAAAATATTGCGAGCGTTGAAAAAGGGACAATTTTACGCCCTGGCAAAGTTTATCACCGCTCCACCAACGCCCAGTCAAAGTTTGGCACCGCTAGACGCAAGTTCGTGGACGGTTGAATCCGCTAGACCAACGCAGAAATCTTTAACGCTGGACCACCGCTGCTTCGCCAGCGTTGCCCGGGCGGCGATTAAACGTTGCACAAACGTCGGTGGAGCGGTTATTAGCGTTTTATCAGCGTACATGGGGTTGTTGGAACGGTGTCGGACGTTGTCGCAGCGTTCCATGGCGGCGATGAACTTTGCTTTGGCGTTGGTATAGAGGTGTCGGAGCGGGACAAGAATTTGGCTATAAATACGTGGAGAAATGCACCACTGTGTAGAACACTGTGGAGACACTTGTGCATTTTACATTTGATATATATTCATGTCTGGCATTTCAATTTTTTGCATTTTAAATTCCTAAATTAAGAGCTCAAAGTTTGTGATTTTGGATTTTAAAAAGATGAATTATGCGATTTTTGTTTTTCATTAAATGTTAATACAAATAGACTTTTACTGAGACCTTTATTCAAATACGTTTTTACGTCAAGCAATTCAATAAATTATCTGTGAATTTTCTGCGCAGCTTGTAAAATGTTGCACTCGTCATGGTATTATACAAAAAGTTGATGCGCGCACAGCAATGCAAAAATTTGTCACGGGTCATGATTATTACTTTGCTGTAAATGTTATTTGACATTGTTAAAGCAATTTGAACGTAAATCGGTTCCAAGTAATGGAAATGCAATGATTAAATTGTGATATGTTTGTTTGAAATGATATGAGAGATTATTAAAGAAAATTGTAATGTTATTCATTCTTAATGTCATATTACATTAATAGAAGCACTTTAGATTTAAAACATTTCTTCTTTAATCCTTGAAGGACTTTTGTTAAAGTTACAAATTCCAATAAAGGTCTTTACTCTTAAACACTTCCCACTTGAAATAATTTCCCAGTAGTCAAACGCGATATGCTGCTAAACCAACGCTGCTGCTATTTATACCAACGCCGAGGCAACGCTCTCATGCGCAGAACGCCGCTATACTAACGCTCGCATTACCGCTAAACAAACGCTAGCTACCGCTCGCAACCGCTTAACCAACGCTAAAGCAACGCCGGCTTCAGCGGTGCACCGCTAAGCCAACGCCCGTGTTTTTGTTTTTTTCCCCATTTTGTGCGCGTTGACGAGCGTTGATGAATTTTTTCAACGTTCAAGGAACGCTCCAGCAACGTCCGGGCGGTGTGACCGGGTCTTTATGTAGAATATTCTATACATTTAAAATATATCAACCATATATCAGAAAAATACAGAAGTTCACATGTCAACATACAGAGATGTCATAGATGTCAAAATATAATTTGAAGAAGAGTATATTTATATTGTTTCCACTAAAATATCCTTAAATATATGTTTCCTACATCACATCTTTTTATAACATGATATTTATTCTATAAAATTGATTTAAGGTACATTAATGGCAGTTGACCTGATTATACATGTTTTTACTCTGTTTATATTGTAACCATATGTCATTTCAGAGCCATCTTTTTTATTTATTTGTTATTATTTTTTCCAAATCCCTACTAATATACCAAATCATTTCTAAAATATTACTAAATAATCTCAGAATAATGCATATACATGTAAATAATATTATTTCATGGTGTCCTTCGTTTAATTTAATAAATGAGACACTCCTCAATATATAAAATAATATTATTTCAACATGCCCTTCATGTCTTAAACACTCCTTTATATACTTAGTATATCATGTCATTTTCACTAAGGGATTCATGTATTTAACATTCTTCAAACATGAAAAACAACATGACAATCAAAATTATACATATTATATAGTCGTCATATTGTAGCTTGAATATCCAAGAAATATTTCAAATTAAGTCGATGTTCTGTTTGTATGCATTAATTATTATTAGCAATATTTGATTGGAAGCTAGCTATTTTCCTTTTGGAAACCTTTCATTTCATAGACACAAGAACATCAAAAGTATTTAAAGTATAATGTCTCAGAACACTTATCTCAAAATATAGATTCTTTATATTTGTCAAGAAAGTGGCACTTTAAGTTGGTTGGCCTGAAGTGAGAAAAAGTTTAACTAGATTTAGTGAGTCTGCTTGAAGTGTCCTCAGAGTTTGGCACAAAATTGATTGACTCTAAAGGTTCTAAATGAGGAGGTATAAAAGTAGGCTCTTGATCTGGATCTTCCACTGTGTTCGATTTAAGCAACGGCAGCTGTAGTTGAGGCCTCTGTCCTTGACCCTGGTAGGTCTGAGTTTGAAAATATTCGTCCTGTGATGGTTGTATCTGGTCTTGAGTGAGTCGATTGTGACCTTGACTTATTTCAGCATGACCTTGGTGACTTTGACCCAAGTTTCTTTGACCTTGGTGACTTTGACCTAGATGACTTTGACCTGGGTGGCCTTGACCTTGGTCAGCCTGACCTTGGTTACTGTGTTCATTAGTCTCTAGTATACTTGGCATATTGCTACTATCTTGTCTCTGCCAGATTCTCCTTGCGTGATAATCATCCAAGCTTTCATACTGTCCTCCGTGGAGTCGTCGATTATGCAAACCATGCATATAGAGGGCACTGAAGCTCATTTCTGTTGACAGCATCTCCAGGGCACCTTCATTGTGTTTTATGTTCACATTGCTAGCTACAAGTGGCGAACCTCCAGTTGGGCTCCCGATGGCGCTAGCGTATATGGAACTTCCACCAGGAATTTGACTAACGGTAACTTGATCATTCACACTAGTCAGCATACCTCCACCACTACCCTGGAGGGGGCCCTCCGTTTTCGACACTCCACCCCGCAACCGAGGCTGCGCATTCCTCATAGATGATCCCAGTGCTGCTCCCTGGTGGGTAACAGAAATGGGTGGGGACATGACGGAAGCAAGGTTGGCCCGATCTACACCTCCAGCAGCAAGATTAGGCTGCAGGACGCTACAGACAATACTATTATAGCCCCCTCCCATGGAAGACATTGAGTGAAGGGAGTTGACCAGGGGGTTGTCTGTCTGCATCGCCTGCAAGGTTGTCATTGCCAGGGCATCTTTCTGGACTGAAAGTATAAAGAAAAAAAAGATAAAGAAAGAGCTTTGATTAAATTGTGACAATAATTTACACTTATGAAAATAGTCTGCATCCACATATCCTATTATGGTAACACTGTTATGGTAACAATTTAATTTTAATCAATATAGCTGACGTTAGTAATAACATCATTGGGAATCCATTAAATTCCGGGCCAACTAACCAGGAATATTCTAAATAAGTTTTTCATTTAAACTAGTTTCCTACTGAATGATGTAAACATATACAGCTTCACCTACTCAGGAATATACCATATGATCGGAGTATAAACAGTGTATGCAGAATGACCCATTAGTAGTATATAACCTCATTGTATTTAATCTCATTCCTTACAATTGTACTAATTAACCTCATTGTATATTCCTTTATTGTATATCACATAATTGTATATTCCCTTATTATATATAACAATGTTGTATATTCCCTTATTGTATATAACATCATTGAATTTAACATCATTGCATTTAATCTCATTGTATACAATACAACCTAATTGTATATAAACTCATTGTATATAACACATACACTGTAGTATCACTGGGTCATTGGTATTAATGGTGATCAAAATCGTATGAGAAATTTCTACAATTTTGAAAAGTAGACTGCTCAATTTTCTAGTTATTTACACATTCTAAATTTAAGTTAAACTGAGGATATAGCGAATATATACCACTTAAATACATTAAGGCAGATCTGTACGATGAGAAACTTTTACAATTTTGAAAAGTAGACTGCTCAATTTTCTAGTTATTTACACATTCTAAATTTAAGTTAAACGGAGGTATAGCGAATATATACCACTTAAATACATTAAGGCAGATCTGTACGATGAGAAACTTTTACAATTTTGAAAAGTAGACTGCTCAATTTTCTAGTTATTTACACATTCTAAATTTAAGTTAAACGGAGGTATAGCGAATATATACCACTTAAATACATTAAGGCAGATCTGTACGATGAGAAACTTTTACAATTTTGAAAAGTAGACTGCTCAATTTTCTAGTTATTTACACATTCTAAATTTAAGTTAAACGGAGGTATAGCGAATATATACCACTTAAATACATTAAGGCAGATCTGTACGATGAGAAACTTTTACAATTTTGAAAAGTAGACTGCTCAATTTTCTAGTTATTTACACATTCTAAATTTAAGTTAAACGGAGGTATAGCGAATATATACCACTTAAATACATTAAGGCAAATCTGCATGATGAGAAACTTTTACAATTTTGAAAAGAAGACTGCTCAATTTTCTAGTTATATACATTCTAAAGAAAAGTTAACACTCAATTAATAATCTTGGTACACCAAAGCACCCTTTATGAAAAAATGAATGATTTAGGCCATGTTTGAAATGAATTATGTTCATCTGAAAAAAGCACATGGTCATCAAAATGGTAGAAATACAGATTGTCCTTAATGTCTACTTTTACACAGTAAAAGGTAGAAATAAATGAATGATTGTCATCTATAAGTAAAATGATTATAAACTGTATAAAAATACAAAATCAAAACTATTTTATAAAACTAAAGTCTATGTCTTGTCACATGCAAACTATGAAAGAACTTTATATAGATTTCGATACACTTTCACATACATTTACCATTTTCTATGTATTCTGAGGCATGCAATTCCTATACTTTATTATTTAGAGTATGTTTTGATAAAAGTTTGCAAAACATAGATTTATAACTTGAATTGGCTATTATATAGGTAGAACTAATAGAATAGAATATTTATTTCATGTGGAACTATGTGTTTATGGTTTTAAAAACTAGAATACTCAATTGTTGTTTTGCGTGATACCGTCAAGTTATTCCCAGAACTACGTTACTTGCTTTCAGCCCAGTACTATCTAATTCAAATAGAAATTCAAAGGTGACATATATAATTTATATTTCAACTAGAAAAACAGCAACTCCACGGAGTAGCAAATCCCACCGAACAAAACATATATTATGCTTATTATAGCTAGTGTAAATGTTGAAATGTTTGTGCACTTTGAGATAGAAGCATGAAATTTGGCACAAAGTTAGTTTATACCATTGTGAACTAGGCATCATCATATAAAATTTGAACCAAATCTGTTCACTGGAATATGAGTTATCAAAGATTACGTTTTTTAAGGAATTTGGGCCGCCATCTTGAAATTCAGCCGCCATCTTGAAAATTATTTCTTGAACAGAGCTACTGTGTCGGCATAATCATATAAAATTTCAGTCAAATCTGTTCACTGGTATTTGAGTTATCAAAGATTACGTTTTTTACGAAAAATTGCCGCCATTTTGAAATTAAGCGGCCATCTTCAAAATGTTTTGTCGAACATAGCTATTGTGTCCCTAATAATCATAATATAAAATTTGAACCAAATCCGTTCACTGGTATTTGAGTTATCAAAGATTACATATTTTTACGAAAAATGGCCGCCACTTTGAAATTAAGCGGACATCTTGAAAATCTCTTTTTGTGCGAAACTCCTTTGTCCCTAGGCATCAGCATATAAAATTTGAACCAAATCCGTTCACTGGTATATGAGTTATCAAAGATTACGTTTTTTAAGGAATTTGGGCCGCCATCTTGAAATTCAGCCGCCATCTTGAAAATTATTTCTTGAACAGAGCTACTGTGTCCCTAGGCATAACCATATAAAATTTCAACCAAATTTGTTCACTGGTATTTGAGTTATCAAAGATTACGTTTTTTACGAAAAATTGCCGCCATTTTGAAATTAAGTGGCCATCTTGAAAATGTTTTGTCGAACATAGCTACTGTGTCCCTAAGCATCATCATATAAAATTTGAACCAAATCCGTTCACTGGTATTTGAGTTATAAAAGATAACATATTTTTACAAAAAAATGGCCGCCATTTTGAAATTAAGCGGCCATCTTGAAAATCGCTTTTTTGTGCGAAACTCCTTTGTCCCTAGCATATAAAATTTGAACCAAATCCGCAAACTAGTATTTGAGTTATTAAAGATTACATTTTTTACGAAAAATGGCGGCCATTTTGAATTCAGTGGCCAAAATTCCTTCTCGAGCAGAGGTCCTACACCCATAAGGCATAAGCCTATAAAATTTGAATCAAATCCGTGAAACGGTATTTGAGTTATCGCCCGGACAAACAGACGGATGGACCGACGAATGGACGGACGGACGGACAGCTTTCCTATATCCCTCTCGAACTTCGTTCGGTGGGATAATAAAATGAAATATAACTGACATATCAAAAGGACCAACATGAAATAACAAGATCCATTGTGACATGCCACAAAATACCTATTATATCAAACATGAAGAATTGTTAGTCAATTCGCTTAATTTTGAGTTAAAAATAAGCTAAGGGAGATAACCATACCCTTCCTATCCACCTTTGACTCTGTATTTATAACAGACCTACTTCTAAAAATTTTTAGAAAAACATAATAAGTATAACGTAAAAACTATCCCAGATACAAGTACACCTTCTTAGAACTGAAACTTATAAAATCAAAGGTACTTAACCACCATTCAGCTAGATATAACCAATACATTTGCTAGCCTCATTGTACATGCGTAACAGATATCGACATTTTTAGATACCCAATAAGAGGGAGACACGTATAACAAAAAAACATATGTGAGTCTGGAATTACGTTTCCTAAATTATTGTAAATTTGAGTGAGGAACTGTGACAAACATAGGAAAACACTTCATCAGTGAAATACAGGAACAATTCTGCAAAATTCTGCAAAAGATTGTGAATAAATAGTGAACACTAAATAATAGAAGATGATAAAAACATAATAAAGAATATAACGTTATTGTTAGATTATAATTGGAAATTATTGTATTTATAATTATAATCATTAAGTTTATTGTTAGAAAATACATCACAATTTGAAAAATGAGGAAACAAGAGGAATCACCTGACTGTTGTCAAGGAATTGCATCATTAATAATGATTCTTGTAATAATTGTGGACTTTGCATTTGACTGCTATTTTGACTATTGTGTGTCAAGCACTGGTTGGCATAAAAACTTGCTTATTTTCACTACAGTCATTGGCGGGATATTTGCAGTTTTCCAGATTATCAACATCTGCGACGGGAGTGAAGGAGTACATTTAGAAACAGAATTATCTATAGTAGTTGCCATTGAATTAGTACAATCAATTTCAACACAATTCTACATGTATGATGGTCCATCTTATGTTACAACTGAAGCGGAACTTTTCTTCAATGTCTTCTCGCCTATCATACGTATATTGATGGCATGCACATGTTCGTGTATGAAATACAAAGTAATGAGAAATGAGCATGAAGATCGCCTGAGATTCATGATTATAGTATGCTTAATAATCTTAATCGGTTTGTTCATAAGAGGCCTGTACTATGCACTTTGAGCAACTTGTGGGAAACACAAAGAAATAACAATATGCATGTGCAAAGGAAATACATTTGACTGCTACCAGAACTTCATGGCACTGATTGGCAATAACTGTATGTGACAAAAAATGATTGGACATCCATAATGTGGTTATTTACCATGAGGCAATGAATATTGATTTTATTCCAAGACAATGTGATAAATGACAAATAAGCAATGAATGCTCCAGCTTTGTAAATAATGCACAAATACTAGTAGGATCAAGATTGTTTAGAAACTATAGAAATATATCTTGCAATGTCGAAATTACTTTTAATAAATAATTTTTCTTATTATATCACTATCTAGCTAGCGACAGTATGATTGGTCAATATTTCACTCTATTTTCGGTGAATACCTGTAGCACTTTCACAAGGTGATATTCCACTTGCCCTTCGGGCTTCGTGGAATATCACTTGTGAAAGATGTACAGGTATTCACCTCAATAGAGTGAAATATTTGTTCAATATGGAGACATCAATAACAATATCCCAATTTTGCAGAATTTTGCTAAATGCACTGTGATGTTGCACAATATGTAGTAGTAGGCTTGTAAGTTTTAAGTTGCCCACAATACATAGATATTTTCTCTGAAACTATGTTTGTTGTGATATAAAATATGTGAATCATTCAGAAAAGGATCAAAAACAAGTGCATTAGTTCAGTTAATTAGTTCCAAATTTTCAGGCCAGGAAACACCCTTTAAAATTTCCAAATCAATCAGTCAAGTGGTTTGTCTGGAAATGTGCAGATAAAAAGTGAAACACCACCACTCGAATGCCAACCTGTTGTCAGAAGTTGGCAACAATATTGTCCCTTTTTAACATACAGTAAAAATTATGGGATCCAAAAATTTCCACTGATTCACTTTCATCATGATAGAAAGAATGAGAAATATTTCATAATTTTGCACTTGAGTATGGTCCAAACTTATAAAACACTAAAAACTTCTTGCATGTCATAGTCAATTGGGCCAATATGTAATGCAGGTAAATGGTAGCATTCACCTTTTATATCATCAAGAGAATATTTTTCAACTTGATGCTTGGATGTGAAACATTACACAAAGTCCATTGTTCAAGGCAAATAGTACAAGTATGGTTAGATAGGCATAACTATGCATTCCTTCCTTGAAAAGTATATACAAAATAACAAAGAAAAGTCAATATTGATAATGCCATGTAAGTGATGTTAAACAGTCACAGTTGAAGCAAATCTTCCCAGAACTGAAACTGTTATAAAAATCAATGACGCAATTACGTACTACTTAACAATGCAGAACTGCATATTGATGATCAATGATTACGAACACCAGTTAGAGAATGACACGTAACAATATCCAGGAACTGAAATTACAATAAAAAAGAATATAAATAAAGGAATAAAATATTTCGTGATTTACAGAACATTACTAAGAACATTTAGGAATTGCAAGGCTGATGAAGTATAACAGCTACTGTACAGAGTAGCAACTCCCAACAACAATAAGTGCCATAAACGTATGTCAAATCGTCAAGGAAGTAATATATAAACGAGTCAAATATAAATGAATATAATAGTATGTGCCAGAAAATAATGCAGTTTGTTAAATGTTTGAAACAGGATTAACCAATGAGAATACAATTTGTAGATGAGCTTGGACGGTACTGCCAATCATCATTTTTCATTGAAAAAATCAAGATAAGACAATAATTCAATGAACAGTTCCAAGCAAATCTTCAAAGAAATGAAAATAATATGATCCAATAAAACAAGGACCACTTTAACGACTTTGTAAAATAGTAAATGACACGTTTTATCACCTACTCTTCATGTCATGTGCCTATGTATGTATACTCGATACAGTATTTACGATTTGAAATTTATTGGATGCAACCAAATATAGTCAGATTGAAACACCATATGAGGAAGCAAACATTTGATATGATAGCCTTTACTACGAAATGACTGGTTAATTACAACCATTGTTGTTTGAGAACTTAGACTAAAGGACAACATCTAAAAAGTTACATCATAATTTGAAAAATGTCCAAGCAAGCATTTTTAATTATCGTGATATTAATTGAAATTGTTTGTGACATCCATTGCCATTTACGAGTAGATGAAGAGTACATTGCATGGCAAAATACAAACTTTGGATGGTTGGATATAGTGCATCTTGTATGTACGGTCTTTGGTATCGTAGTTGCATTTGTCCAGATTTATTTTATATTCACAAGCTGGTCAAATCCAATACTTGACGGAATAGAACTAATAGTGATTCCACAGGAAATTGTGCAAACCATTCTAGCACTTAACGGAAATGGATTTACCATAAAAACTGCCTGTTCAATTGTGATGAACATTATTTCACCTTTGGCGAGAATAATGATGAGATAAAAAAAGGAAACCAAAACAATACTTTCTTATAGGATTTTATGACTTTGATTGATGATAAAACAATTATTGGCAATAAGACAGGATTGGTGACAAAACAATAATAAGAGATAAAAAATAGAGATTGGTTGTAAAACAATGATCCGTGATAAAACAATGACATGAGATAAAACAACTAGATAACAGTTACGCCAAAGGGTAGCAAATCCCATAGGACAAAATCCTTCTACATGTACTAATTTTTCAGTTATAGTAAAAATTGTAAAATAATAACATACATGAAAATGGTCACTCACTAGCCAAATTGTCATGAGAATTGTTATGAGAATTGTTAATAGCACATATAAACTTTCAACAAAATAGTACAAATGCAGGCCCGTAGCCAGGGGGGGTTCGCAGGGTTCGGGCGAACCCCCCTGGCCAAAAATTCTTTCAAAATCATGCAGTTTTTCACCATTTTGAGCACTTCTCAAGTGATTTTAGCCATATTTGAGCCAAATTTGTCAAATGTGAACCCCCCCTGGAAATTTTTGAAAAATGAACCCCCCCTTGGCAAATCCTGGCTACGGGCCTGCAAATGTACATGTAAATGGTGGCCATTTTTCTAAATGGCAGCATGCTAGCCAAAGTGTCATAATAGAGTTTGCCATGCTTATGAGTATTCATATATCAAATATGAACAAAATAAAACACTCTTTGAGTTATAGTAAAACATGTAAAACAACAAACATAAAAATGACAGCCATTTTGAAAATGGAAATGAAAATGAAAATCGCTCCACTACTTTTCAAGTTATAGCAAAATCGTAATGGCTGCCATGCATTTCTTAAATATCTCCATTTCTACCTTTACTATGCTTTTTTACATTTAAAACATATTGTTATTACAGTTTTACATATCGTACCTCAATTACTGTAAAATCATTTTAAAAGGAGTGGTCATTTTGAAAATCGGCTTTTGGGCAGAACTTCTACCACCATAAGGCAAATATGTAAAAAATACCGAACTTCGTTCAATGGGATAATGATCCAGGATAAAATATTAATTGGAGATAAAAAACCTCAAGAGCAAAGAATTGGTGATAAAACAATAATCATATTAACACAATGATGCTCGGTGGTAAACCAACAATAATCATAATAACACGATGATGCTCGGTGGTAAACCAACAATAATCATAATAACACGATGATGCTCGGTGGTAAACCAACAATAATCATAATAACACGATGATGCTCGGTGGTAAACCAACAATAATCATAATAACACGATGATGCTCGGTGGTAAACCAACAATAATCATAATAACACGATGATGCTCGGTGGTAAACCAACAATTGGAAAAAAAACAATTAAAACAATGATTCGAAATAAAACAATGATCATGATGAGCAATGAATGGTGATGAAACACTGATCAATGACAATACAATGATTGTATATAAAGCAATAATCAGTGAAAAACAATGATTGGTGAGAAACAATGATAAGAGATAAAACAATGACAGTGATAAACAATGACTGATATTCTAGCTAAAAATAAAGTGCTGATTCACAATGCATACATATTTTATCCAAAACTGTGTTGTAATAAAATATGTACGTGATTCATTTAGAAAATGATCAAAAACCAGTTTTAATACCACATAATCATGCAAGAAATGTTATATATGATACAAGGATATCTTTTGAGAACTAAAACAAAGATAGAATTAATGTTATGAGTATGATTGCACTTCTAAATGTCTCTATGATATAAACCTTCTTGAAATAGAAAGCACATTGCCACATGTGTCAATTTCAATGTTTTACAGTTGTTGTTTATCTCATTAAACAAATATTCGAAAATTCCAGTACATGTACAGGGTGTCTCGAAAGTATAGTATGCCCCCTCCCCATGGGCAGACATATACCAATGTCTCCATAGTATGTGTCATATATCATTTTAAAGCATATCCAAAGTTACATTGATTTGCCAAGTATCATGGTTAAACTCACAAAACTTCTTTCTGATTATCATATACACTTACTTTGTCAAAATATGATGAAAGAGACTAACAAGACTACTGGTTAATTCACTGATAGGAATGATATTACTCAAAATCATCATATGACAGCAATCTCCCAAGGACTAGATCAACCAGGTGCTGAACCCTCTTGAAAATTTGAAAATACATGTCACCCTGTCACATGATCTTATCAAAAGGAGGAAGTAATGATATATTTTGACTTATAGCCAGAGAGACTAACCAATATTTTTTCGATGATGAGTCACAGATAACATATACCCTGTGTAATAAAATGCAGGAAACCTTTGTAAACAATGTAATGACAATGACTGAACTGCAGATGCATTTCTCTGAAACACACGGCATAGTGAATATTTTATATGTGAACATGGACAAAACAAATTAACTTAAATTTAAAAAAGTGATTTTTTTTATTTCAATCTTTTCATGATTTATACTCCAATTGGAGTTGGGACTTTTATTTGGTATTTGATTAAAATTCTGTATAAACATCATATAAATGTTGTAGCAGGTAAATAATACAAAGTAAGGTGCATTTTGATCTAATTTCAAGTTACTCATATCTCATTAACAATTTACAGTAAAACCTGTATGTAGTGAATTAATAAATAAATATTTTTCTCTTAAAGGAAATATAACTTATTATTATGTCTTTGTATATTTGTGACAAATTGGGAAAATTAATCTATAAAAAGGAAAATGTGATACCATGATAAGTGAACAATGGAAATCCCACAATTCACCAATGTTTCAGAATATGTACTCCTAGATTAGAATAAAGATCACTCACCATTTGTCTTAATATTATTGAGAAAGAGGCTGCAGTCTGCTGGGGGTTTCCATTCTGGATTGGTTAGATGGAAGTGCATTAAGGACAGCTCTGTCTTCCCATCTTCCCCTTGTTGCTTTTGATTAGCTTGGGTCTCACCCTCCTCTACCCACTGTAACAATTGTTTCAATTTATTTCAATGCAATACAAACATCTGGTTTTACATGTACAATTTAAAAAGTAAAGGTAGATATTAACTGTGCTTGTCAAAATGTCACCATCTGAATGCAGCTAGAAAAGTGTAACCATTTGTTTAAATTTTGAAAGATGATTTCCCAATATGGAGCAACTGGTGCTACATACTAATTATTTTACCCATATGGACATATCTTAATCTTTCTTCATTTTCCCAAGGTACAAATATATTTCAAACAGGATAATTTGTAATTTCAGAATTCTAACAGGACCCACCATCCTATTAATACAGTCGAGCTCACTGTAAATGAATTAACTGCTCACTAACCTGAGGATTTCCATGTTTACGGACATCCATCTGCGCAAATGAACAGACATCCCCGACCCCAGTAACCTCTACTGTAAAGTTGCGATAAAAGTCCACTATATCTTGGGCCTTGTGTCTGATATCACAGAGAAGCACCAGTGGAGTTATAAGGGGACTCAGGAGCTCTTCTAATAAATACACCTAGAGAAGAAGAGTGAAATGATGTGTTAGTTTCAGAACAAAGAAGCAGTATTATACTAAGATAAAAGAAATCCTTCACATTAGCATTTTTAAATTAAGAAACTTAACTGATACAAATGTATCATTATTAATGGCCAAAACGATTGAGTAATATCATTGATTTATGTTGACCTTTTTACACTCTCAGCATACTGGATTTCATGATAAAGAGTGAAATGATGTGATTGTTTTATGGCGAGAAAACATTATAATTCTTAAATAACAGCAAGCCTTTATATTAAAATTCAACAATTTAGTAACTGGTATAAAACCTCATCATTTAACTTTTGACCCTTTACACACTAGATTTCACCATGTATCAATTGTTATTTTTTCAATTTCAGAATCTTTTTGGCTTTGTAATATAGATCACTGATTACATTTGAGAACACATTGGTTGCAGTTCTAAATAAAAAGTAAATGAAAAGTAAATATTGCTTGTAACATTTTCAACCACCACCCCCCGTGACAAATTCTCAGTATAAAAAATAAAAATGATTACTCACTGCTTTATACTGGAACACCTGTGCAAACTCATCTCTGACTTTGAAGGTGTGTGCATTGCCTTTCCAAGAGTCTGGGATATAGTGCACCTGGGCTAGCACATTGGTCATCAATGTCTCTGGACACCACACCATATTCTAAATGTAGATTATATACATGAAGTTAAATTGAGGCATTATACTTAACTACGAGATCGCATAGTACATCTCAATAAGGGTCATATATTTTACTATCTATAGATTTAGTCTGGTCAAGATTTCATCCATCCTAACATATTTCAAGACAAAACTTGTTGGAATTTGGGTTGGAGTACTCATTTAAAAATATCAGGGAGTTTGTATTCCTTTAAATGATAAGATGTATAATCTAAAATAGTTAGCACTGGTGATTTAAAGTCCCTGTCTAAAGTTTGAAAATATTTTTTTATCATTCATTTACTATTTGTCATGATTAAAAAGTTATTTTAAAGATTTTTGAAAATAAAATTTTTTGGAAAAAAAAGTTATGAGCATTTCATTTCTCAAATATTCAAATTTCCCACCATTTTTCAAAAAAGTTGAAATTTTTAAAGATTGAACAAAGGACACACTATTTCATATAATGCCATATTTAATGGGCCACTTCAATGTTTTAGCATATCAAAAATATTTTGCAACATTAGTGATGTCACTAAGGTAGCAAAAACTTTTTTTTAAAAATTGATTTTTTTTTTCGATGTCAATCTTTTCTAAATATGCTAGACTTCAATAATAAACCAATGTTGATTGTCTAACCAGGTTAAAAAGAAGAATATATTATGTTTTAGATATCATTGTACCATTGGTTTCTATGAGAACTAAAATTTTGAAATGCATTTTTTTCGGAACCATTTTCATGCATTGATGAGTTCATATCTCGCTTATTTATGAACCGATTTTCTTAATTTTTTTTAGCAAAAAACATGCCAGGATGAATGCTATGCGTTGGTATGAATTGTGGCGAATTAAAAGATATGTGTCACCTCTAAAAGTTAGTTTTAAATCAATTCACAAATTTTGGAACAAAAAGTCAATCAAAAACCACTTTTTGAAATTAAAAAAAAAAGTTTCACACTTTGATAACATTGGATAAGACTACAATACAAGCCAAAGTGGTTTAAACTTTATATGGGGACTTTAAGAATATAAAGTTTTGACTTATCTAACAAGACATAAAAAACAAGCAGTACAACTTACTTCATCGGGGATCATAGACTTGCATATCGCTACAACCACGCCTAAAAAAGAATTAAATCATTTACTTAAATTAAAAACACAATTTCCTTAAAGTGTGCGCCAAAGTTTAAAACTGCGCAGGCGCACCGCTCTCGATAAACTATATAAAGAGATTACCGGGTACAAGATTCAGAGGTAAGCCAGGAAGGCGAACGATCTTCGTCTCGTGATGATTTCCCATATAATCGTAACCAGGGAAGTTTCACCATTGAAATTGAAAATTACTATTAGATATACTTTGTAGATGTTATTTATGAAGCTAATTAGTGTTTGCATCAATCAAATGGCTCATTTTGAACATATAAAAAGTATTTGTATTTTGTTTCCCAGGGAATTGTATTGTGTGTGTGTAGTACACACATAAATCTGTAAATAGTGTACATTATACAGTACTTGAATAGCCTGGTTTACATAATATTGAAGGGCATGCTGATTACATGCACACGAGTACATGAATGAAGGCCTAATATTGATATACGTAGCTTGCATACCTAAATAAAAAATAAACTCTTCTAATTCCCTAATGTAAACACGGCGGTATACGTAGCCCGATTTATCGGAGACTTTAAGTTAAATTAAGTAAAGTAAAATTTCCCCCACTCCTAATTTTTATATCAAGTGACCACAAATAAGCCAATGAGTATGCTCAATATACTTCAGTATAGAGTATTGCAGTATAAATATAGATATCATCCTACCTAAGATAGTCATGGTTGATAGGACATGCTCAACAGCTAAGACATCTTCATCTATCACAGTCAGAATGACTAGCACAGCTAATATAGAACCAGCAAAGAAAGCAACAAATCTGAAAATATATAGATTTCAATATTAGGATTTTCAGATTTTGGAGATTGCATTTTGTTCTTGTTCTTGTTTTTATTATCAAAATTCTTGATATTATGTAATGAATATATTACTTTTTTATCTAATCTAAAATAAAATTTTCTCTTATTTGTCAATTTTCATGCTACAATAATGAAGTACATGTACACAGTCCTTTGGATATTTTCATCAGGCAGAGACATCTATTTTAGATTTAAAAAATCTGAATTCTACATCCAGCTGAGAAAAAATCCTGTGGAGAACACTGTCATTACTTACTTGGCGATTACAACTATCATTGGAGACGTAAAAATACTCATATATCGGGATGCGCATTTATGTCCTCTGTTTAATCTTGCGTCAAACTCATGGTCCAATTCATTGTAATGACGTAAGTAAAGGCGGGCGTATAACGACCAGCGTCTGGCCCCAAGTAAGTTAGGTTCCCGTTTTAGCACCTGCAGATTAAAATGTAGATTAATTGAGGTCAGGTTAGACAAGGAGGACTAACAAGATAATCTGTCAGTTCTCATCTTTAAAATAATGGAAACATGCTTAAGAATAAGTTTAATATAACAATTTGGAAGTTGGTCTAAGTCTTTGGAATGACTTTTCACATCAGCCCTTTGTAAAGAATATATATAAATAATAAAGGACTCCCAAGACCCCATATATTTTGGCAAAATGTTACTTTTGGACTTCATACTTGGAAATGGAATGGACAGGTCAATTTTCAAATAGATACTTTTAGATAAATGAAAAAACATAAAATTAATGGGCATATGAACTAATGGGAATACCAGTTTTAATTTGTACCAAAAGGTTAAACAAACAAACTTGTAGATGGATGCTTAGGTATCAATCCCACAGACTCAAAATACCATTCAAAAACTATTGTGAAATGCCACTCACCTCTGCGTAGCGAAAGAATGAGTACAATATCTGCCATAGAAATATCAGTGGAGAAAGCACCAGGTTTATCACACCATACCACATGATCTTTTTAGATAACCTGCAATCAAAACAACTGCCCCAATTTAAATTCCTCAAATATTACATCCAAGTTATATACACTGCAGTTAATACTTAAAGCAACTTCCTATATTAATTCATTTTAATAGGTCTAATCCATGTTTATAACTTTTCTAAAACCTTGTAGCTATGAATGCCATATATTTTCTGTACATATTACATGAATATTGAACGACCAGCACTTACTCGTCGGCTAAATCTTTTCTTTTGTGTATATTTTTGAAATCAGGTTTCAGATGCCAGTAGCTTTCGAATGGTGCATAAGGTCCCCCTGTGTAAACAAAAAATAAAAATAAGTTCAACTCTGAATACTCACATGGAAAAATTTCAATTTCTTTTCGATCCATGTATTAAAATGGAATTAAAATGAATGATTGTAAAGAAACTCCTAATTTATTCACTTTATATTTATTCACTAATTTATTTACTTCTACATAATATACATGTACAATATATTCAATATTTTAGCATATTTTCATAAAAGGCTATACATGACAAAATGTCAACACCGATTTGCAAATACAAAAGTGGAAGAATTTGTTACAGACACAGACGCTAAAATGCCGACTGAATGGTGGAGACATAATAAATGTGAATACTTACAAAACAGAATCATTTCCAAGTTGTACTTTAGTCCAGTTGATAAAAAGGCACTGAAATGAAAAAGGTTTAAATACTTTATATAAATGATGTTATTCCCTCAATGAGATATGCAATAATCATTTTTTATATAAATTATAACATGAGGTAACTAACCAATAAAATAAGAGACACTTTTTTTTCTTTTGTTCATACAAATTTCTGCAAGTGTAAATACACTTTTCCATTGATTGAAATACATTTTTCCACTTACTATTCTCCTATGAAAGGAACTCTGTATTTAAGACTTAGTAGGGATTTGTTAACCATGGCAATCTCATAGTTCTTGAAACGCAGTATTCTGTGATAAATATCTGAAAGCAAGATTAATTTCCTTACAACAATGTTTTTTAGGGCAATACATCAAACCGATTAATAATACTACAATAAATTACAAGGCATTAACATGCAATATGTCACCACCTGCCATTTGTTACAAATGCAGACCACCAAACACCAACTGCTGAATGCCAAACGCCAGACAAAAAATGCCGAACACTGTCCACAAAAAGTTGGAGACTATAACAATGTCACCACTTGCATGAGACTAATACAAAGCACAGAATATAATATTAAGGCCCCATGTTTGCTAATTAAGATTTTCAAATCATAATTTATTCATTCGACAGAAAGACAAATCACTTCATGTATCAAACCCTGTAATATGATTAATTTCAGTAATACTTACCTAGCTCAGTGAGATCAGACTTGTGAATACACATCTGCAATTCTTTCTGTACATTCCTCATACATGTCTGTACCTCATGCCACGTCATGTTTGCCATATCATCCTAGAATGACATGATTTATCCCATATAGAATATATCAGTATTAACTAAGATACATGTATAAGGTATGAGTACCGTAATCTAACACCAAATTCGAAAATTCAGAACAATACTTTGCATATATGGCGTTCGTGATCAACTATAGAACGCTTACCCCCATAGTGTTATATATCAAAATGTACCTGTTCATATATAACTAAGATACATGTATAAGGAGGCATTTAAGGAGGCGAATAAATCCCCAGATAAAAATCTCCCGATTTCTCGTATCTTTTTAAATAGTATTAACTTCAAATTAAAGAAGGATCCAAATATGCATAACTACTGTAATATTACTTTCACAGTCAATGGGGTACTTACAACTGACAGTTTGAGGGCCGTCATGTAAAAACATCTGATTTCATAGTATTTTGAGACATTGTAGATCACCTTTATCAGACGTAATGCCCAGAATGCACCAGCAACAATCAAACATATGACCAATATGGGTGGTAAACTGAAAAAGAGAAAAACATTTTGCTAATATTGCTTGTTTTTGCTACCTATGTCTTAAGCCTGAATATGCATAGAAATTGCAGATTTTATTAGAAAGGTCCTTTATATACAATCCCAGACAAATAATTTTCCAGTAAACATAATTTTATATTATTTTCTCTCAAGTTGGTGCGAAATTCTCATTGTCACAATTCAGACCAAAATTGGCAAAAATACAGTCAATATGGTACAACGAAAATGGGACTTCTGCTCATGATAAAATTTTTCGTCAAAACTCAACTTTTGTTCAAGTTGATACGATTGTCTTTCGAACTAGAGACTTACCTCATTCGAAAGATCATAAAAGACTTTATCTAAACTGAAAATCTTAGATCCAAACATAGTAGAATACGCCGTCAGTCCGCGTTTGATTTTTTGAAGTGAGTTTCGAAGATCGTCAGATTTCTCCGACTGATATCGGGTTATCTCAAATTGGTTCGTTCATAAATACGAATTTCTTTACCGTTGTAAGACGCATGCGCAAAATTGATTATTAAACGTTATTGGTTGATGGTTTTTGTCCTGAGCATGCGTGAAGTCTGATGAACACTTATGACGAAGACCGGAGCAAACATTACTAGCTCTCGAATGAAATTCCAAGATTCAGATCATTTCGCCGTTTTTGCTAAGCGTGTTTACGTGAATGACAAGCTGTTTTGAGTAGATCAGGTACCTGTTTTAGACACAACATTGCTTTAGCTTGACATTGATGTGCACATTGGCACTTTTGAGCATGTTAATACAAGTTTTTACACTCTTAGCACGAGACGGGTTTTCGAAAAATCTGTTATCTGATTCACTCGATTATCGTATGGATATGTATTTCTGCTGACATTTCAACACCACATCACATAGAATTACGATGCAGAATGATAATAAAACACAAAACAACTACTAAATTCCACTTGTTATTTCACAGGAGGTAAAAATGCACACTGCCTAGATTCTTTGTAAGGGTCGTCAGACATCAGATTGGCCGCCATATTTGAAATGAAAATATCACTAAATAGAGCTCTGCGCATGTCTCAACATTTCGACTGAATATGCCTATTTTTCATTATATTTCTCATTTTCAAGTGGTTGTATATGGATTTTCAGGTGGGTGCAAGCATGTATTCAAAATCTCAGGTGGGTGCTACACCCACTTGCTTTAATGCTGGGGAGATCACTGCTACACAGCCAATATATTTTGACGCTGTTTCGGCATCGAAAAAATTTGGCACTGTATTTTGGAGGTGTAAGTAAATGTAGGACATGTAGAGCATTTGATACACTCTAGCTTATATCAAAGTCTAACTTCACAGAAACTCAATGTTGTTTATATCACATTAACATACACTTAGCATTATCCTATTGCCGCTTCATATAAATTCCCCAAAAAAATACAACTGCCCTTAATAGGGCTTTAAAATTTTCATATTGGCCATCAGACATCTTTGGTCTGAATATATAATGGTTGGACACACTGGTGCATGCCAAGTGTGTCATCAATTTAAGATTCAAAGTAGGTATCGACCAACCTATGTTTATGCATAAAGCCAAACCTTTGTGAAAGACCAGGTTAAACAGTTATATTTTGGTCCCATCTGCATTTATTTGCACTGTTATTGAATTTCACACTTACCTATGTACACATTGGTCAAATGGAACCACAGCCTCTGGAATCGTCACTTTGTGTGTCGTATCATACACTTTGTCGCCAAACAGCACGTCATATTTCACACAGTTCATCAAAAACACTGAGAACAGCACTACAAATAGGAACTGTCTGAAAAACAACAAGATTTTCCAATTCATTTTGTTAAAACCTTATCTCTTTGAACCCCTGTCTAACAGAATTATTTACCTTAACAATTACATTTTATCAATTTTCAATTTTTCATACTTGATAAATGAGCATCAGTATATCTTGGATGTGGCATTATACATCAAATGAGGCTTGTATGCACGATGAATTTACAAAAAATATTTTTGGTGTTATACCATTACATAATATGTACTCAAACATGACTTTATTCGTGCCTTCTATAAACTGTTAACAAAGTCAACATTTCGGCCAGGGTATATTCGCAATCAATACAGAAAATGTTTGTACCTAGCCCTGTGGGGTGTATTCGACAATATGACCTCTGCTCTTCGGTCTATATTTCTTAAATCATGCAGTTTTGAAGTCAAAAAATATAAACTGAGATAACAGAATACTTACATGAGTTGTAATGCATCCGCCACAGCCATGCAAGCAAACCCACTGCGTTGATGGTATTGGTAAACTCTTGTGAAAAACTCATCTAGATTTTCTATGTGATTCCAACGTGCTGAAAAGTATAACAGTTAAATTAGTAATAAAGAGCAGGCTCAAGGTATGGCAGCATACTAGTGAACAAAAGTATTTCTACATTTTTCAATTCTTAGACAGTGTATATTTACAGTGAACTACAGCATTTTGAGTACAAAAATGTCACCACCATTTGTTACAGATGCCAACCACCAACCGCCGATCTAAACCACTGATCGCCAACTGCCGTCACAAAAAATTGAGACCATCTAATAACAATATGTCACCACTTTTTGGTGGTGACACAATAATTATAAAATGAAAAGGTGTTATTGGTTGATATCTCATTGTTATAGCCTGTTATACTTTATTTGACATCATCTTGGTTAAAGTTAAGTAAATACTTCTGAATATGCTACATCTCTAGATATAATCTTATCCCTCAATGAGTATATATTCTTACCACATAACAATTGTTCCGAAGATTTACGGAAAGTAAGTACATATGGGTTTTTTATTTATAAATTTATTGCAATGGCTGTGCATATACTGCCATACATGTATGTTCCTATACAATACTCAAGACAAAGGAGAGGTATTTCGCTAACTTACATTTATGACTATCTTGTACCACATGTATGATGTTCTCAACGGGTGGTGAGTCATTGTCTTCATCATAAAAAGACCCGAGAGCCTGGTAGCCTGTCTGGTACTCTGTCATATTAAATTGCCTTCTGACATCTAAAAGACAATTCAACAAATAAATACAAACAGGTATGAAATTGTTTGGGATAACTTTTTTTTAAATGCATCATAACATATATCATGTATCTGGATATTTGGGAGTAATTAGTGATATGAAATTAAAGTAACTGATGAATAAGTAGAAAATGAGATGGCATTGAGCATTCTGTAAGCACCCTAGCACAGTAATGGTTTTATGTCCGTAAATATACCAGTAGCCAAGATATTAGGATGAGGTTTTGCAAAGTTTAGAGAAAATGTAATCTCAATCATCTGTATAGTATATATTGACAAAACAGTATTACTGAAGCGTCAAAATTGTCTCATCTTTTACTTTACCAGTGTATTTACTTTACCATTATATTGTGCCTTATATTATAGGATATGTACTATTCAGTATTCCAAACATCACCAATGACATAGCAGTGTTCTCCAAAGAAGTTTTCCTCAAGTGGGTGCAAAATTCTCATTTTCACAATTAAGACCAAAATTGGTCCAAATATCCAACATTTCATGATTTTTCTCATTTTCAAGTGGGTGCAAATGGATTTTTTTTTTCATTTTAACTATCAGATAAGAGTCTCAGGGTTACATATAGACTGTATCCTTCTTCTGAATAAATATTCAGACTGTAAGTCACCTATTGTAAAATGTGGTGTTGTATAAATGTTACAAATAAGTTTGTTTAATGATAAAATGATTACCTTATAAAGAACTCACAATATTATTTTTTCGTATATTGTCCTCTTACTGAAGATATTCATAAAATGTACAGACGCTTCTTGTAGCGAAGCCATTGATGAGGTCAAGCCATTTTGGCAATGCCAATTCTCACGATAAACGAGATTTAGCCAGTGACGTCAGTCTATTTGTAAACAAATAACACGTGGATCGGGAGCAACATTACGGAAGCGTATTGCTAAATTCCATTTGTGCGGGAATTTATTAGATCTAGTCATTTATTATCATTATCCCGATTAATTTTCTTCATTTATAGTAAATAGAGCGGAAATATTCATGAAGAAGGCCGAGGTAATCAAGTGGTCATGTGTTGTCAAAGTTCAAAATTTGCATATCTCGTTTGGATCTCGTGAACTCAAACGTCCTTGACATTGATTTCGCGATCTTCTTATGAACACATCCTGAAGTTTCGGTGAGTCTGAACATTTCATTATTTTATATCAACTTGTACCCGCCTTATACAAATATTTTTGCTTCTAGTTTAAGATGAACATCTCTTCAACATATTCACCAATTTTCAAGGTGAACATTCTTATAATAAACGAGAAATTAATGTGCAAAAAATATCACCGTGATTTCCACAGGAAATATATCAATCATAACAGACCGAATATTATATTCGGTCTGTTGGATACATACTAGGGTTACATAGGCAAATCTATTTTGGTAAGAGCACTCTGTTTTGAAAACCCAGTTTATTATTACGTGCCCCTGCCAGATTTCCCTCCTGTTTGGTAGATGAAATTTTCTTATACAATCATCATCTATCATCTGTTGTTGACCTCAAAAATGAACATTTGTGGAACTGAAATGAAAATAAAAAAATAATTTTATTTACTTTTTTGAGACCATATTTCTAGGATTTCAGAGAAGTAACCTAATTCTTCTTACCTCCAATTTGAAGAATATGTATATCTCACACTTATTTCACATGATGATTCAATATCTGATACGATTCGATGACTAAAAATAACTTTGTATGACTATTTCGTCGAAATTGGAAAATCACAACAAAATCGCATTGCATTCTGGGAAATATTCTATTGGAAGTAAAACACTTTTAAACCATCATAAAAATACAAATTGTGCTACATTTTGTTACATTTATTATAATAAAGTGTCCAGATACTCTATTTTGTATGATTATAATCCTCAAAGCTGAAATTGATATCCTTGAACAGCTTCACTCCGTATTTATTTGGCCATCTTGTTTCCGGTTTCGAAAATTATAAAATTCTCTCCACTTTTCGACGATTTATATGTAAATGATGAACACTTTACCGACACAATCAGTAAGTTTGTCTATACCTCATATTAGTCTCTTTAATGAAATATTGATTCTATCCTTTTTACCCCATCCGAATCACGGAACTTATGTTTTCTACATTTTTATGATTTTTTCTTTTCAAAATGGGCCATTATTGAAATTATTTCGGGTCAAGATTGCAGTAAAAAATCCAATTGACGACCATTATAACGTTTCATTTCATAATATATTCATGGGCACAGATCTAGCTCAGCGAAACACTGCCCAGTGTTCATTGGAGTCTTGTCTAGCTTGCCGTTACAAAATAAGCATACAGTGACCACACCGTTTTTGAGATAACTGAATCTGGAGAGAGCTACCACTATAAAGCTACCTGTTTCAGAAAATTATTCTGCTCTACATCTAAGTCTCAAAAATCACTCCACCATCTCTAAAAATTCGGTTTCTAACCAAACTTGTAAATGTTTCCTGATAGATTAGTACTTACCCTATCGAGAATAAACCTTGATTCATTTATCAAACACTAGATGGCGCTGCGACGGGACAGAAAGGAGAAAAAGCTTTTTTATACAGAAAGCCAAATAACCAACGGTAACCGCTAGTATCCCTACTCTGGACTATATTCTTCATAAATTTTTTTATGATAAAAAATATTTTTGACTATTTCTTTTGGCTATATTTTGATTTTTATAACGCGTTTGGGTGTTATACAGTATTGTGATCAGTTTGCTGGGCGGCCTACCTAATTTTTGTTTACATTTCCCGTCAAACAGTTCGGTAGAATGATTTCAAATTGTCAGTGTTGTTTCTTTATATGAAAATCTTGAACTGATGATTAGCATTTTGGCTATTCCATGGTCTTTCAACTTTAATCATCTAATTACAAGCCCATGGCTATTCTTAGTAGGGTGAAGCCATTTCATTTCAATTTAGGATAACTTCAAAGTATGGGGTAACTTCAACACTGTTGTTTATTTGGTCTAATTCTCATCTAGGTGGAAGCCGTTTTGATTAAATTTCTTGAGAAATTAGCTTTCTTATTCCATTTCTAGCATTTTTTGGCTTTGTTTAATGATTTTTAATAATACTGAATTGTGATTGACTTGCGTAGTATAGCACTACATATTTGACTGTTATCTTTTGATAATATGTATTGGAACATGTGGATATTTCATAGTCAAGCCTGGAATACCCGTCCAGCTTCACATGCAAGGGGGCTGTGACAACCATGGGGTATTGGCATATTTCCGCCCGCAATTTGTTGACATTTAAAAAATTAAACGATGGCTGTGAATCCTTGCAATTTCTGAGATTCAGAGGCAAACGTAATGTTTTACAGTAAATAAATAAATAATATTCAATGGCAATTTACTGTCCAGTGTTGAACATCAGTTACTCTCATTCTAAGTCTATCTGTGACTCATAAAACATGACAGAAAGCCCATCATTCAAGAGAAATAAATATTGATATCAATGACCCATCAAAGTACAATCTTGTTCAAATTTTCATTCAGCTTGATCATTTCCTTTCTGGTAATTTTCTACCCCATCCGAAAATTGAACCTTTTGGGATTTTCACACTGCATTGCTGTGTTTCACCAGGTGGCGACATTTCGTCATGTCGATGCTTTGTCATTTTGTGATGTTTATTATTTTAGCGACTCATGAATGTTCAACAAGGCACACCAACTAGCGGTAACCTGCAGCATGTAGACAGAGAGAAAATCTACCAGTGGATCATAGAGCTTGCCAGTCCTGATACCAGAGAGAATGCCCTCTTGGAACTCAGGTACAAAAAATCTGTATTAAAATCCATAACAAATAAGCAGTCAAAAATGCATTAAATTACAGGCCCGTAACCAGGATTTGCCAAGGGGGGGTTCAGTTTTCATAAATTTCCAGGGGGGTTCACATTTGACCATTTTGGTCCATATATGGCTAAAATCACTTGAGAAGTGCTCAAAATGGTGAAAAACTTTGTGATTTTGAAAGAAATATTGGCCAGGGGGGGGGGGTTCGCCCGAACCCTGCGATCTCCCCTGTCTACGGGTCTGAATTATATACACTATAACTAGCTGCATGATTCCACAAATTCCAATAAAAGTTGAAATATTGCAAGTTATGAATAAAGCTATATAGAATCATGAAATGTTTTAAAACTAAAATGTCGTATTACTAAAGGCTATATGAGTCACCCAGTGTTAGACCTGAATGGGGTTTTGACATTCACCTTATATTGTTTATATAGGGCCCTTCTCAGTTTGTTTAAATATTGCTCATATTTGTTTTCAGTAAGAAGCGAGAAGTGGTCCCTGAGTTGGCCCCTATGTTGTGGCACTCATTTGGTACTGTGGCAGCTTTACTTCAAGAAATCATCAATATATATCCAGCAATAAACCCTCCACATCTAACTGTAAGTAAAAAATCAATCAATGATGGAACGTCTCCTTAATCTATTTCACTTTAACCATTTTTATGTCACGGTTGGCATTCAGTATCTGTAACAAATGGCAGGGGGTGACATTTTGCATGTTAATGTAATGAGTTTGCATTGTTTTCACCATGGATTTCCAAATCCATATGTTTTTAATTTTTGACTAGCAAGAAATCAACAAAACTCTTCCCAATTTTCATGATCTATTCAAATTCTCGAGAAATTAATGGTGAAATGAGTTTTGCAGTTGGGTACCAAGACAAAATGTTCAGAAATACGTGTCTAATCCACTAAGTATCTGAATTACCTTTGTAGGCTCATCAATCAAACCGTGTGTGCAATGCTCTAGCCCTGCTACAGTGTGTAGCCTCTCACCCTGAAACAAGATCTGCCTTCCTTCAAGGTTTGTACATTCGGCTCTCTCTTGTTGCCAAATTAGGAGATTTGGAGTTAGTTAAACCTGTTACAACTGCTCGTTTGAAGTATTTCAGCATGCACGAAAATGCAGTGTGATAATGGGTTCATTTTTCAATTTTAACCACTGCAACTGGCTACTTGAAATATTTCAGCAATTGGTCAATCAATTTCAATCAGAAACTGAAATTTCTGTGAAGCACACTTAGTCAAACACAGGTCATTGTGAATTGTGGAACAATCATTTTCTTAAGAATTTTCTATTTATATTTTTTCTAAATATGGTTATATTCCCCATCCAGATGAAAGCCATGATTTTTTCATGATTTTTTCACAAGATTTGTATTTTTCCAAATAAAAAAGGGCATAAATTGGAGTTCTAATTTCTAAAAGAAATTACTTCATGTGTGACATTACCCTTCTTGGCTCCAGAAGCCATCAATATATTGTGGCAAATTTGCAATTGGCCTTATCTTATAATTAATTGCGTTTTTGCGGTAAGATAGGAAGACTTAAAATGCGCCACAATATTTAGAGTCAGACTTATTGTTGGTACAACACTGTTGGTACAACAAAATTGCAAAATTGTACCTTTTCTATTTCAGCTCATATTCCACTTTTTCTGTACCCATTCCTCCACACTGTAAGCAAGACCCGGCCATTCGAATACTTAAGACTTACCAGTCTTGGAGTCATTGGTGCCCTAGTCAAGGTATGATAATTAAATTGAAATAAGTAGCAGTGAAATCAAAGAAGTTGCAAAGATATAAAGAATAATTTATGAGAAAATACAACCATTACAGTAGACTTTATAATTACAGTTTTGTATCTGCTCTGAAAGTATATTTTTGGTAAAATTAAAGACAAACATTGTAATTTGGGAACTTTAGACATAAAATGAATTTTAATTTTTTTTAATTATTAAAGTGACATTTTAGGGAAAGAACTTCCAAAAAATGTTAGAATCTGATTAAAAGATTGATACTGTCTTATTATACTCCATTTTCAGACTGATGAACAAGAAGTGATAAACTTTCTACTAACAACAGAAATTATTCCACTATGTCTGAGAATTATGGAATCTGGGAGTGAACTATCAAAAACTGTAAGTCTTGTTGTCATATTTTTCATGTACTTATGTACAGTGTATTAATGCTTTTACCATGGACACTTATTGTATATTTAAAGGATGGTGACTGATTCTAAGAGTTCTCACATACACAGCCAATATAATTCGGCGCCGTTTCGGCATCATAAAAATTCGGCGCTGTTCCGGCACTGTTCCTTTCGACACCAAAATTTGCCACCGGACTAGTCAGTCCATTTGGTGCCGAAACGGCGTCGAAAATCAGATTGCATACATATGACTTAATTTCTTTTCACCTCCAAAGTGGTGACATATTGTCACAGTCTTCAACTTTTTTGTGGATGGTGTTTGGTGGTTGGTGTTCAGCAGTCAGCATTCAGTCAATGTCTGTAACAAATGACAGGCTCAGTATCAATGGGTTGAAAAGAAACAAAGTGTATTATTTGCCATTAATGTTAAACAAAGCAAAGTCTCTGAACATAATTCTTGATTGATTGACCATGTGAAAGGCCAAGTGCAAGATTAGATTAATTCTCACTGATAACTTCATTGAAGATAAAATTAGGATAAGAATCATCCTTGGACGACATATTTCAAGCAACTATCTCAGTATAAGATTAAATAGTACATGTAAATTATTATCTTAGTTTAAGATTGAACTACATGTACATGTCAGCTAGTTACGATATATTGACTCCCATGATGGATGTTCCTATAATATTTTTCATGTCAGATATGGGATGCTTTTTGACACATTTTAAAGAGATCCCATTTAAAAAGTTCTGGAAGATCAAGATAAGACAGAGTGTCCTCTCACTCTCCATTAGACAGAGTATTTTTTTCTATATGAGACAGAGTGCTGTCCTTTTTTTAATTGGACAGAGCCATTCCTTTCTTCATAAAGGAATGGGCTATCATCACTCTATCAGTAAAAATAGTTATTACCACTTATGACCACTTTTCGGTATTGTTGCAAGACTCATGACAAAAATTTGCAAATGTGTGCAGTTTGCTTATCCTGTCTGTCATCAGTAAATATTACAATGTCATCTCTAGCCAGAATGCTCAAATTTTGTTATACATAAACATGTAATAAACAACCAGTTGGTACATTATAATTCATCTATCATCTTTATTTCAAAATACATGTACATGTGCTTTCCTTCCTTAAAAAATAAATTAGAAATCTATGCTAGCATATCCTCCATTTGGATAATGCACACACTGGCCATTAATCTTCAACCATTGGCCTCCTTCAATTCTTGCCACAAATGGATGCTGTGTGTTTGTCATAAGGCCAGTAGATTGTAATGGCTGGATCAGCCAACCACCATTGGTGTTCCCATTGTAGTCCACCCACATCAACCTGACTTGACGCCATGTCTTGTTGATCCAGTTCTATGTACAAGGGTAAAGAAATTGTGAAGGGAAATATATATTTGGTGTCAGGGGTACACTATATGTACACTTGTCGAGATGGCCAAGTGGTCTAGTGTACTGGACGCACTAAACTAGGTGTGGTGAGAAAATTATATTGTTGAAGTCAGTCCAGACTTTATGTTTATTTATCAATACCCTTTTTTACATAATTTTGGATTAGATTTTCTTATGTATAGCACATCCTTATTTACCTGTGTAACTTGTTGTCCATTGCCAGATTGCCTTCCCATTGCACCATTACAAGCACCAGTCACTGGTCGTTGAGTTGTTACTCTTGGTCTGGGAGTTGTTACTCTTGGCCTGGGAGTTGTTATTCTTGGACCAGTGCCACCTCCCGTGCCTTTAAACAATATTGCAATATAGTGATTGTTATATGATACCAATAGTATGTATTTTGCAAACTTTATCATATACTCAGTAGGAGGGTACCCCATCAGTGTCTTTAAATCTTTACATCTATTTTAATATATGGAAATTATTAAAGGATACAGGGGCGTAGCCAGCTTTCAGTCAGGGGTGCGATTGCCAAAAGATTTTCGGTTTTCAGTCAGAGGAGTGCGATAGTGGCATGAGCAGGCCAAAAAAAGATTTGTTTTGAATTTTACAAAAATTGTTGCAGCTTCCTTTAAAAGTGAGCTAGACACGTCAAATAAAACGCAAATTAGAGCTCTTTTCTTCTTCTATCCAGTGGTTGTGTTTTTTTGGTTTTATTTTATTGCACCTACTGCACTCCCCCTTGGTTTCGCCTATGGGATATTATAAAATGTTGACCCAGATATGTTTTCATGGACCAAAATTAATACATGAGCACAGTGCCAGAATAAGGAAAGACAAAAGATTATTACAAAAGCAAAGAAGGGAAAATAAACCCTACCATATCCCAAAGTATGACCTTAAACACAAAGAAACAATGTTTGAATCACGCCCCCCCCCCACCCGTCCCACTATTTTGGAATCATGACCACAATCCAAAGCCACATTGCATAGATAATCATGTACAGTAGTTATAACACCTTTAGTCATACCCTGGCACCCATTTCCTTTGTTGACAAAGTTTGCATCTCCAGCTGAGAGAGACTTAACCTGACCAACAATACTTTGTAGTCTTGGGTCTCTCATCTTAATGAATGGTCTGTTTGAGGGTCCCTAAAGGGTATAAAAGAACATTAAATACAGACCAGTCGTGATATCTCTGTTAGCAAAAGTTTCTCAAAGGATTCATTTTGTCATGATTTGAAGCATAAAATATGTATTGCTTTGTTCAAGGTCTTTTCTATTTTGTGTATTTTAATTGGTGTATATTTGACAGCATGAGCTTTTTCTTTCTCTCGATCGAAAGCCCATGTTGATAGCAACTGTTTTTAAAACTTAAATTGTGATTTTTGGGGAAATATCTGATCATTGATGTCCAAAATGTCTATTTGGCTTGCTCATTAGGTTGAAATGCCCCTGAATATTGCCTGTTACTTTTCAAGCTATTACTGTTGTTGAAATGTCGGAGATCATATATACATACTGGATGGTAGTGCATAACAGAGTATGGGTCGTAGGAGAAACCTTTGGTGTCCACATTGCTGCGGGGCATTGGTCTGTACCATTGCTTCCACTTTTCCTCAATGTTCTGGTATAATATGGTCATGTATTGAGCCTGGTCTGGGTGCTGGTGCTCATGTCCCATACCAAGGGAATGTCCAATCTCATGCAAAATTGTGTAGTGCTGAAATATGTATTTCTCTGTTTAAATGCCATAAGGTAGTACTTCAATGTTGATTGCGCAGTCAGTTCGCGCATTTCAAATCCTGTTCTGTTGTACTTGATAGCAATTTTTGCTACAGTGAAACGTGTTAAGTAGAACACCTCTAAAAGTGGAACACTTTCCAGAGTCCCATGACCAACTGACTTAATGTTAAATGACATGAAACAACTCCAAAGTGGAACACTTTTTTTAGAAGTACCAAAGGTGTTCCACTTAGGCAGGTTTTACTGTACTTAGTGGAGAGTGAATAAAACAGAAATCAACTCACACTGCCACATCCTGGATACTCCAAAGATATTCTGTTTACTCTGTTCATTCCCACGGGAGAATTGCATCTGAAGTCAATAAAAATCAGGAAACTCAGCGATAATTTGATGTTAAGTCTTTATTACATATATATAAATAAAGCAATACAATATGTTCGTATAATGCATAACAAACATACCCTGTTCCATGGTAGAATTCAATTACATGCTGGTCTCCAGGATATGCTGGGCGGAATGTCAGACACGTTTTTTGCTGCCATTCGTTGATTGCTGCTCTCACTTTTGGTTGCCAATCTGCTCCTGTAGATTAAAGAATGCAGCTAGAAAATTGGCGCAGAGATTTTTGCATGCTTCACATATGCAAAAGCAAAATATATAATGCCCCAAATTCATTTTTCCTTGGTATTTAAACAGTAAATTATTAATAATTCTTAGAATTTAACTTACTGAAGCCAGCGGCAAATCTGTATGGAACAACTTTATTATTTCCAGACCAGGGCCTGCTATTTCTGTATCCCCATTGACGCTTGCTACGGCTGTTACAAACATGAAAAGCAATTTGAAATGGTCACTTGGATTATCTAACCAGTTAACAATTTGAATATTCATCTTCATTTTATAAGATGCTAGGATAAAATAAGTTATAGATGGGGTTTTCAATGATCCATCAGAACAATCACACATCATGACAAAAGTAAAAAAAACATTGGTTTTATATCACCACCAGAAGTTATGACATATTGTTGTAGTCTCCAACTTTTTTGTAGACAGTGTTCAGTGGATGATGTTTGGAGTGTCTAAAAAAAGTTGCAGGTGGTGACATTTTGCATGTTAATGCCTTGTAATTTCTGTTTAATTCTTTTGATTTCTTGAGTCTTGTCGATCAATCAACATTATGTGAGGTACATACCCTCCAGTGGATCCTAGCACCTCTTGTCTGTACTGTTCAGGGGTGAACAACATATCATCAACCTGGTAGAGCTCTGGAACTGGTCCATTCTCATCATGAATCGGAGACTCAAGGGCTGTCGCCTGCATGTAAAATTGCACATTAAGTTTCATGGCCATTGTCTAAACAAATTTTTTTTTTTTTTGATTATAGAAGTTAATTTCATGAAATTCATGTCAGAAATTCAAGTCTTTCTTGAATTTTGGATCATACATTTATCTTTAACATTCAATTGAAAAGGGTCCAATTTTCTTCAATTTTGATTTATAATTTCAATATTAGTTGATACCTGTGAAATAACAAGCAGTGCTAGTACTGAGACAGCTATCATTGTGATTCTGTTGACCTGTTTGATGACTGCTTTGAATAAATGTTATACATGCTTCAATTTAACCTCTTATCCTTTGGAGAAAATTGATAAGATAAGATAGATGTATCTGTAATCATGCTATCCCCATAAGTTACTGGTTCTGACAGTGACTTTGTCACTGGCATTTTCTTCTATATTTGAACTTTCTGAACCTTAACAGTGATCTCCACAGGATTTTTTCTCAAGTGGGTGCAAAATTCTCATTTTCACAATTCAAACCAAAATTGGTTAAAATATGCCCATTTTTCATGATTTTCACATTTTCATGTGGGTGCAAATGGATTTTCAGGTGGGTGCAAGCCCATTTTCAAAATCTCAATTGGGTGCTGCGCCCATTTGCTTTAATGCCGGGGAGATCACTGCTTAATGTTAAAAACATTTTGAAATTGATTTGCATTAGTGTACTGGTTCTGGCAAATTTAAATGTACCATTATTTAGTTTAGCTCATTTGTCACGTAGGTCTTGGATTTGAAACATTTCACAGCACTTTTAAATAGTGTACAATCATAATATAAATATTTCTTGCACAATCTTGCGGAAAATAGAAATTCAGATCTTGTTTTGAGTGTAAGGTATTTAAAGACATTCATAATATTTCATTTTCTTTCCACTTAGGACATATAGCTATTATCTTTTTGATAGGACAGAGCACTATATAAGAAAAATACTCAACAACTTTTTACAAAGGGACAAATACCCAACAACTTTTATAGAATGATAAATACCTCTCCACTTTCACAGAGGGACAACTACCTAGCAGCATTTTTAGGGGAATAATTACCATCTACTTTTACAGAGGAGCGACTACCTATCCACTTGTACTAAACAAAGACTGGATGACCATGAGGTGGATATGCCAGAATACCTATCCAAGGAAAAAAATACTAAGCGAGGCGAAGCCGAGCCTAGTATTTTTTTTCAAGGATAGGTATTCTGGCATATCCACCTCATGGTCATCCAGTATTTATTTTATTATGCACCTCCCTTGAGAAATACTTTATTTTAAAGAATGGGTCTACTAAAACAGAAGCCGAGCCTAGTATTTTTTTTTCGAGGATAGGTATTCTGGCATATCCACTTCATGGTCATCCAGTATTTATTTTATTATGCACCTCCCTTGAGAAATACTTTATTTTAAAGAATGGGTCTACTAAAACAGAAGCCGAGCCTAGTATTTTTTTTCGAGGATAGGTATTCTGGCATATCCACTTCATGGTCATCCAGTATTTATTTTATTATGCACCTCCCTTGAGAAATACTTTATTTTAAAGAGTGGGTCTACTTAAACAGAAGCCGAGCCTAGTATTTTTTTTTCGAGGATAGGTATTCTGGCATATGGGATGGTTGGAGATCTCGTTGCTTCAATACTGGATAGAACGAGATCTTGCTGCCACGTATGGCAATAGACTCTGCAGCTCTTAACCAATCAGATTTGATTATTTTATTGAGGTGCATAATAAAGACAAATACCCATCTACTTTTATCAAGGGACAAATACCTATCAACTTTTAGAGTGGCAAATATATCATGTCCTTTTTATACAGAGGCACGAATTCTAAAAGTTATTCAATGATTCAAGTGAAATACAGAAAATATTTTTCCCCGAGAAAGTTTGCATTTCAAGAGGCACTAACTGAGTGAAAAACAGACTTTCAATTCCATGATATTATCAAGGAAAAACTCAAAAGTTACCCGAAAGCCTGACATATATTATACCCTTTACTTATTCATTGATTGGCCATTTACACATCATCCCATTTCTCCACCATGTGACATACACTACTTTTCTACCAAATTGGACATAGCTGTATTAAGTCCTATCAACCATACTTTGAAACATAAAGAACACGGCATACTAAACTTTATCCATCATTAATTTTATTTTCAAATATTACACATAAGATTGAGTTATACTCTAATATCAACATTTCCCGATGATGCTGCTCTGACACATTGTCCTCCGATCTTCACCCAGGCACCACCTTCAATCCTTGCAACAAATACATGGCTTGAGTTGGAGTTGATAGTTCGGCGTCTGTTTGGTTGAATCAACCAGCCAGCATTAGTTCGCCCAGATGTGTTTACCCAGAACAATCTAACTGGACGTCCAGTTTTGTTGGTGAATACCTGCAGGTGTGAAGGATTTTGCAATCATTGAATGATTTATTTTTTGTATATGTTTCAATTTGAAATTTAGTAGGAATGGAATCTACTGTTTATTGTAAATTTGATCCAAAGTATTTCGGTGCATAATAATTTTGTTGTGTACAAATAGTTTTAAGGTGTGTGTTTTTGTTATTTTGATCTATGAGTATTATGTATCTTATGTACCTGTCTAACTTTTTGTCCACCGTTTACAGATCTTCTACCATTAGCACCCTTGCATGTACTGCTGCCTGATCCTCCTGTACCCTTGCCACCTGTACCCTTGCCACCTGTGCCAGTACCTCCTTAAAATGATTATCAAGGGTTAAATGACTGTTAACTTCTGTAATATTATATGGCACTTCTAATTCCTTCTCATCCATCTTGGCAGTTTTTAGTAGGATATATTTTTATTTGAATATCTTCCATTTAAAAAAGGAAAATTGTTGTATGATGGATTTAGAAAGTTTTATATTATTGTTGCCCTTATTGCGTCAAGAGTCAGATGTGTCCTATTCCTTAACTACCATTCTGTTATATAAGTTACCTTGGCAACCATGAGTTTTCCTGATGAATGCGGCGTCACCATTAGAGAGCTCAGTCACTCTACCAACAACCATTTGGAGTTTAGGATCTTTCATGAGAATCTTTGGCTTGGATTTGTTTCCCTAATAAATGTTCATGAAAACATGATTGTTCAAAATATTTGTACTTCTCTTTTACTACCAAGAAATGTAAAGCCACCAGTTTTTTTGAAACTGGCATTGAATGTTCACCATTGAGCGTTACCATACAGCATTTAAGCATCTATGTTACACTTTTGTTATCTTATTATCTTGATGCCTTGTTTTGTATGCTGTTCTATATAACATAATGTAACATTCAAATTTTGCAAATGTGTAGGCTAAACATAGGTCACATACTTATTTGAATCATGGGCTGTCTTGAAAGCCCATGTATGAATGTATCATAGAAACTTCTTTCTATCTTCTAAGCTGCAAACTGAAATGTCCACTTATTTTAGTTTAGATCAAGAACATGTATAAGACTTACTGCAGAATAGTGCATGACTGAATATGGGTCATACTTAAAGCCATGTGTGTTCACACGATTTCGAGCCATTGGTTGGTACCATTTTCTCCATGATTCCTCAATGTTCTGGTTCTGTATGGTCATATACTTTGCCTGGTCTGGATGCTGATGTTCATGTCCCATACCAAGGGAATGTCCAATCTCATGAAGGATTGTCTTGTGCTGAAGAATTAAACACATTTGCATAGATTCTACATGATTTTGATTCACGTAGATTCCATAGTTTGATGTAGTACACAGCCAGAAGTCTGATATTATACAGGTTGGTCCAAAAAGAGTGAACTGCTGCAACAGGCTATATTTTCCTTTTACAGCAGTTCACTTTTTGGATCGCCCTGTATATTTCTAGTTTTTGACTGAACAAATAATTAACAATTAATCAAAAGCAAAACTTACACTTCCACAACCAGGTGACTTCAGGGAGATCCTGTTGACACGATTCATACCAACTGGAGAGGTACATCTGTAAAAATAAGAATGATCCATTTTTATTATTCTGTATCATGATATAGTGAAAAGACTGTATGCGGAGTCTCAAAAATTTCTGCTGACAACTTTGATGTATTTATATACATAATAGGATATATATTTATCCATTGGGTATAAGTACAAAGAAATCCTAGTACTATTATCAAAAATACATTTTATGTTTAGAAATCTGAATATAAGTTAATGTCTTCTACTTTACCCATTTCCATGATAGAACTCAATGACATTTTTGTCATTTGGTCGAGCTGGGCGGAATCTGAGACAAGTCTTCCTTTCCCATTCCTGTGCAGCTTTACGGACCAATGGCTCCCAATCTTTCCCTTGAAATCATTAGATTATTATGAGTTCTGGAAAGAACTTTATCGAAAGGGTTTTCAAGAAGTATTGATTTATATTTTATATTATCATTTGATATGATGAAATGTGTACCATATTTGAAAACTTCATAATTGATAACTTTTTCAATTTATTATAGTTTCCTGTTGTTGAAGTGAAACAAAAAGCCTAAGAGTTTCGACAAGTTTGATTATGTCACCACCACCAGGTTTCTGTGGTTCAGTTTGGCAGTTGGTATTCAGTGGTCAGTGTCTGTAACAAATAGCAGGTGGTGACATTTTGTTAATGAAAACACAGAATGAAATCCTTTGCTAAGGGCTGATGTGAAAAAAAGTCAGTCCACCCCAGTGGGGATCGAACCCACGACCCCTTGCATGTTAATGCCTTGTTTATTGTGCAAAACACTTTTAAAATACATGTATAAGAAACTTACTGAATCCAGCTGCAAATCTGTATGGGACAACATTGTTATTACCCGACCAAGGTCTTGTATTTGCGTATGACCACTGGCGCTTGCTGCGTCTAAAAAAGAATGGACCAGCGATGGCAGGTCAGAGAGAAGGAAAACTCCGTTTTTTTACAAGCAAGAGAATTCTTAGTAGAATACAATAGATCAATGGAAGTTCATATCAGTTTCGAGTTGCAAAATTGTTTTCAAGATTATTTTTCATCATTATTCTTTACATGAACCTGCACATCAGAATTGCAAAGATCAGTATGGTGAAACAAGCAATAGCAATGTTGATCCAGAGAGCAAAATGCAGCATGTATTAGGCATATACATACCCTCCAATAGATCCTAGCACCTCTTGTCTGTACTGTTCAGGGGTGAATAGCATATCATCAACCTGGTATAGCTCTGGAACTGGTCCATTCTCATCATGAATTGGAGACTCAAGGGCTGATGCCTTATAAACACATTATATGATGATTTTAACTTAACTTAACAAAATTAACTACCATACATATTGTGTTCAAATATTGCCCACTTAGTTACTTTCTTACATTTATTTGAAAGCAGTATATGCAACATGACTTTAATCATAGCTTTTAATTTTGTTGAATGAATGGACCAGGGTGTCTTGAGATTATTCAATTTGAAATACAGTAACAACCATGTTCAGTTCTGCTCCTTGCTATACTTTGGAATATGTAGTTGTTTACTCAAAAAATATCTTGCGAGATTTGCTTTATGTTAAATGTCACTTAAAATTGAAACTTCTGATTTGGTTTGGAGGCGAAGTCTCACAAGTTGCCTTGAGATATAACCGAGTAAAAGCCTAGTTTATTATAAAAATGTACCTGCGAGGCAGCTAGCAAAACCAGTAGCCAAAATGCAACCATATTGTCGGTTGATCCAATGTGCTACTTTGAACACATGTGCGATTGTATTTATACAAATTGGGATAAAGAGATAAGAGATAAGAGAGATATACTATCATGAGACTATCACAGACTCTGTTTCATATAACTACACCCCCAATTCGCAGCGCTGTAAACGTACTGAAAGTGCAGTTTTAGCACTGCATTGTACAGTGCTAATTTAACATTTATGCTTGATCAAAGATTCAGTATATACATTTATGTACCAACTAGGATCCATGAATTGGCGATATAGTACATTATACTTTCATTATCATCCTCCTAAGCAGGTATCCAGAATCAGTACCTCCTTCTTCCCCCTGCTATAACCAATTTGGAAGCGCCCAATTAAACTGAATCATGTGATCTAATTATACGCACTGACTTATACATGATTTCTGTCACAGTGTTGCGACATCCAATCAGATTGCGAGTTCTTAATCGGGGAAATGCTAACTGCTTATCGCAGGGGGTAAAAAGAAAGAATATATTCTGGATTTTGAAGCCCTGTGATCGGAGGATGTTTCATTATTGTCTAAACCATTCTTGTAAGAATGGATGGTGAAATATATACTAAGTGACTGACATCTTAAATCTTGAGTCTGCTTTATATTATAGTAGCACTTCAGGAGAAAAATCAGTTCTGTTATTGCTGGTCTCCTATTAACGAACAGAAGATTTTTCTTTGTAAAAATATTTTATTTCTATATCTTCATTAGTAGCTATATCAACTCTGCCTCCTCATTAGTAGTTGATGTCTACTCTTCCTCCTGTTGGATTTAACACACTGGCCTCCTACCTTCAACCAACTTCCTCCTACATTCAACCAACTTCCTCCTATGTTCAACCAACTTCCTCCTACATTCAACCAACTTCCTCCTACGTTCAACCAACTTCCTCCTATGTTCAACCAACTTCTCCTACATTCAACCATTTTCCTCCTACGTTCAACCAACTTCCTCCTATGTTCAACCAACTTCCTCCTACATTCAATCAACTTCCTCCTACGTTCAACCAACTTCCTCCTATGTTCAACCAACTTCCTCCTACATTCAACCAACTTCCTCCTACATTCAACCAACTTCCTCCTACATTCAACCAACTTCGTCCTACCTTCAACCAACTTCCACCTTCAATAGACAATTGTTGGCAGTCTTACATCAAGAACTTATACTCAGCCAATAGTCTGAGAACAACTCAAGAACAAATCGCTAATTTTAAGTTTCATTGTGAGAGTAAATTTAGGCTAGTGAGATTAAGAAAAAGCGTATACTTTACTTGTTACATGATAGAGTTTGAAAGAAGCAGTACAGTTCTTGGTACTTGTTATATGATTGCAATGGGTCAATAAATGAATAATTTATGGACAGTTCACAGCAATGTTGTCAATTATGATCCAATGTCAAAGTAGTTTAAATTAAAAATATAAAAGCATCCTACAGTGTATGGAGCCAAGAGGAGTGAGTAGCTCCCATAATTCTTTCATATTCTATCGTATTCAGGGATTCCCCATTACATCATCTCCAATCAAATTGCAGGATTCGATCACGTGAACAATCATGAGCACGTGCTCTCTCAGTGCTGCGCATGCGCAGAGTTAAATTTGAAATCGTGGGAATGGCGTTAACATCAGTTCAACATCATCATTTCAAACCTACGGTAATACTATTGAAGTTACTCAATCCATACTTCTAGAGAATACTCATAAAACTACAGTGAACATTTGGAGATCCATTTCAATGGCAAATTGAGGCCTGTTTATAAAATTTGTTTTCGAACGTGCTAATATGATAGGTCATCTTTGGGAAATCTCCTCCCCCTGTATGGAGCCGAAGCAATCGTATTATGTTTATTCTGACTGTGTACACATAAGCAGCTATTACATTAATCAATGCATGAAGCAATGATAAAACGTAAGAGCTTAAAATCTAACAACGTAGCCGTGTATCGGAACAAATGATCGACTGAAAGGACAAACGTAGGAATATATGAATTGATAATTGTTCGAACTAACAAACAAATTCATGAGTGTAAGGATGTAAAAACGAACATAGGAATAATGTATACACTACTATACGCACGAAACGAGCGCACAAACGCAAAGAGGAATGACAACGTTCAGATGTACGTTGGTACAAATGAACTTGAGAAAATATGTGCGTATTCCTTTTTATGTCGGACAATATCATCCTGAGATTAGAGAAAACAATGGTGATGATAATAGATGATGATTTGATAATGATGTAAAAGGATTAGGTAATGGAGCAAAGGTTTAGATATTTGTTCAAAATGATAGGATCTTGTTTCAAAATGATCAGAATCTGTTGCAAAAACAGTAAGATATTGGTGCAAAATGATCAGATGATGTGACAGAATACAAGCGAATAATGCTTTCAATATACAGAGGGATTAATATAAAGTAAAACCTGTTTAAGTGGAACACCTTTGGTACCTCTAGAAAGTGTTCCACTTGGGGGATGTTCCACATTCAGGGGTTCATTTAATAATAAGTCAATAGGTTGCAGGATTTTTATTAGTGTTGAATAGAGGTGTCACGGGTCAGACATTTGTCGGGTCAGTTCGGGTCAGAAAAAAAGTTCGTGGGTCGGGTAATTTCAGACCCAAGATTCGGGTAGACTTCGGGTCGGTGTGACACCTCTAGTGTTGAACACATATGGAGGTGTTCCACTATACAGGTTTCACTGTACATGTAATATTTAACTGTAGTGTTTATGCCCTTTCTTGTGTATTTCCAGGTAGCCACATTTATTCTGCAGAAAATTCTCCTAGATGACACAGGGTTGTCTTACATCTGCCAGACATATGAACGATTCTCACACGTTGCTATGATATTGGTATGTTTTATTTTGGTCATAATTGTGTTTGTTATGAAGAAAATGGTATGGTTGAGTTGTCTACCATAGGGCTTCTTTAAGGAGGGGCTCCTGGGTCTGTCTTTCATGATTACATGCTTGCTTAAGTTATGACCCTTAGTATGATATACCCTAGAGGTATTGCCTGGAATATGTTTTAGAATATTCTTAAATGTACAAACATAGGCTATTGGAAAAGTTTTGATATGATTTTCTCCAATTGGATCCTGCATGGAAGTATGTAAATGTGGATATGTACACATAATGTAATGTAGAAACATGAGCACATACTGTTAAAATACAGATTTCCTTTGAATGATGTGTTAACTTTTTAAAAAATTATTTGCAAGAAATAAGGCATTGACAACAAATGTTATGCACAAAAAATTTTTGAAAATGACATTGTTATTTAAAGTCTGCTAATGGTCTCATAATTCATTTGAGCCTACATTATCCATTACTATCTTTAGAATGTTTCATATGAATTCTCACTTTCAGGGTAAGATGGTGTTACAACTTGCCAAGGAACAATCGGCACGTCTCTTGAAACACGTCGTAAGGTGTTACCTCAGACTCTCAGATAATCCAAGGTAAGTTCAATATACCAATAACCTCATTTCAGCGGGCAACATAGTGAAATCTTGACCCAAGGCCCAATGACTCCAACTATTGCTCAAGTCAATAAAGTAAAAAAATATAAGCCTGTTTTGCTTCTAAAATAGTAATAGTACCCTGAGAATAGGTCTCCCAAGGTGATGATAATACTGTTTGGTTACCCTTAGGTCGGTAGCTGTTGAATTTATTGAAACAGTTCCTCAACAACATCTTAGTATCTCTTGAAAAAGTCATACAATGAAGCATCCATAAATGGCACATATATATCAGGGGTCACAAACAATTTCTTCAATTTTACCTTTTTTAAATCATAGATACTATTTATTTCAAATATCATATCGAAAACTTCCATCAAAAATCACAGCGTAATCGCCCAAAAGGAGCATTTCAACTATCACTTAAATGGACTAAAAAGTTTATTCTATTTCACTCATCTAAAAAGTTTATTCTATTTCACTCAAAGATTCCTATATTTGCATACTGCCATGTACATATTTCAGGTTTCATAAAGGATTCCTATAGTTTTCCTATAGTTTACATTTTAAGGGTTCATAAATGATTTTTACAACTAACAAATATACTGTATTTCAAGGCCCGTAAAGCATTCCTATATTTAACATATATATTGCAAGACTCATAAAAAATTCCTGTATTTTACATATATTTTTCATGTAATCATTCTTCTATTTTATATATACATGTATTTCAGGGCCCGTGAAGCATTACGTCAGTGTCTTCCAGACCAACTAAAAGACAATACATTTGCCAGTTGCCTAAAGGACGATAACTCCCAACGTTGGCTACAGCAATTGTTGAAGAATTTAGAGCCCCAATCAGGGGTTGCAGGGACTGTAGGGAGCCAGTCTGGGCCTAATCTAGGAATGCCTAACACCCCTAATATCCCCCTCCCACCACAGCAATCACTGAATGGAGCTTCTTAGTATTAGGATCCTAAACATAGAATGTCATGGTAGGAGTAGAGAGGAAAAAAGGAGAAATAAACAAGATATTGAGACTTATATGAGTGACATTGAGTCTGTAGGCTGTAAAGAAAGGCAATAAAAATTGACATGTATTTCATCAAAAATGGATCTGCTTTGAAAAGATATTCAAGAAAAGCTCATGGATTATTTTGAGCAGTGGAGATACAGAATACTTCATGTAGTTATGATATTTTATTGAAAGTCCCTCTTGTTTTATTGTACAGCTAGTTAAAGGCAGAATTAGATCTAGCAAGATGGCACTAGCTAGTCTCCGAGTACTTTTGACAAAAATTGTTTCAATTTTAGAATATTTGGGCCCATAATATTCCTTGTCATGTCTAAATTATAAAAATTATTTGCGAGAATTTAAAAATTTCTTCCCATATTTTCACTCTGAAACTTCACCAAACAACATATTGTGGATCTTTTGGGAAACGTATTGAGATCGTAGATTGGTAGTTCAACTGCACATATTGTGCATGTTGCTTGCAATTTTGTCACTCCCTACTAGATCTGATTCTGTCTTTATGTTAGTATTACTCATATAGATGGCAGTTTAGTTTGTATCACTGTTTTGTTACGCCCTTATTAGGTGTTGGATAACAATACAAGGAAATATTTACCAATAAATTTCAAACCCCAATTGTCATTCAAAAAGAAAATATTTATTTGGTTCATATTTCAACCAGATGTCATATTTGTAGGTTTTTGAAGAAATGTCAACATTTTATAGCATAAAATAAATCTAAACAAATTCAAATGTGCCATCTATTGGCTCTCACATCTTGCATTCATTAGTATTTCAGTTTGATATATTTTATGGTTTTAAACAGTAAGTCAAATGAATAAATGGGATGATTGAGTCACACAGTCTTTTTTGTATCTAGAATGTGTAAAACGCAATAGGTTTTCTCTGTATAACTGTGGGACTACAGCTTTTTACAATGATAACACAGTTTGTATCCATGGTATCAAAGCTTGAATTCATGACAGAACAGCTTGTCACCATGGTAACACAGCTTGTAATCATGGTAGCACAGCAGCTTGTTACAATGGCATATTAGTCTTGCATCAAGTCCCCTTGATTCTCCCCACAATCTGCTATCTTCCCCTTATTAAGTGAGGAAGAGAAAAGGCTTGATACAAGACTATACATGTATATAACACAAACAGAGGTTATTATTGATGCATTGGAACTCGGAGGTGTCTCTAGTGTCCTTCTAGATTCTTTACACAATTTTATTTGCCAACTAAGCACATATCAAACCATGGTCATCAAACTAATGCTAAAAGTTAAATAACATTTCACTGAAATGATTTTTAAATTTTTTGTTTTACTTAACGATACTGCCTTTTTATCACCAAGTCTTTTTGTCATCAAAGAAAAATGAATATGTATCACTCGAGTTTAGTGCAAAACATGAAGCAGTGCATTTCCACTGATGTGAGGTCAAAACATAAACAGTGACATGTTGAGCACTTGTACCAATATATCACCATTAAAAATCATAGTGCTGAACTTGGTATGCATTTGTGTACCCTGTTTACTGTTTTGATATTTGTACAAGGGAAGGTCATATGACCATATTTAGGTCATGTAATTCAATAAATGTGTTCACTTGGTCTAACATAAGCTCAATATGACGCAAAAAAAGAGTCATAGACTTGTAATAAGTTATGCATATCTGTTTATGATAAATGAATATGTTCAACTTATAATGAAAATAAATACATATTGTCAAACATTGAATGTTATGCCTGTTACTATTCTTGTGGTACGGAACTCTATGATTATAACTACGACAAAAATTGAAATTGTTGACAACAGAACTTATTAAGTGAATGGGTTATTACATGTACTGTATATCAATGTCCCAAAATATAGCACTATTTCATCTCAATTTATGCCTTCCCAAAATGTGTGCATTTATTGCATCAAAATGGATCATTTACATCTTCTGTCCCAAACATAATTATAAATTATTATAAATTACATTAGTGGGCATACTTGTATGATTAACCTTGTTCCTAATGGCTTGGTCATCAAGATTTCCTATTCAGATATTGTGCATTTTAAGGTACGTTCACACCAACGGCGAATGCCACGCTTTAAATCGGCGAGCAAAGCGCCGTCATTTTTGTCATTTTTCTTCATACCAACGGCGCTTTGATGGCGCTTTAAAGCGGCTTGTAAAGCGGCACCAAAGCGTAACAAAGTTTGATTAAAGCGTCGGGGTCGTAATAGGTCGTAGAAAAGCTCAGAGTAAAACGGGATATTCGGCAAGAGCGCCAAAAAATTTTAAACTCTTAAAAAATTTTGGGCGCTCTGTTACGAATCGATTAAGCGCCGAGAGCGTATCAAAGCTTAACAAACCGTAACAAAGCTCAGAAAAACTTGATCCAAAGCGTAGGAAAGCTTAACATGGCTCTAAAAGGTTCCTCACGCTTTGATCCCGCTTTGATCAGGCTTTGTTACGCTTGAAATCACACTTTGAAAAGCTTTGATTATGACGCTTTAAATCAGGCTCTGATACGATTGCAAAACTCTGTTGTGCATTGTTACGCTCTGTTAAGCTCTGTCACGCATTGGAAAATGTCGAGATCGCCGATTCCATGCCGCTTTTGATCCAATGACTATATAAAGATGCAGTAGATCCATAAAACCATTGCATCTTTGACTCGAGAACACGATGGCAGAACAACGAGATCCAGAAATTCCAGATGGACCAGAGCATGACCTATCTGAAGAAGACATGACGTTTGTCGCACGGCGTGATATAGCGTGTGAAAACTTTCAAGCGTAACAAAGCCTAGCAAAGCGTTTCAATCCTTGATTAAAGCGTCTCAACTCGTTGGAAAGCTTGAGAGTCCCTCAGGAAAGTGTAACAAAGAGTGTCAGATATTGATGAAAGCGTCTGACCTCGTGTCAGATCTTCATGCCAGATCGTAGCAAATCTTGAGACATCTTAACGAAGCGTGTCAAGTGGTAACAGACCGTGAATAGACTGGGGTCCCCGCTTTGAACCAAGCTGTGTTAAGCTTTCCTACGCTTTGAGTCAAGCTTTGTTGAGCTTTGTTACGGTTTGTTAAGCTTTGATACGCTCTCAGCGCTTCAATCAATTCGTAAAGAGCGCCCAAAATGTTTAAACAGTTTAACATTTTTTGGCGCTCTTGCCGAATATCCCGCTTTACTCCGAACTTTTCTACGACCTATTACGATCCCGACGCTTTAATCAAGCTTTGTTACGCTTTGGTGCCGCTTTACAATCCGCTTTAAAGCGCCATCAAAGCGCCGTTGGTGCGAACGCTTAAACAGTTTAAATTTTTTAGCGCTCTTGCCGAATATCCCGCTTTACTCCCGAGCTTTTCTACGACCTATTACGACCCCGACGCTTTAATCAAGCTTTGTTACGCTTTGGTGCCGCTTTACAAGCCGCTTTACAAGCCGCTTTACAAGCCGCTTTAAAGCGCCATCAAAGCGCCGTTGGTGTGAACGTACCATTATATAATGCAGCCTTTCTTGTGATTTAAATCAGATATACAGTACAGGAAAGATTGGATTAAGTCTTAAACTACTGACAATTATTGTACTAATCTAGTAATTTATTTATCATATTTGGGTAAATATTCCATGTTGAGACAGATCTTGAAAACAATTTAATTTTGTGTCTTTCCTTGGCCAGTCTCTTTTTTTTCTTTACCAATTTCCTTTTCCTCTTTGCCAGTTTCTTTTTTTCTTTCGGCAGTCACACAGGGAACATTTTCTGCATGATTACATACATTTAAGTTGGGGTCGAATCTCTGCTGGTTCTGGCATACTGCAGCATTGTTTCTCACTAGAGTGTCACATGGGCAATCAAAATGAGAAGCTTTTCTCCAGACACATTGGTAAAATCCTGTACAACCATCAGAGCCATCTGGGTAGTAGCCAAAGTCTTCCGGGCATGAGAACCCTATGAATATAAAGCAATAAACTGTGAACTTATATTTGCAGTTTAGTACTAGGGAATGAGGCATTGATCCTCATGTGGAACATTTGTTATTCAATTAACCATAGTTTCTATGCATCCATTTATATCCCTCCACTCTTCAAACAAAATTTTTCATAGCCACTACAACAAACCACACTATTAATTCTCACACTAGCAATATCCACATTCAACAAGCCACACTATTCATTCTCACATTAGCCACACCACACTCTTTATATCTACATTAACCAAACCACACTCTTCATTCTCACACTAGCCACACCAAACTCTTCATATTCACATTAAACAAACCACTCTTCATTCTCACACTAGCCACACCAAACTCTTCATATACACATTCAACAAACCACACTCTTCATTCTCACACTAGCCACACCAAACTCTTCATATTCACATTGAACAAACCACACTCTTCAATCTCACATTAGCCACATCACACTCTTCATATCTACATTAACCAAACCACACTCTGCATTCTCACACTAGCCACACCAAACTCTTCATATTCACATCCAACAAACCACACTATTCATTCTCACACTAGCCATATCCACATTCAACAAACCACACTCTTCATTCTCACACTAGCCACACCAAACTCTTCATATTCACATTAAACAAACTACATTCTTCATTCTCACACTAGCCACACCAAACTCTTCATATTCACATTAAACAAACCACACTCTTCATTCTCACACTAGCCACACCACACTCTTCATATCTACATTAACCAAACCACACTCTTCATTCTCACACTAGCCACAACACACTCTTCATATCTACACCCAACATACCACACTATTCATTCTCACACTAGCCATATCCACATTCAACAAGCCACGCTATTCATTCTCACACTTTGCCATATCCATATTCAACAGGCCACACTATTCATTCTCACACTAGCCATATCCACATTCAACGAGTCACACTATTCATTCTCACACTAGCCATATCCACATTCAACGAGTCACACTATTCATTCTCACACTAGCCATATCCACATTCAACAAGCCACACTATTCATTCTCACACTAGCCGCACCACACTCTTCATACTTACACTTGCTACAGGACTCCTCATATCCACAACACGTTGTTCATGTCATATTCAGACTTGCTACACCACTCTTAAAACCCCAACTTGCCATACCAAATATAGGACCATACTAGGGACATCATCCTCATCACATCCACATTTGCCACACCTCACATACACTTACATTCACCACACCTTCACAGCCATACCTGACCCACTGATACTTGCCGCATCCAACGTCCAATCATCATGATAAACCATGACATCTCATTTCTTCTCAGCCTATGTTTCAGACGAACCAGAAAGGTGCTATGAGTATCAGAATGACGCCCAATTGTCACACAAGCACTTGCACCAACAAACAAACCATAACCAATCTACATTTTAAACATTTTAAGTTTAAGCAATACCTGAGTGTCCTGAACAACCATGTGTGATCCTTATGAAATTAGCGTCCCCTACAGAGAGCGATGTCTGTCTCCCGACTACGTTTTGGAGGGTACGGTCCTTCATCACCATTGATGGTCGGTCGGTTGGGCCCTGTTCAGTAAAAAATTGTGTTGATATTATGTTTAAGAGTAAACTAGAAGGGGTGGATATGATAAAACAGATATTAATATTTGATCTTGTTTCTTTATTTGGTAAACATCGTTTTTCATGGTGTTGCCTCTTACTGGGTCTGGATTCGACCTCATTTAGTCCATGAGTCTCCATCGGGAGAAAAATTGGCGGCTACAATGTGTTAATGTGACAACTGAGTATGAAATCAGAAGGCCTTATCAAGCAACCAAGCACCAATACTCACTGCTTCATAGTGCATGATAGAATATGGATCGTAGCTGGTGCCATGGGTTTCAACAGACGTCGCACTTATGGGCCTGTACCGCTGTCTCAACCTTTCCTCAATGTTCTGGTACTGAACTGACAGGTACCTCTCCTGCTCTGGGTGCTGGTGTTCGTTGCCCATACCGAGGGAGTGCCCGATCTCACGTAGGATTACGCTATGCTGAAAAGGGCCGAATGGAATGTGTTGATCTGGATAAGACTGTTATGTGGTAAACACGATACAAATATATGTCATATTCCGCAAAGAATATGGCATATTCACTAACTATATTGGTAATCCAGCGTACTTTTTCTCGCACCATCAAATCAAGGCTTTCTGTATAACGTTTTCACCTGCGGTATATGTCATATGGATCTGCTGTATATGGCATATTCCGGATGTGAGTATGACGTATTCCGCAGGTGAGTATCAGGTATTCACTGAAATCAATGTACGGCATATTCACCGCAGAATATCGCATACTCACCTGTGGAATATGCCATATACCGCAGGTGAGTATGGCGTATTCACCCGTATGTATCACAAATACCGCGCAACCATGAATGTATGCCATATACCGCGTAACAAAGACTATGGTCTCTGGAAGGACTTTCATGAGACCATGTTGTACCATGGGCTTCCAGAGATCATTAAATGTTGTACAATGGGCTATCAAGAGACCATTAAATGTTGTATCATGGGCTTTCAAGAGACCATTAAATGTTGTACCATGGGTTTTCAAGAGAGCATTAAATGTTGTGCCATGGGCTTTCGAGAGACCATTAAATGTTGTACCGTTGGCTTTCAAGAGACCATTAAATGTTGTACCGTGGGCTTTCAAGATACCATTAAATGTCAGTACCATAGACTTCTCTTGAAAGTCCATAGTTGTACATAGAAGTACCACCAGATCTACTTACAGTGCCACATCCTGGATATTCCAGAGATATCCTGTTCAATGAGTGCATCCCAACAGGAGAGTTGCATCTAAATAAAATAATAGCTCACACTTATATATTAAGTATTAATTATGCCAACATGTTCGGTCTTACCATTAGTACAGGCAGAAATTCACTTCCATATGCACAAAGTCATGGACTCAAGTCAATTTTTACGGTACATGATCAAATACATCTAAATGCAACATCATTTGAAACTGAGGATGTATTCTCGGTCCATCGTACTGTAACTGCAATTAGTACTTACTACTTACCCAGTCCCATGGAAGAATTCTATGACATAAGTTTCACTGGCAACCGCAGGCCTAAACGTAATACAGGTTTTTCGTTGCCACTCGTCTACGGCCCTTGCTACTAGATGTTTCCATTCTTCGTCTATAAGTAGTTTTTACATGGTTTATTATTAGAGAAAACTAGGAAACTATCTGCGACAATCACACGGTAGTAACTCTTGAGCAGTGGCATTTCATATTTGGCAAGCACTTCTATTATAATATGTGGAACCGGTGACAAAGAGAATTTTGTCCCTCGGGAAATATTGTTCTAGTTTGTATTAATATGAACCCTAACTAACACTGTGCATGACTTACGGTGTATGGGGCCCGGACAACAAACACTCGTCGCAAATGTCACCCCATATCGGTGACAACCTTCACTTTAATGTTTGGGGACAGGAAAGTATCAATAAATCTAGAATACTTCCTACTAGGTACACTATTTTAAAGGCGACTCCTTTTGGACAAAGATGTAAAAAAGAAATTGAAACCGATTCATCCATCATGATAAATCATGACATCTAATTTTTTTTCTTTCCAGCCTCGAAGTAGGACTCTGCTATGTGTACCATAGTTGTGTCATTGTGTCAACTCACCGAAGCCTTCTGCAAAACGATATGGAACAACATTTCCATTTTGCGACCATGTTCGGAGATTTTTGAATGTCCATTGGCGTTTTTCTCGACTGTAAATATAAGAAATAAATGGTATTGAAATTCCCACACGCCCACTTTTTGCATTCGTTCTACTTCGTTTCTCAAAAGAGACCTTCGTTTATAATTAGATTTTGAGAGCAGGGTACAAACGACAGATCAGATTTGTCGATCGGATTACTTTTCCTAGAGCATTTTCGATGAATCCCGAGTTCGAAATATGACCTTGAGTGGTTTATTCATTGAATGGGTATGGAAAGGGCCTCCCTTTAAAGATACAAATTCTCTTAAGGTTAACAGGACTTGACTGTGGAAATGGGATGCCGTCATAATATCGGGGTCTGGGGGATTTACGGGAATGAGTGTTCAGCTTGACAAGCGACAGTTTCAAAGTCCAATTTCCTAAATTACCAGATATGTAGAGTCCGTCATTATCAAACGTTTGCAAGAGTTTCTCAAGAAATAGTAAATGTTATGGGTGCCTCCGGGAGCTATAACATTCACATGATTAAAAGTTAAAACCAAGTCTGCTATCGTTTTTCTTGTGAAGTGTGAATCTTCATACCCCTGCACACGTGAACATAGTGGGGTTTCACTCCCTGGGTATATTCTTTCATATCCAAATGACTGTACCTGTTGGTAACTCCCAAGACCTCCTCTCTGTACTCTTTAGCAGTGAAGATCATGTCATCAACCTGGTAGAGGTCCTTGACTGGTCCATTCTCATCATGAATGGGGGACTGCAACACTGGCGTGCCCTGTAAAACGTTAATTCCCAAATGAGTCAATCAATGATGTAGTACAGAGAGGAGTTTGCTTCATATACCTCGTGACGTGAGATTTGTCCAAATCTATGCGAATGTTACATTCGAACAGGATGAGCCTGATGGATTATAAAAGGAAATAGAAGGGACAGTGATGTTGGGAGCAATTTAAGAAAGATATTGTCACAATTTTGCCTATCACCACTCGGAATTTCATTTCATGTTTATCCTCTAAAAAGTCATTTCTAACAAAAACAATTCTGACTTTAGTTTAGGACAATTCTTCGATTTTTAAAGGTATCTACAGTAATAATAATTTTGAAGAAAATGGACGTCCTCCTTAATTCAATTTGAATGATTTTTATTCAGCTCAAATCTTTTAATGTATTTGACCAGATATCCAAGACCAAATCCTTTTTTCAGAAAAATAAAATAAGGGCAATGGAAACCTTAACATGCTTTGTGAAAATATTGCTTCTAACATTTTAATCTCCAATTTTATACCTTCTACTGAAAATTCGATTTCAAAAATGTGAAAAAACAAGATTGAATCAATGCTTAAAATAAATACACAATTACCTGCGTAGCAGCCAATGAAACCAGTAGTAGAAATGTTAACATTTTTATTCAAATGGCAGTAAAATAATCCAATTACAACTCGTATTCGATTATCATACATTTGACACGACGTATACAATATGATAAGATAAATAGTTTATATGATGATAACATTTCAACACATTTGATAGAATAGATCGAAAGAAAGATAGGACAATCAGTGAAAGATGAACCAAATTTCGGGACAAAGTTAAAGAAATGGGAATATGTGTTGTTCTCTTTTCCCCTGTCTCAACTACTCAGAACTTTAGCTATTTGCATGGTTGTTAGAAGTACATTTCCACGGTTTAAAAACGTTTAACAAGGCATTAACATGCAAAATGTCACCACCTACTATCTGTTACAGACGCCGAACTCCGACACCAACCGCAAAACGCCGAACACCTACCGCCGAACACCAACCGTCATACAAGGTCCACAAAATGTTTGAGACTATAATATGTCATCACTCCGAGTGGTAATATTTTTTTATTTTATTTATTTATTGGAATCACTTTTAAAACAGTGGCACACACATTGAAAAGGTGGTGCATCCACATACAAACATGCTTATACAATTACAGTCAAAATTAAAATACATAATGTCACTAAAATACATCAATCCTTATTATAGGGAATATAAATTGCTTTCAGATATTTCTTTACACATCGATCTAAAATATGACCTTGTTCATTTCCCCAGTCAATGAAAGCTTTATCACCCATGGTCAAGCATATTTTAATTGGAATATTAGCAGAAATAAGGCTAGATGACAGTTGTTCATTACAGGAGTTTATCACGTTCAGAAAGAAGTTAGTTCTTTCATTGTTAAAATGAGGACAAACAAACATACGATGCTGGATAGAGTCCTTGACATTCGTATCACATAAATTGCATAACCCATTACCTTGGCTCCATCGCTCCTTGTCAGTATTCAGACCAAAACACCCTGATCTTGCCTTGAATTTCAGTTTCTGACCATAAAAGTCGAAATCAGTCTTAAGGTAGTTTTCTTGAAAACAATTTGTTTTTAAGGAGCTGTACAGAACAAGAGAAGATTTGTCTGCAATGGTGTCTAGAAAACAGCTTTTGCTTCTTTCTTTCGATATTTTAAGATATCCCTGATACCAGTCCGTGTCTTCAACATGAATGGCTCTATCTAACCCATGTTTGATCAAACATGGGTTAGATTTGACGCCGTTTTTCAATAACTTCGGTTATGCTTCTCCAACCTAAGTCACCTAGAACATTACATAAGAGAACATTAGATAAATTGGATTTTACAAAAAATGTAAAAACACAATTGAAATCTCTGGGCAAGTTTTTTGAAATAAGGTTTGAACGAAAGGTATTTTTTCAGAGAATTTATATTATGTGGAACGTAGTAATTGTAAGTAAGTGCAGTGGATTATATTATAAACAATCACTGCACCCAAGGTCACTCATTGAATTGTTGTCAAGGTGATACAGATTGAAGTTGATGCTTTACCAATTTGACTCTTGCAAAAAGTTCAATCTACTTTGGCGTTGTTTCCTAGCATTCCCGCTGCGCTGTCGTGCAAAGGTTTAAAAACAACACCAAAGGAATGATTCAGCCCATAATGAGTCTAAGGCTTAAATCCTTAAACATTAATGGGTAAAAATGGATACATCCTAGGGTGTAGCCATGATACAAAATGGGCCGAAGCAAACAAAATGGGCCGAAGCAATGTAAAACCAAAGATACTACAGTGAGACATAATTCTTAGTTTCACGGTTTCGAAATTACTAGTATTGTAATATAATATTTCTCTGTCAAATTTTGGTGAGACAGACGTTTTTCTGCCTGAAACGCTCTGAAACCTAGCTAAGACCATATAGGCCCTAATTATCTACATCAGCATTAAAATGACGGCATTCATTCAAAGTCATCACTCGTGCTCACTTAGAAAACTTAAAATGCAAGTCATTGTTTTTAAACTAAACCACATCATTGTTTTTCAACGAACACAATAAACAGTTAGAATTTCACATCTAGGGTTTCAACATCTATCAAAGACTTGACAGTTTAAGGAAATTCGAGTTGTTCAGTTGAAATTGAACGGCGATTGTTTCAGCAACATCATCCGCATCTAAAATATTTAAGATTCTGCTGTATCATTGTGGAACGTGACATTTAGTAACGCCACTAAAACATCAACTGTGTAATGTGTCCATCTTCTTTATATTTCATTGTACCATTTAATTTTTGAAAAAGTATGGCAGGTGTTCTAGTAAATATTACCTTAGCGGGTTATTTATTAATTTATACTGACTTACTACATTAAATCACGCGTGTAAATAGTGACCCACTTTGCCAGGCTTAATTAAAGAAAACGCAGTTGGAACTACATCTAGGTATATACTAAAGAGCATCTTACGAGTGCAAGATGCATAGATCAGGGGCGGATCTGGGAACCCACAAGGTAGGGGGGGCAAACTTCTGGTCTGAGAAAATAAATTTTGAAATTTCGAGGCCCACTTTCTTCAAAATTTGGCCTAAAATTTAAAAAACAAGGCCTTAGAAGGCCCATTTATGACCAAAAAGGCCCACTTTTGGGGGCTTTAAAGATTTGGCTCAAATTTTCTTTTGGGCCCAATTTTTTCCTGGGCCCACCCAAGGGACTGCTCCCCCCCAGATCTGTCAGTGTAGATGATGAGTATCATGGAAAGCTGAATTCAGCATCGTTGGTGATTACGTCCCTCCTCCTTTGCAAGTCACAGTCCAAAACAAATAAGAGTGTTTGCAAGAATAAGACCTTAAAATCTTGAAATTGACTGATACCTTTCCAATGATTGACCCGTTTTTTAAATTGATGCATACCATTAAAAATAGAGGTAAGTCCATTGGAGTATACAAAAGGACCGGGGATAAGTTGTCTAGGTACAGTACGTGTCCTCTTACCAAGTGCACTGTTGTGTAACGTTTAAATAGAACCATGTTTTGTCTGCAAAATTTGTCTGCAGCTACGCACTTGCTCATCGACTTATTTTTGAATTCTCGAAGTGCAATATTGCGCGTAGTCTTGCTTCAAGACCCTTGACCCCCTGATAAAGTAATTAGAGGGTGGGGTGGTTCATAACAGGGTCTTCAAGGAAGACTAGTCTGCGTGTATTCTTATCCAGGTTAAAATTTTCTAGATTTTTCATTCCACCGCACCGACTTAAATTGGGACAGAGCCAGTTTGGTTCATGCGATTGAAAAACTGATTCACATTCTTGAGGTAAAAGTGATTGATTCGAACTACTTTAAAGGTAGTCGACGTGAGGTCATCAGATGGATAACGTGAGAAAGATAACGTGGTCAACACGGATAACGTGAAGAATATAACGAACTACTAGCATTGTCTTCGAGTCCGAGACAAAGCATTTGAACTTCTTAATTTAATAACAATGTGAAACCATATCTACATGTACTGTTTGAAGATATCATGCCAGTATAACAGTACATATCCGGCAGTGTGACAGTTGGCAACTAATTTGTTTTTCTCAGTGTTTGTCTGTTTGTTTGTTTGTTATTTTTATCCGAGTGATATACTTCAAGGGCATTGGACCAGCTCTCTTTTTAAGGCCTATATTGGAAAATTCTAATATCTGTACCAGTAGCGTGCTTACTCTTTTGCAACGGTAGGGAGGGGGTACTGTTCAAAATATAACAGTTTAAAGACTCGAAATAAAAGTGATTTGATTTCTCCAGTCAGAAATCACTATACATGTATGTCCCATCATTTCTACTTCAAATTATTGATATTTCTCGTAGAAACAAAACGCATTTACTATTTACTCAAATGGACGTAGAAGCATACTCCAGGGCTTATATTCCATCCACTAAACAAAGTCATGAAAGTGTCGTTCACCACAAACTGATAGTTTTACAGTCTGAACCAAAGCCATAAAAAGTCTCGATCCTCTATCCAATTGGCTCGTTCATTGGTTGTGTTTTCTTGAGTGTGGGGTTGGTTTGCTAAACACAACACCAACGATGTCACCATAACCTTAAACCGGGTCTAAACATTCTATCTGATCATGATTGAACACAAAAGACCCATCCAGTAAAAACACCATCAGTCATATTAAATATTAATCAATATTGCCAAACTTCTGCCATCAGTTGGAAACAATTAACCCTTCATTATACTAACTGCATCTGTTAATAATATTAGCAAATCAGTAAAGTTGCAATATTGCCAGAACAACCAACTTGGATATTTTAAGAGACATCTGCAGATCACAAGACTACGTTGTTAAGAGCCACTAGAACTTTCTCTAAACATTTTTTAAAAGATCGGGTCACTTAGTGCAATTGCAAGGAAGAACGATATAAAAGGGATCGAGTGACGAAAGCCAGGCAGTTTACAATCCGGGGACCACAATACATTCATTTAATCCACAGAACACAAAGAAGTGACACTGACTGAGGCTACTGAGGTAAGAAGTTTAAGAATATTTTTCAAATTCCTTTACTGAACCACTGTCTCCCGCACTGTCTTCTACAACGACAAGAAAATAGGGACGATATTGGGGAATGAGAACCATATCGTCTGACCTGTAAGTACACTGTGTCTAGATTGTGCCACCAGCTGATTATTGTATGGTACAGAGTGGGGACAATTTTAGCTCCAATTCGCAGATGGACAATAGCATTTTAATTGTCTCGTTCTGTGTCTGTAATAACTGATAAGGCCATAAGAAGTAGATTCTTTGTTTTGCGTCCTGGCAAAATCCAAATCATGCAAGGGTACAAGGAAAACAAACACAAACTCAAGAAAAAACACAAACTTGTTTGCTGAGAAATGTATACATTTTATGGGCATAAAAAGGGATGACATACCAATTTGCAGTGATTACAAACACATATCTATACATTTTATACAATATATTTAAACTTCAAGGGTAAAAAAATAAGAAAATACACAATGTATGCCAAAATAATTATAACACTGTCAATTTTGACGCACATCAAATTATCCGCCATTTCGTCTGATTCTGATTGAACGAAATGTAATGGTACTTTCAGGCCCTCGTGATTGCTATTTTGATGTGTTTGTTTTTTCTGATTTACACAAAATCGTGCAAGCAAGGGGACGCAAAACAAAGAATCTACTTCTTATGGCCTAATTGTTCATAGCTGGGTTTGTCACGATCGGACGGAGGAACGACGTACCAGGGCGTCGTAGAATTTCCAAAGGCAACTCTTGTTAAGTTATCTTTAACAATCCGCTTTGAACAAAGTTTTTTAACCTAACGCCAGAGTTTTATTATGAATTGAAACATAAACTTTATTTAATCAACAAAACCCTTGTTATTGTACGAATAAAACTCGAAACCAGGTTAAGGTGAATGACCGAGTAACCTTTATTTATAACGCAATTATAGTAAACAGCCTTAGAAAAAATGTTTACTGCTAGCCGAGGCAGTCTGCCGAGACCCGGGAATACGTTTTAAGATAAAAAAGATTGACGAATTTAAAAGAGCAGATGGGAGTGAATTACAGTCTTAAAAGCATCCAACTCTCTTAAACTTGATGACGATGATGACTTATTGACGTAACCGATAATATGTAATGCTATTTTAATACAGTTTTAAACTGCTGATTCCCGGGCCTCAGGTTCACCGCATACCATGAAGAACCATTTGAAAGAATAAGCAGTAGTTTTTAATGATCACCTGAAAATGATCAGAAAAGGGAAATGGATGAGAAATAGACTAAAAGTCCTACGTCATTTGCCTATTAAAATGAACTTCCGTAATCCGATTAAATAAAGCCACATACTTTAATTTAACAAACATATGGTTTGGGGGTTTTGAAGTTTTATTTATTGTTTACAGTGTGTAGATAGTCTCTGACGTTTTTCAGCTATTTTTAAAGCCTATCTAAAGAAAATGGCTAAACTTCGAAGAATGTCTTGATACACAGGGCTCTTTGCGGTTAAAATTATGTTGATAAAGACCCATTAAAATATTTTTATTTTCACAATTTCCTCTGTCCACGTAGGACTAGGAATCTAGGCTAATGCAATTTTTAGGTTCAGATTTTATTACGTTTTCTTTTCAGACGTTGCTCTATACTTCAAAATGGCTACAGCAGAAGTTGCGGTACAAAATGTGGCGGTCGAGAAGGAACTTCACCCGATGTTGAAAAACGGGACAAAGGAGCGTCACGCCCAGGCAGAGAACTGCACGTTTGTGAAGATGATAATGAAGCGTCGTGTAAGCAAAGAGCTGTATCAGGTGTTCGCCTCGAGTCTCTATTACATCTACCAGGCTCTAGAAGAGGCTGGAGAACAGAACAAGGACCACCCGGTCTACGGCCCTACATATTTTCCAACCGAGCTATCCCGTAAGGCGGCCTTAGAGAAAGACCTCGAGTACTACTACGGCCCTGATTGGAAGCAAAAGATCGAATGTACTAAGGAAACCACCAATTACGTCAACAGAATTCGTCACATAGGGCATGTGGACCCCGCTCTTTTGGTTCCACACGCATACGCAAGGTATCTCGGCGACTTATCGGGTGGTCAAATTTTGAAATCGAGGATCGTCAAGGGCTTGTCCTTGCCCTCAACAGGCGAGGGAGTAAAGTTTTATGACTTCCCCGAGATCGACGACATCAAGAAGTTCAAACAATTCTACACGGGACGTCTCAACTCCATTGATGCCAACCGTGAACTCTCCGACCGTTTAGAAGAAGAGGCGCGGAACGCTTTCCTCTTGAATATTAACCTGTTTGAAGAGTTGGACAATATTGCTCAGAATATCCCTAATGGTTATCTACCCGACCCCAAAGAAAGCGCGAAGTCCGAAAACGATGACAATACCCAAGCGCCGACAAATGAAGGAGGATTGTGGTCCTTCCTTTCAAAACTAAAAGGCTAGTCATCACTGTTGGACCATGCCACCAAACAAATAATTAAACACTTACATCCGCCATGGGCGTAGCCAGGTCTGAGGCAGACGAGGCGAAAGTGCCTCAATGAAAATCTAATTCTTATTCAAATACCTCCTCGACCCTATATTTTACCTCGCCTTATCTTTGCCTCGCATAATCTTAGAACCTGACTACGCCCCTGTCAGCAAACTGAAGGAACTTACAACAAACTAGTATAAACAGTGACACTGGGCTATATCAGAGCACTTGCTCAGAATATCAGAGAAAATCATGCCGCAAAATACGATACACAATACTCATGCTAGAATCATATATAATACAAGTATTAAAACACCGTGAATGTAACTGGATCAAATTATGACCCCAACCATCCTTACAATATATTTGAAAACCCGAAATTTTGGAGTGATTTTGAAATCATTTCCATTCAAACAACAATCATAAGTGAAAAAATGTATGTTTAATGCCAGACATTGATATAGAATAACACCATCCCCTTAGGAAGATTTTAATAAATTCAAGATGCCAGCTAACTTCACCATAACTTTCAGTCAGAATCAGATTTGTTTTTGTGAAATTTGAAACGTTTACGCTTAAAACAGGCCCAATGTTTTAGCTAATGTATTACTGGGTAAGGTAGCACATGAAGTTAAAAATGTCGACTGCTTTGCTTCGTTCGCTTTCTAACAATCCTAGTGATACATGTATAATAGCCAGTACTCAAAATATGTAATTACACCCCCATTAATAAGTTTGGTAACGTATAGTCCCCCTAGCCAGCGTGTTAAAGCGTATATATGTTTTATCTTTGATTATGTTCCATAGATATAATTACGTCCGACATTTCTGACGGATTTAATTTTGTTAAAATCGCTCTAATCAGGCTTTAACAAGTGGTCTGGCAAAAAAGTACTCCGATTGCCAAACTTTGGAAGGGGAGTGTAATATTGGTAACCGGTTTGTATTCAGGAAAAATCACATACCAATCTATCCTGATAAATAGTCAGTTGATATCAGTCAGTTTGTATTATTTTTCTAACCTCAGAAATGTATTATCAGTATTTGTTGATAAACAATAAACAACTCAAGTCATATAACACAAATAAACCAAAT